GACCGCCGCCGTGGTCAGTTGCTTCGCAGCTGCTGGAGACTGAGGGCCGTGAGTTATTTGACGTATGCATGTGGGAGGTAGTGGCCAGATACTGCACCAGGGTGACCAATCTTTCTCTGATGAGGGAGTGCGTTTTCGGCGGTGGTTACCGGTGAGGTCGCACCCCAGGCCTCTTAATGCAGTTCCATCAACACGCGGTTTTTTTTTTTTTTTTTTTAAATCCGGTTGGGAACTGCGCGGCACCGGGATTTGAACCACGGACATCTTGCATGCGAGGCGGATGCTCTAACCACTACGCCATCGCCGCAGCCAAAGAATCGCTAAGGCTAAAAACATATGTCTGCACAAGGACTTGAGAAGTATCAACAAATATATTCAAAGATAAAACAAGATCCAGAACAGCAGATCTACTCGGTAAAATGCAGCTGACCAATTCAAAGGTTTATATGCGACTTCCGATATCTATGACATTAAAAAGTGTATTATGAATCATAACAGGAAGCGTATTTAATTGTAAAGCTAAGTAGAATGACAACGCAGATGTGTAGCTTGTAAAGTACTGATGCACTAAAATGCGAGATGACTTTTTTTTCCTATGATGACTCCTATTGACAATTGCTTATGAAAACCACGTCACACCACTGCCAATCTGGCCGCCAAAAGTAAAATTGGCTACGATGGAAGTGTTTTAGTAAAGATTACATCAACATGACACCAGCTGTCGACGCTAGAAACAAAAGTATCTTCATTAATCGGTTTAAAACTTCCGCATTTCATTCAGTGACTACTGTACATTTGCACGGTTTGTTAAAAGTCCCCAGGCCACTATTTTATGTATTCCTATGACAGCATGGCCTGGCAGCTTTTAACCACCCCTGTACATTGAAGTACACAGCAGTATTCCTACTGTCATATAATGTATACGACATAAAATGTGCAGTTGTGTATTGCTCTTCAATGAGATTTACTGCAGCTGATTGCTCATGTTTTTACATGCAGGATGTGGTGGAGCGCTTTCCCATGAGTCTGATCAGCGACCCAACAGCTTTCACATCGGACGACCCACGAGAGTTGTACAACAACATCCTGGTGTTTGTGGTCCAAGATGACCCAACCTCTTCTAGCCATCAAGAGCACGCCGAGATGCATATCTTTCAATGTGTCCGCATCTCAGTGAGTTTACTCAGCCACATTCAGCATTCACATTCTTTTACATATTCCCGTCCTCAGCCACATTCGGCCAATGCTGTAACTGAAGAAACAAACGATTTTACTTGTATTGTGTAAATTTCCACCAAAGCAGTGTAGCAGTTACGATGCTTGGCTGCTAACCCTAAGGTTGCGGGTATGATGCCAACCTCAGCAGTCGCGTTTCGATGGAGGCTGGATGCTAGAAGGCTGTGTGTTATTCGATGGCAGTGCATGTTAAAGAACACCAGATGGCAAAATTAACGGAGCCACACACTTTGCCGCGCTTTAAAATCGTACAGTAAAAGCTCGTTAATTTTAAATTGGTTTGTTTAACTTACAGTTGATTCAAACTGACGCCCTGATCCGAGCACAGCCCTGTGTACTTCTCTGGAGAAAAACTCCCAATAACTCGGAACACATCGGTATCCACAACGGTTAATTCGAACTGGGAGCTGCTCGGCTTTCATCAGTTGTTGCATAATCAGCCCAGTGTGATCACACCACGTTGCAAAACCAAATAAAATCAAGTTCACTAGAGATGCAAAAAAAACACCAACACTTCTCTACATGTGAGAATTCGGATGCTGCACTGGAGCTATCGGGGAAGCTGCTAATGATGCCTATGGAGTTGCGACAATATCATGATGACATGGAGGTGCCATTGCATGGTAGGGGTCCTGTATGGTGAAAAGCCGCTTTTTTTCCTTGGCTTTTATTTAAGTATAAGACACTTGGGAGGTTAATAGCGGGCTAAAGCTTGGATTGCAGTTGTGCGTAATCTTGTGAAGATTTGGGCCATGATAAGCCTAGGCTGAACAAACGTGTACATACAGGGTGCACACATGCCTAAATCCTATCGCAGCATTGTGTTGCCAATAGAAGTTGTAGCACTGGACAGGGCACCGTCATACAAAATGAAAGTCAGGGCACTTCTAAGTGCTCCGAGTGAGCCAGACATACATTGCTGAGAGTGCAAGATGTTGAGAATGTATAAAGGGCACCACATTAGCAGTCAGATGTAGTGCAGTAAACTGTCATCTTTGTATTAATTCGTCAAAAGTGTTAACAATTACTGAACTTGCACTCCTGCTCTATAGGCTCTTGTTTGTTGAAAAACATTAAGAGTTCATTGACCATGTCTGTTTCCTCCCCCAGGATAAGGAAGTGGTGGATGATATCAAGGCCCTCATAATGGGAAAGAGCCGAGGAAGGTACGTTGAAAAAATGAATTTGCTTCCTAAGCTTCTTGTGAAATCAATTCACTACTGTCAGGAGGTGCTACACATATGCACTTCTCTTTAAAACTATTTTCGTCATGTGCTTAAGATAGTGCATTGCTACACTGCACTCCTGATACAGCTTCTACAAGTTTCTTTGGCCTGCTTAATAAGTGATCAGTATCTGATTATATCAAAATTGCAATATATGATCCTGCATAAAGCAAAAATATACTCTCTATATTGTCTGCTTTATCTTTTTTCGTGTCTACGCTTTGCCCTCCGCTTCACGTATCTGAGACACTACCATGGAGCCTGGAGGGCATAGCGCAACATGGTTGAAACCAAAATAAATGTATTAGCTAAGTGTGTAACAACCATGTCAAAATGCGTGTCTATTTTAGGCCTAGTCCAAAGCAATGCAGCTGAACAAATGTTCTCGGTCACTACGCTTTATATGAGTGGGCAAATTAAAAATAGGCTTCCAACATTGTTTCCTGTGCACATTTAGCTACATTGTGCAAAAACAATTACAGCTCTAGCTGTCCTTTTACCGAACAAGCAAAAGAAAGTGGTCAAAATCTGTGCTTCAAGAATAATGCTGTTAAAACTTTATTTCGCCGTTCCGAGGGAAAAAATATCATGGCACACATACTTTTAGTCAGCTAATATGGACCGGGAATGTAATAGGACTGATTGTTTGCACGAGCGTCTAGTTTCTTCTAGTCTTGTAGCAAGTTGTCGCCGTGTGCTCGTCTGCCGCGAGGCCGCTTATCAGTTTGGTAACTTTATTGACGGCGACGTGCGACAAATGTGCGTGCGTAATCTGCGATACGTCGAATAACACGACGTTGTTTTCCGGCTTGTCCAGAATGAGTTACCCGTAAATGTCGCAAACCAAAGTTGCTCCCTCACTCGTCAATTTCGAGGCTACGCGAGTGCCGAGGTGCTAGTTTCCTTTTCACGTAAGACTGCCGCATTTTCGAGCGGAGATCGCGACAACGTTGCGAACACGTCGTTAAAAGCAGTCTACCAGTTGTCAGTAGCCTCTATTGCGGGGGCGGCGAGCATTTTCACCGCGAACGGATTGACTTCCTGTTGTTCGTCGACGCGCGGCGTACTCCACTCTGACGACCAGTCGCGCAGTTCAAGGTGCATTCGTCAGGCTGGGGGAACCGCGGCATCCGCGCGTTTAGCAATAAGACTGCGCTTCCGTTCTGTCACTCCAAAGATTGATATCTCTTGTAGCTTCGCTTCTGTTTTTTACTTGCCATCCTCTAACTGATGAGGCTGCAAAATACAGCCGTTCTCAGTAACGTTGTCGGCAACCAACGGGCTCGTACGTGAGTTAGGCCTACATCGGTGACTGCCATTGACCGCGTCGAGTTCGTTATCCTTGTTGTCCTGAGCCATGGCGGGGCTCTTTCTGAAGTTCACAGCGAACGAGTGACTGCCACACCCGCTTCAGAAATTACTGTAGCGCGGAACTTCTTTACTGCCGCAGGCAGTCAGTAGCACTATGACATTTGAACATTTTCACACTATGACACTATGAACATTTTACCTCTGCATAAAATCATCAGCTACAAAATTCTAATGATCATGTTTCGTATCCTTAATAATGAATTATACATTTCCAGTTTCTCGGGAGTTACTCTTGTAAATACTAACAACATGAGGTTTTCAGCTAACTGTAATCTACTTCTACCTAAAGTACGTACCAACTATGGTCAAATGACGGCAAGATTTTCATGCATAACACTGTGGAACATGCTGCCTGTTGATCTCAAATCATGCTCAATGTACTCCTTTAGTAAGCACTTGAAGGTCTTATTGTTAAATGACTTATGACTTGAATGTTCTCTTTTGGGTTTCTTTGTTTCAAGCAAATTGTCACTATTGCTCATATGGCCCTACGTTTTTGCACCATTTTCTTTTAAATATTGCTGTGATTTTGTCGCTGTTTGCTGACTAAAAAGCTAATCCTCTTTTTACTTTTTGTTAGAAGGTCCCCCTGACAGTTTTTACTTTGGGACCTCCGATTGTTCATTCGCATTGCAAAAAATGTATTCATAAAAATGTATCTATTTTTCAATAAACAACAACAACAACAAAAATAATTAGTTAAAGTGAAGCAAATTTCTTACGTGTGTAAATGTATATCATACAAAAAGCTATCATTTATATGTATAGTTCATATGAATGATGCGAAGTGCTCATATTCTCATGCACAGTACACGAGAGTTCAGCAATGACAAATGGTTGCTAAAGTCCCACACAAAAATTGCCTTAACTATAAATAAATACAACTGTAATAAGAAAAGAAATAATGCACCAAAAGAAACCAGTTCACACAGCCAAGAACTCACTGTGTTGACAGCCGGAAAAAATGCCACCACCATAAAAAGGTCCCTGTTTCATCAGTGTCAGCCAAGCAGAGCCGATTGCTGCTTCTCTCAGTGTGTTTTTTTTTTTCTGTCTCATGAAGAACTTGTTAGAAGGGTTACTAAGAGCCACTAGGGTGCAAGTGGCCTCCTTGGTACACCACTAGCTGTGCCACTGCATGTAAATAAAGGTGGCTGAGTGCAGTACCTGCAGATGTCGTCTAGAGAGAGCAGGGAGTGGCACTTGATCTCTGTGAAGACATTCTTGCCCTCGGTGCAACTGGCGAGGAGCCGGACCAAATCGATGTGGTAGCGCAGTGGTCCACCAGGGTCAAGCCGCTGCCTCTCGGAGCGCATTAACTCCACCAGCTGCTCCGAGGATCCCTTGTCGTTGTAGAGAACCAGGGCCTCCTCACCGGCTCCCACCAGCTGTGCAGCACCAACAGGAGAGTCACCCTATACAAATCTGCTGAGTTCCTTCTCAAGCTATGATACCACAGACTTCATGACAAAAGAATATATATATAACGAGAAGGAGCACAGAATTTGAAAACGAAGTTAACCATCCTTTATTTTTTTAAATAAAAAACCGGTCTGCTCTACAACATGAAAAAAAGAGACATAGTTAAGATATGATCCCAAAAAGATAATACATTTTCCAATTTTGTGTTCAATAACAATACTCTCATTATGAGAGAATGTAGTTTGAGAGATAAATTGTGACCACCTGGGGTTATTGAACATTCACCTATGTTATAATACAGTCAAACCCCTTTACAAGAGGCACTCATGTCAGAGACATAAGGATATAGGAGACACCAGTGTGCCTACACTGAAACAGGGGTGGATAAGAAAATACGTAAGTGGTACCTTGGTTATAAGGGACATCTCAAATTACGGACAAGAACTGCTCCCTGGTGCATGTCTTTTAAAAGGGGTTGAACTGTATATGAACGTTCTAGCTTTGAGCTCATATTGGGCTCATGGCAGCCATGGATTGAAACCACAACCTTGGGATCAAGCAGAAAAAACGCAACAGCAGAAATGGTCAGTGAGCTATAGTAGCACGACAAGTTGATACACAGGCACATTACCTAAATTGATGCGAAAATCGCCACTGAAGTCCTCAAATGACGCAACAAGATTTCAACAGCACAATCTATGTGCACAAACCTCCTGCATGACCATGTCCTGGCACTTTCGAATATACTGGCCTTCTGCTTTCACAACAGTCTGAAGGAAGCGCAAGTACTCCACGTGGCGGCCATGGGTCTCAATGCAGTGGACAAAATGTTGCACCACTCGCTCAGTCACCTCGCTGCACAGCGCTACATTGTCCTTGAAAACGCTGCACAGTGTCTGAGCTTCCAGCAAGCTGCACACGAAAACATAGAAGTGATTTGTAAAATTAACAATCAAACCCCATATATGTCACATTAAACACTCAAGACAGCCTCAAAACTGTGCCACGTGTAGTAGCAAGGCATTTGAACTGTATCTCTTTCTACTTCTGACTACAAGGCAATTATCATTTTTCTTGCTACCTTCACATGCATTTCCAAGTACAATAGATTGTGCAATTGTTAAAAACAGCTCCTTATAGCTAAGCCAGGAACATTGTAAGGCCACTATCCCCACCAATTTACAATATTTATTATCATAATTTATAAACAAAGCTCAACAACTTGCATGTAGTTACGTTGTAGTTGCGTTGTAAATAAATGCACTACAATGAGTAGTATGGAATGTGTGGCAACACAGAGGAACTCGCGGAATGCTGACAGCAGCCATTTTGCTAACCGTGATAAAAAATTTAGATAAAAATATTGCATGCACAGCTTGTCATCTGTCATTGATGTTCCATTATTCACTGATCACACAAGCTCACTGGCGCTCATGTTGCCTGTCATTTTTAGAAAAGAGAGGGTAACCGGCATGGGACAGAGAATAGAACAAACACCATGCATGTTAGTTTGTTCCCCTACGCACTCATTTTTGCTTCCTTTGCCAAGTGTCAGGCACGCTCACATACATTACCATTCACGTATGTCTCCAACAACCACTATCATCATCACTTGCTCAAACCCAAACCCAACCACACACATTCACTCACCCACATACTCTCTCTATTTCTCCATCCCTCCCCAATTCAACCAAACCATGCATTTGCAGTGATCACCATCATCCATTTCTTCAGCTACTCCCTATGGGAGTCCACAAAACTTCTCTAGTGCTTACCCCTGGCGTGAGAAATAGGTCGATGTGTTTATGCAGCAGCCCCTGGTTCTGGTGATTTCCCAGGCAAAAGTGCTGCAGGAAGTCGTGCGCCAACCGCATCACTTCACCCATTCGTATGTCTTCTTTCTGAAGAAGAGGAAAATGGCCCGAACAAAGAATTTATCTGTGCCCAGCACTTGCACATGAGTTAGCTATTATTTTTCTCTGCTGACTATGTGGCCCCTGCTTGGTTTACAATAGTTACAGCACTTCAAATAAGAATTTCATCTTTGCCATCATCATCATCATCATCATCAGCCTATGTTAAGCATACTACAGGAAAGAGGCCTCCTCGCAATAATCTCTAATTTACTCTGTCCTGAATTAGCATACCATTATTAAAAGGTAAGCTTGCTCAACTTCACTAGTGAAGAATCAAGCTTTTACAAATACCATGGAGCGCACATGAGAACAATTTATCTATGAAGCAGTAATCATTCTCGCTAAAAAAGAAACTGCTATTACATGACGATTAGTAGAGATATACAGTACATAAAAAAAGGCGGAGACTGCATAACTACCATACCAATAATGTCAGACAACTTGGATAGCCCAGCCGATCGTGCCATTATTGTAAGTTGCACAGATCTGTATTACAGTTCTTTGTATGAAGCAACTAGTTAAAGGAGATGTGAATGAATAAAGTTCCTGTCAATAAAACTGCCAAAGATTTGTTGTTATCATGTGTATTTTTTAACTGAATTCTACTCTTCAATGAATACATCACAGCATGCAAATAACAATTTGAGCTGCCATTTTAAAAGTGTTGTCATTCTATCGTGCAACTTCTTTTAATATGGAGCACTGATTTAAACAATAGCTTACAACGTACAACAAGCTGAAATCAGCAGCATGAGATTATTCTTAAACTATGATTGAATCCGTTTTCCCCAAAAACATTATGTGCATCAAAACCTAACAAATTAGATACAGCATGTCATATTGTTGAGCACTCTTAATTAATTTCTTTAATGCTCCAGCAGCGACTATATGTGTAGCTCAAGGCACTGTCTAAATGCTTACCTTTCCTTTATTCAACATCTGTAAAGCACACAACATGCTATCATGAACACATTTTTCTATTTTACAGAAGTAATTAAAATTTACAGACATTAGAATTTATACTTATGGCAACAATGAGATATCGAAAGTTTGAAAAGAAACTGAACATATAGTTTGAAATATAGTATTGAAATTGAAAATAGTTTGCTACTAAAATTGAAATTTTTGATAGCAAACATCGTCTTAAATTTAAGCTTAACCCTCTTTGTAAGCCTCCAGGTTTCTTCTCCATAAAAAAATATTTGTTTAATGTTTTTCAAATAATTCCAAGTGAAATTACAATAAAAAAAGTGTTGCAGATGATCCCTAACCCCATTCTTATAAGATAGGAGCATGAATATGTTGTTTTTTTTTTTGGCTAGGTTGGTGAAGTGCTGGAGGGAATTGTGTTCCCTGATTGTTTTATCAATAATGAGGTAATGCACAAACCCAATTTTATTTATTTACATAACTTGATGCAACCAATGTGGAGTCAACACCATTTATCATGTGTAAGGAAACGACCCTAATTTGCTTTCCCTCTGCCCCCTTCAACTTCTGTAGAGACCCAACTGAATTGGCAGACAAAAGCGGGCTCTCTTCGAATTCGGAGTTGCTAATCTGCCCTGTGTACATCAATATATGCAAACATAAAATCTCAGATGCTGAAAATTGTCTGAACTTTTTTTAACTGACTGGTCCGAAACAGCTATAATTAAAGCCCTTCTGCCATGTAGGTTTGAGTCAGCCCTTTCATGAGTTGATATGTTCACAGCCATAACAAAGCCTAAAACATAGCTTTGCCGCAATACCAAAGTAATGCAGTAAAGCATATTAAAAATATTGTTGCGTGAAGGCACACAGAAACTAGGCGTTTTAAGATATATTTAAACAGCGTCAACGCACAAGCCAAGATGGAGAACAAGAGTGCGCTCTACACCAAAATCACGTTGTCTTCCGCGGTGATTATCTCGCTGCTGAAGTGGAACATTCTCTCATAACATAACCTCCGGGGGCTGAAGCACCGTTTCGGTGCTTTCTATGATGTTGCCGAGTGGTAAAGCTTAATGCAGGATACATGAACAGTATCTGTAGACAGCAAAGCGGAGGCGGAGCAAGACTCGAGCGGGGCTATCTCGTAGGTCACATCTGTCACCTGGCACAATACACCCTAGTACCGGGAAAGCGAGTACCGGGGTAGGGTCCCGAGTACCGGGAAGCAGTTCTTCAGAAAGTCCAACGCGCCTAGTAGGAGTCCACAATAGCACAAGAGAACCCGGAGTAAAAAAAACTTGGCTATGATGCGAATTGTAACACTGCCACTGGTGATTTTGCGATGCTAAAAGGCGCTGACAAGGAACTTCTCATGCTTTGCGAGCTCCGGTGATAGCATCATGGGCGTATTCAGTCGTCAAGTCGACGACTGTCAGAAAGATGGTGTCAAAAGGTAAAGTTGGATCAGGGCCAAACACGAGATAGAAAGGTGAAAAACCAGCTGCATCGTGGCGTGAGGAGTTATAGGCAAATGTAATGAAGGGTAATGCAACGTCCCAGTCCTGGTGGTCAGGACGATACGTACATAGCGAGCATATCAGTTAAAGTTCGGTTGAATCATTCAGTGAGTCTGTCGGTTTCCATCCAGGTGGTAGGCTGTCGTAAATTAATGTTTTGTCTCGCAGTAGCGAAGCAGGTCGTCGATAACTCGGGAAAGGAAATAGCGCCCACAATCTGTGAGAAGTTGGCGTGGGGCGCCATGATGAAGTATAACGCCGTGCAGGAGAAAATCTGCAATGTCCATGGCAGAGCTCGTTGGAAGAGCCCGTGTGATGGCGAACCGAGTTGTGTGATCCGTCGCAATCAGCTATCCTACTTATTTCCAGGAGTGGACGCAGGGAAAGGGCCTAGGAGGTCAAGACAGAGTTGAAAGAAGGGATCAAAGGGAACGTCAAGTGGTTGGAGGAACCTGGCAGGGCTCATAGAAGGTTTTTTCCAGCATTGACACTGGTCGCGTGAGGTGTCACAGCTGCGGACCGAGCGATAAAGACTGGGCCAGTAAAATCGACGCTGTACACGGTCATACATCCGAGACAGTCTGAGGTGACCGGCAGAGGGAGCGTCATGGAGCTGGAGGATCACGCTCGAGCATAAGTGGGAAGGTACCACAAGAAGCAGTTCATGTCTATCAGGACAGGCTGTTGTAACAGTATAACGGTACAATGTGCCATCCTTAAGCACAAACAATCGAGTAGACGATCAGGTGCCGCAGAATGAAGCTTTTAGATAATGATAAGTAAGGCAGGAACTCGGCAGTTGTTCCTCACGAATGTTTCTTAAAACGGAGAGAGACAGGACACATGGCGCTTCATCAAACGCCTCAGGTGGGTCCACTGGATTTCGAGATAAGCACTGAGCACTATGGTGTAAACGGCCAGATTTGTAGGACACCGAGTAATTATACTCTTGGAGCCGGAGTGCCCATTGACCAAGGCACCCAGTGGAGGTTCTGAAGGACGAGAGCAAGCAAAGTGCGTGGTGATCGGTTGTGATGGTGAAATGACTGACCTTATAAATAGGGCCGAAATTTCACTACGTTATGAAACAATGTCCCACTTCAGCAGTAATATAAGCGCAGAGGAAGACTATCCACAGCGTCTATGCGCAGTAGCGGGTAGACGTCTTATTTAGTGATCTTGTTCCGATGCCGGTAGTCAACACAAAATCGCCAAGAATTGTCCTTCTTTTGACAAGAACTACAGGGGAAGCCCTTGGAATACATGACTGTTCAATTATGTCTTTGGCGAGCATTTTGTCGACTTCTGCTTGAATTATGTGACGCTCGGTTGGAGATACGCGGTATGGCCGTCGATGGACAAGGGAGGCATCGTGAGTGTCAATTCGGTGCTTTACAGCGCTGGTTTGACCTAGCAGACGATCACAAAAGTCAAATACGTCCCAGTATTACTCAAAGACGCGAAGGAGTGCGTCAGCTTGATGCGGCAAAAGGACTGACTCGATCGTTTTTTTAACGTCAGGTGATGGGCTTGCTTGCGAAGATCGAGCATGTGTGTAGCTGGAGTGTCTAGCATCGTCGGAAGACAGAGCAGAGATGACGCAATCGTCAGAGGGAGTCAGCATGGCGAGGGCTATTCCACGCGGGAGAACTTGTGGACACAGAGCAAAGTTGAGAACAGGAATGCAGGTGTGGTTTGCACGTAACTGAATAACAGTATGTGATAAGGTAATACTGCGAGTCAAGAGAATGGATATGATGGGTGCGAGCACATAGTTGCCATCGGATACAGGTGGCAAGGGTGTTACGCTGATACAGATCACATGTTTGCAGTGACAAACCGACATGTTCAGCAGAACACATACGAGCTTGGGGTGACTGGGTGGGTCACTTGGACACGGTAGGTCAAGTTGCACAGTACCAGCTGAACAGTCGATGAGGACAGTATGAGTGGACAAAAAGTCAAGATCGAGGATCACATCATTGGTTCAGTGAGAAAGAACAGTGAAGAGAACTGAAGTTTGACGACCGGCAATAGTAACGCATGCAGTACAGACAGCCAATAAAAGCAGCCGTACCACCATCAGCAACACGAACACTGCGTGAAGGGGCTGGAGTAAGAATTTTCTTTAAGCGGTCACGAATGTGCAGGCTCATCACAGAAATATGGGCGCCAGTGTCTACCAAGGCTTTAACAAATAAACCGTCCACTTCAATGTAGATCAGGTTCTGATTTGTCGGGAGCGTCAACAGAGGAATCAGAGAGCAAGTCGTATCAGCAGCGTCACCTCCAGGAGCTGCAGCCATTAGTTTTCTGAAGAAAACTGACGAGCAGAGGGCGGGAATGGGGATGATGAACGAGGTGGCTGCGAAGACCAGGAAAATCTACGTCGAGGTGAAGATGCGCGACTGTACTGGGCAGTGGTCGTAGTGATCGGATCGTAATTAGCTGAGCCATCACGCCGTGGTGGTTCCTGGCCATAGAGATGGGCTAGTGAGTGGAGGTTAGAAAAGCTTGGGTTTGCCCTGATATGGTGAGGTCCACGTGCTTCGGCAATGACGGGAAATGTGTCCCACTCCATCACATACAAAGCAAATCGGCCTGTCGTCAGGAGTCTTCCATGCATTTATGTCACGGTCACAGGTTCAATACCAGCCACAGCAGTCGCATTTCGGTGGAGGCGAAATGGTAGAGGCCTGTGTACAGTGCAATGTCAGTGTGTGTTAAGGAACACTGCATGGTCGAAATTTCCACAGCCTTCCAATACGGTGTCTTTTATAATCATATCCTGGTTTTGGGACGTAAAACCCCACATACTATTATTAAGTCAGAGCCTCCAATTTATCAATAAAGCAGCATTTCTTAAATGGCTTGGCTGATTACAAGCACAGTAAATTTCTAGGCAACGGACCTGCCACAGTTCTGTCCTTATGCAAACTAAATGAACAGTGTTACGCTAGATATTTATGCACAAAAATCGTTGTGTGGTGCATGTAATGTTTCATGACCTTTCAGGTCGCACTATACAGAAACAAGAAAGCATCAGTTTAAGAATCCAAGATAATGGGGTGCCCACATGTCTTAGGTAAAATAATCTGTATTAGCTTGCATGCTATCTCACCTCATACTTGCTTTCTACGAGTGACTTTGACACCATTTCGATTCCTTCAGTTATAAATGTACTCGCATACAAAGAGCATACATGTAATGTTGCCAGAATGGCCTGATCTGAGAGTGTTTGTGTTTCATTAATGTTATCTATTATTGAAAGGAAATGAGGTGTATCCTTAACAAAAGGACGGTAGGATGGATGGTATGTTAGATAGATGATGGTTTAAAAATTTTGATAGACTCAGCAGGTACATTATTGTTGACCTGAGCTTAACAATAACTGAATACATTTAGCTTCTTTTTAACAAGTAAATTAGGGACCCTTGGTGTACCTTGTCATAGGGAATCTGCAGCAGCTGAAGAACCACAGCATGTGCTCCCATGTTGCGAAGCAGGCGTTGCTCGTGCTTGCGCTGTTTCTTCTTGCCACTAGCCTCAATCTGGTAGCACAACTTGGTGAAGCGCTCCAAGATCTGGCAAGTAAAAAGATTGCAAGAGACCATTTTTATTCAGCACATGGACGGCACCACAGGTAATCTATCTTCTGACTTTTTAGCATGTTGCAATGTGAAGAAAAGATGTCAACCAATTTGATATGTCGAAATTCCTCGAGTTTTTCAGGTTTTCGATGACTGTTCTTGCTGAAATTCCTTAAGTGAAAAAAATTTTCTCCCGACGGGCACACACCATGTCGCCAGATGATGTCACTTTCTAGTATTGACGTTAAGGGGCGATGCTGCTCGAAGACACTTTTCTTTAATATTCACCCTAGAGCAATAAAACTTGAGCTGTTTATGGAACTTTTTATGCTGATTTCAAATATATAATTAGTTTTCTTGCAAGTTACGCACTTTTAGCTCTGCAACATGACAAAGTGAAAACCTTAACCTTTCCCCCCCCCCCCCCTGTCTTTTTATCCCTAAAATTCTGTAATTTATTACCATTCATAGTTCATAATGCTTCAAATAAAGTGTAGAGTGCAAATAACTAATTACGAAGCACATACAAAATATGTATTACACGTGAAAAATAATAGACGTAAAAAGTCCATATTTCACCTATCCTAGTGAAGGTATACATACAATTCTTCATTATGCAATAAAATATTGAAATTTATGCTAGATAATTGCATTTGTCATACTTTGGAAAAAATTTGGGCGAAATTTCATGCAGATCCGAGCACTAGAAGTGCCCGAAAAAGGAGGGGCACATTAGAAAAATTGGCAAAATTTGTTTTGAGAGAAGCGAGTTTTAAAGTTAAAATTGAGTTTTTATTTATGAAAGATATTATTAAATCAGATGAAATTTGCACACCAAAAAGAACAATTCTTCTTGTAGTGGCCACTACGACTAAAATACGCCAGCACCTTGAGTTTGTCCCTCTCGGCATTTTCGAGCCGACTCCTCACAGACATTTCGCTCACAGACAGGGCCATGAAATGCTTGCCGAATTTCCACTCTATCTGGCAGGGCCTTGTGCCAACTGCAAGCTAGGAAGAAGTTCGACAGGACTGTGAAATCCAAACTAAGTCCAGTGTCATGCCATTTTGCAGCTATGTTTGTGCCACATACCGTCGTACATAATGGCAATGTCGTCCCTGCTAAGTTCTCTCTCTGCGAGCTCTTTCGACCTCTCGAGATTGGCGCCGACGTCATCCATTGCCGCATCACAAACTTTCCGGCTGACGGGTGTGAATGACATTGATGCATTGGCTTTTGCAAGCCAACAACTGCCGCAAATCGGACCAGCTGCTCCTAGCCTATTCCGACAAAGCGCGCCGCACAACGGCTTTCACTTGTGAGCAATGCCTTTTTTCATTCATAACGGGAATAATTACATGAGAAAAGCATTGTTCAGCTGCGCTGCTCAGCAAGACATGGACCCCGCAAATAGGTTTCACAGCACATACAGGCACGCAGGGGCCAATGGCGGTCCCCGATTCGTACCATGTGGTAAGCCAGTCGCGGCGCTCGAAAAACGCGCAAAAGAGTGATTCTTTTTATTATTTCTTGCACTGCATCAGCGAGAGAATTTGTTGTTATTTGAAGAGTGAGGCTCGACTCTTCGACTCATGCGATCAACAATGGCGAGCGGCGCCGCATTATCGGCGGCAAGGTGCTCGAAGACTGCACACTTTGGACCTTTTACATGCACCTTGTGCTCTTTAGTTAAAATTTTAAAGCATTTCCAGTTAAGTCTCGACCTGTATTATTTTTTTCATAACAGTAGAGGTACTAATCTTATCAAAACAGGCAAAATTAAAAAATCGGTAATTTTGAAAAAAAACTTGCGTTTTTCGACCCGCATCTCCCCTTAAAAGATAAAGCTGACCATTTCAATATAGTACATAGTACAGTTAAAACTAAATATGAGGAAGTGTGTAAAATGGCTAATTTAGGTTGCTATATTCCAAACTTTGTTAATTGAAATTTGTCATTTCAAGCAAAGTATAGTTGCTGAAGGAATTATTTTTACACTGAAAACCGCAGGAATGTTCAACAACTGCAGTAATCTGCAAAGCTTTTTTTTTTTTTTTAATGTGAGAAATATCAATTTTGTAGAACAAGCGACCACAATTTCACAATTTGATGCTGCACCAGTGCAGCACGCGTAAGGACAAAATATTGCAGGTCTGACGAACTGTCCAATCGCACCTATTCTGCTGCTGGTGCTCGTTATCAAAATGCTGGGTGTTACCTAGGTGGTGCACACACTGACGCTATCATGTTACTCAGCTGAACTATTCTTCACTCAGTCCGACCAGCGCATAACATTGAAAAATGTACGTTGCACACTTGACAAAAAAAGAGTTGCAGTTTCACCGCAAGGACGAAGTAATGCAATAACAACAAATTGAAAATTTGAACGTCTATAAGCTACAGCAGCCAGGGTCATAGATAGCAATTTGTTTCGGGGGAGGGCACAGAGAGGGTGTAATCACGCTTTATGTATGCTTGTTGGTGCTTTTGTATCTGTTTGTATATTTACACACATCCAAAATAAAAAAATGTTGGCGGTTGAACTTTCTGTACCCACATACCCCTTTCTACCTACGCCAGTGATAACAGCTCACTATTACCTCAAAAAACATGGCCGCTGCAGCAAGCGAAGTTATCTGTCTATATCTTACACAGAACCATAACGACCAGAGAACATGTACAAAGGCATGAGCTGTCTGCTCATTCCCCCTAAAGATTCCGAAACACTCGCGAATGCGGGCGAACACGCGGTTGCACAAAGCGCGCATATCCTGCCAAAGTGTTTAGGCAGCTTTCTTTTTTTTGAGCAGTTTTGAGCAGCTTGAGAAGTTAAATAGCTTTTTTCAAGCTACCTAAATGTTCGAAAACAGTCTGTAAGAATGGTTTCATTTTCTTCCCAATATTCCACCATTGTTGTGGGAGTTCCGCAAGGATCAGTATTGGGGCCCATACTGTTCTCCCTATACGTCAATGACCTCACATAAGCACTCAAGTCATCAAAATCTGTTACTTATGCCAATGATTACGTGCTACTATACACAGGAAAATCTTGTAGAGAATTGTAGAATACAATTAATTGCAAGCTATCTAGCATATCAGCTTCATTTTGCATGTAATAAATTAACAATGAACAGAGACAAAACAAAGTACACAGTATTCTGTTCCTGTTATGCCGATTGTGACACAACAGGCTTGCAAATTCAGCTTGTACGTGGAACAAGAGAACAACTAGAAAACATAAGGTAGTTAGGGGCCTTATTGGACAGCAACTTGAACTGGAGACCACACTTATTCAATATATGTAACAAATTAGCCTCAGTTAGCTTTTTGTTTATAAAATGCAGATAATGTCTTAATCTTAGCATAGTTAAAATTCTTTAGTTTTCGAAATTTCACTGTCACACTATATATTGTTATAAATCACAGTCTAGTACACATAAAACATACTTAGATCCTATTATTAGGTTACAGAAAAAGGCCTTGTGCATTATGATGATAATACTTGCTTTACAATCAACTCGGTATACTACCACTCTCGATGACATGAGAAATGAGAGAGGGCACTCTGATAAATATTTTACGTGGGAATCACTCGTTATCACAAAATTTGTTCATTACACCTAATCTCAACACAAGAAATGCAACAAATATAAATTTCAGCCTATCTGTTACTTGTAACATGTATGGCCAACTCCTGCTCGAGTTTCATGGTGTCAAAATTTAGAACGCAGTACCCCTCGAAGTAACAATGGTTAATCCTTTTACGCCTGCTGTGAAAAAAATTGTACCTCTAAAAATTGTGATTTTCCCCAATTTACTTCCAATGTATTCTGTACTGTGCTACCAAATTATTTTTTTTTCTTTTTACAGACCTGTTTATATATACTTGTGTATCGGGTATGAAAATGTAAATCTGCGAAATCCGCATTTCCAATCATAGCCACATATTCTTTTTGTGTGCATATATAAATATATATTGATGCATACAAACATTCCGTCTTTTCTTTGCAACTGTATTGTTATTGCATATTACTTTGTTTTTAATTTGTTGTGCTTATTCTTTCTCTGCCATGTGTTGCTGTCATTTGTAAAGGAGGCAGGACCTCTGTCAAGCTGTAGTAGCTTTTAGTCCTGTGCACTCTCTTTCAAGTGTAAAAAGTAATATTTAAATTGATTGATTCATTGACTGATTTATTATAGAATGCACTTTTTTCTTTTATTTGAAGTTGAGTTTATATATTTTGCCTTACCATTAAGATTTTGTTACCAAGAATTAGATACGCACATGATGCTGTAGCTGCTGAATGTATATTGACTATAGGCCTACACTAGTCTCTGAGTACTGGCCCAACAGTTCCTTGTATAAAAATATTGTATGAAGGAAAAATAAATGAAATTGAATTGATAGTTACACTAACTCACCCCATCTGCCCCCCTGCCCCCCAACAAGTCTTATCTCCATGCACCTCGCACACAGACGATACGGCCTGCTTATTTCATCTGTGCTTGAGTCTTGTTAGTCGGCAGTGCTCGTGAGGCTTCAATCGCACACAGTACATATGATATGCAGAGCGATGTAATCTTGACATAGACTTCACATGGAACGTGATGATAAAAGTTAAGTTCACCAACTCATGAATTGTTCATATAATTGATATTGTAATAAAAAAAAAGTAAAGTAGCTGCAGTCTAAGATTGCATGAAAGCATGGCGACAGCCCAAATCATGGCACATTCATTTTGGTGGCCATGTTACTGTTTTGTTACATTGCACACTGAACCGAAGAAACGCGATGCATGCCGGTGTCACGAATTCCAATCGTGGCTATGCATTGACTCGACTGCAATTCAACTACATCAAAAAACATCCTTCATTGTGCCATGAGCAGCAGTGCAGCTAGTGACACAGCTGCAGCTCCAAAAATATTCGTGGGCTGCTCAACCCGCCAAACAAAAATTACTTTCACTCGAAAATTCCTTCTATTCGCCACAGAAGCCAAAAAACACTGTAAGGACTGTCTGGTGAAGGTGACAGTCGTAAGAGTAAGAGATAACACCACAGATAGTGCCATCGTCGTGATCATGGACACCGGGAATAGAGTAGCAAGGGAAGCGGCAGTGTTGAATAAAGAGTGTGTTCAATGAGACATGTTGTGCACACTTCCTCACTGACAAATTCTCTGAAGCTTAGGACCACAGGGTGTGAGCTCTCCGGTACCCGCCAACAAACAGCAGCATTTGTTTTCATGCCAATTGGTATTGCTTGCAATTGGGATACCAGCCTGGTAGGCAACATTCATTTCCTGCGCAACTGCAATCATTTGCAAGATAACTTGAAAGTTCTTTACATCGACTGCTACCACCTCTACAACTACTCACGCTTGTTACTTGCCACGACGTGATAGCAAAAACACCGTATGAGGCGCTAACGCTCAGCACGTGCGACAGTGAATGCAGAACTACACTGCTTAGTCGCAGAACACCTAAACAACAGCACACAATCTTATGTGTCATTGTTCATCGTTATCGCGTGCCATGGATTGTGGGGGAGCACGCGCGCCCAGCCTCCCTTTCCCTTTTTACGGCAGCGCGAAAGCCTACTTGCGGGAATACCCCCAAAGCCATGCTCGCAATTCCCCCTGTTCGGGCGCGCATAATGGGTTTCCCCTCCCTCAGCGAGAAAAGATATTATTCTCGTCAGAGAGAAGGAAACCGAGTCAGTGGACAAAAATAGCGTGCGGACAGCCACACGGGATCTCTGACACCGGCCTTGGAAGAAGGAGGTCGAACCTGCAACCCCCCCCTCCTGCGAGCCGAGGATGACAACAACCATTGCGCGCTATCCCTAATGCCTAGCAATAAAGTGTTGTTGTTGACCTAGCCTGTTGCCTTATTCGCCCGAACCCGTGTAGCTGCAATGAGATTAGCTACGAATAGAGGACGTTAATCGTGCACAGTAAGACTGTATGCGGCTGGAACATTAGTTAGGCTTCTGCATCAGGCATACATAGGACGGACTCCCTAGAGCATCAGCAGGATGCTCTCAGATTTTCTTGCTTTGAAGTCTAGGAGGGCAACAGGTGCACCCTCTTCTCCCAGCCACATGGGACACGCGATATGAAAAATACGTTCACAAACTATGAAGCCAGTACTACCGCGACGTTCGTTCCCTTTAAATAAAGTTACAGCAAATTTCCTTAATGGGTCACAATTTCCACGAGTTTTCCCCAACTATCCAAAATTCCTGAGAATTCCCTGTTTTCCCAGTTTTCCTTGTCAATATACATTCTGCAAGACTAATTATGATTGGTTGCTGCACATCTAGCCTTCTTTTCATGGCAAGGTGTATGGCTAATGGTCACAGCCTGATTAAACAAAACAAGCAAGCCAGGATGCCTAACAGTAAAGACATGAGTGTACACCAGGCTACACTGTCAAGCCATCTGTATAATGCAGAAAATGTTGAGATTTCAGCCACAGCCACACATTCAGTTAGGATCATTCATCACATATGCTCATTGTTGACTTGAAACACCAGATGTATGAAGGCCTTGTGCAGGGCTTAACTTACTTCTCGAATGATTGAGTAGTTGTCAGTTGCTACAGCTGAGCCTTCATGCTCTCCAGCCTCCTTCACAGGAATCAGCTCCTAAATCAAAATGGTGTTGATTTCATGAGAACGCAGATACTAAAAATGGTTGCAGAAGATCCCTAAGCATTTCCAGATCTCTAAGCAATCATCATGAGAACACAAAAGCATTTCTTTTGGTTAGGTGGTTGAGGGGTGCTATGATGCCTGCCGTGGCAATCTACCCTCCCACGCTGTGGCTGCAGGAGGATGATGCCGCAAGGTGAAGCACACGTCCAATTCTAGCTGCAGTGACGCCCACAGGGTGCACGCTTTCGCCCAACTAGCCAAGAAATGTAATCATCGCTGCAAGCAGTAGCTATGGTAGTTGGTGCCAGCAAGTTCCAGAGGGAAAGTTAACATGAATTCCAAACACTGCTTTTGGAGACCTACTTTGCAGGCATCAGCAGGGCGCATGCTATTGACAACCTAGCCAAGAAATGCTTTTGCATTAGAACATAATAAATTGCGCTATACTATTAAACTAGTAACTACCTGTACGAAGTAACAAAAACATTCATTCTTACCACAACAAAACTATCGGTAAGTTAAAACAAGGTCCAAAAGTGGAGGAAAAGGTGCAACACCACCTTTAGGTTATCACACCAGCTCATCGTGACATCATTCATTTTGGCGCATCTGCTTCAGCATGGCTAACTTTTTTTAGTTACAAAGCAGACTACAATGTACTGTATAATATGGTGGTTTCATATAAAAGGAAGAAGTGTGGGTCTAAGCCCTTAAACGTACACTTCTTTTTTTAATTCATAGTGAGGGTCTCATTCTGGCAGACTTGGTGCCTTCAGGTAGTGCGAAAGGAATTATTGGTCAGCTGGACGCCCGTAATAAGTTTACGTGGTATGCGACGCCAACCAGGCAGAGAAAAAAATCACAGCATATCTACGGAGTTAATGATGATGAGTGGGCAAAGCTTTGGAGGTACATTGGTAAACCGTGAATCCTCCGTTAATCTCGCCCAGTTAATCATCCCTTAAAGACGGCGAGCATGTGATGCAGCTATTTGCTGAGCCCTCTGCTTTGTCGCCTTGTCTTCACTGCTCATACTCAAAGCCCACAGAATGTCGACGAAAGAGGAAGTGCGCAAGAGAGAACGCATTTTAATGCAAGAGCGAACGTGGTTTCCTGTCACACGAAAGTATGCATCGCAGTGGAGCGAGCGCCGCAGCACCATCTAGTGAGCAATGCGAGTATTATCGGTGCGAGTGCCACAGCACCATTTAGTGAGCACTCTGAGTACTAGCAGTACTCAGAGTGCTCACTAGATGGCTCTTTAACACTTTAAGGAGCTTTGCCTCTAAAAGAGTGTTCGACACTCGCCATCATGGCTAGAGGTGGCGCTGACTGATGCTCCCACGTTTAATTCACATATATACCCAATAAAGTGGATGGGGGGATAGGTGCCATGATATCTAAGTCTGTAGAGCATCGGCCTTATCATTCAAAGGTCACAAGTTTGGTCCCTGTCCAAGGAAAGTTATCTTTTCATCCCCTTTTCTTTCTTCACATTTACATTAGAATTACCTCATATAACATCCCCTATACTTTCCTTGGCATGATTGTCAGTTAGAACTCAATAATATTGTTACGGGTAACGTATTTAATAAATTAAATACGATGCACTGTGCTCGGCGAACAAGATGGCGACAGTTCATCAACAACCAGCCACCAACGTCGTCTTTCTCTTTCTTCCAGACAGGCTGTGCCGGCGGTTGCGTATCATAACCCCTGGCGGTAGAAGCACCGTCTCGGTGCTTGAGCAACTCGGATGCGGTAGAAGGAGGGTAATAGGGCTTGAGTCGAGCTATGTGCACGATGTCACTTGAAGGTGACGATGATGACGTTGAATCGGCTGGAACGATCTCGTATGTAAAGTCAGTCACCTGGCGAACGACGCGGTATGGTCCAGTGTAGCGTGACAGCAGTTTTTCAGAAAGCCCTACACGCCGAGTGGGGGACCAGAGGAGGACAAGGGAACCCGGTGAAAAGTGCACGTTTCGATGATGGGAATCGTAGAGCTGTCTTTGGTGCTCCTGTGAAGCCTGCAGGCGGCTGCGGGCGAGTTGGCGTGCGTGGTCGGCTTGCGCGATGCCGGATGGAGTATGCCGGCTGGAGTTGCGCGATGCCGGTCACGGAGTATGCCGGCTTCGCCGGCATACTCCGTGACCGAGGGCAGCAAGGTGTCAAATGGTAGGGCAGGTTCTCGGCCGTATAGAAGATAGAATGGTGAATAGCCGGCACTGTCGTGACGTGACGAATTACATGCGAACGTCACAAATGGCAAATGAACGTCCCAGTCCTGGTGGTCGGCCGCTACGTATTTAGAAAGCATGTCGGTTATGGTGCGGTTGAGGCGCTCCGTAAGACCGTTCGTTTGCGGATGGTACGAAGTGGCAAACTTGTGCTTGGCAGAGCAAGAGCGCAGGATTTCTTCAACGACAGCTGATAGGAAGGTGCGGCCCTGGTCAGTGAGAAGTTGGCGTGGAGCTCCGTGTACTAAAATAATATCATATACCAGAAAGTCCGCCACATCGGTTGCGCAACTCGTCGGAAGTGCTCGTGTGATAGCGTACCGTGTCGCATAGTCAGTGGCGACAGCGATCCATTTGTTGCCTGAGCTGGTGATCGGGAATGGGCCAAGCAGGTCGAGGCCAACTCGAAAAAAAGGTTCAAAGGGAATGTCGATCGGCTGAAGGAATCCAGCTGGTAGCGAAGATGGCTTTTTGCGGCGCTGGCAGGGTTCACAAGCGGCGACGTAGCGTCGAACAGAGCGGGCAAGACCAGGCCAAAAGAAACGACGACGTACACGGTCGTATGTGCGAGAGACGCCCAAGTGGCCCGCCAAAGGAGCGTCATGAAGTTGGTTGAGAACAGTCGCACGAAGATGTGCTGGTATGACGGGGAGCAAGTCATGGCCATATGGATCGAGGTTACGGCGATACAGGATGCCGTCTTTTACCAGGAACATTTGTAGAGATGCGTCGCGAGGCCTTGACTCAAGCTTGCCAATGATGGTTCGTAGGGAAGCATCCAGGCGTTGTTCGTGGCCAAGGTTGAGTAGCTGCATCACAGACAGAAGGTCTGGAAAGGTGTCAGTATGGGCAGCCTCTTCCACAGGGTAGCGTGATAAGCAATCAGCATCTTGGTGTGACCGCCCTGTTTTGTACGTTACGGTGAACGTGTATTCTTGTAATCGTAGGGACCAACGAGCGAGGCGTCCTGTGGGATCCTTGAGTGAGGCCAGCCAGCAGAGCGCGTGATGGTCGGTAACTACCCGGAATGGACGCCCGTATAAGTATGGGCGAAACTTGGCGACTGCCCACACGAGAGCGAGACACTCACGTTCCGTGATTGAATAGTTGCGCTCGGCTGTAGATAGCAGGCGGCTTGCATATGCTATAACACGGTCATGTCCGCGTTGATGTTGCATGAGCATTGCCCCGATGCCATGCCCACTAGCGTCAGTGCGAACCTCGGTTGGAGCTGATGGATCGAAATGGGCTAAAATCGGCGGTGTTGTAAGGAGCGTCGTGAGCTGGGAAAAAGATGAGGCTTGATCAGCGCCCCAGAAAAACGGGGTGTCCTTCTTCAGGAGGTTTGTGAGTGGGCGTGCAATGATGGTGAAGTCCTTAACAAATTGTCGAAAGTAGGAGCACAAGCCCACAAAACTGCGAACGTCCTTTGTTGACTTCGGAGCAGGAAAGTCCGTAACGGCGCGAATTTTCTCGGGATCCGGGCGGACTCCTGCGGCATCGACGATGTGGCCAAGTACGGTTATTTGACGACGAGCAAAGTGGCATTTCGACGAGTTCAGTTGAAGTCCGGCTCGACGAAAAACTTCAAGAATCGCCGATAAACGCTTGAGATGGGAGTCGAATGTGGGCGAGAAAACGATAACGTCGTCTAAATAACATAAGCAGGTTGACCATTTAAACAATTGGAGCAACGAGTCCATCATTCTTTCGAATGTGGCCGGCGCATTACAGAGACCAAAGGGCATAACTTTGAAGTGATAAAGTCCGTCAGGAGTGACGAATGCGGTCTTCTCACGGTCCATCTCATCCACAGCGATCTGCCAATAGCCAGATCGAAGGTCGATAGTGGCAAAATACGTAGCACCGTAAAGGCAGTCTAAGGCATCGTCGATTCTAGGCAAAGGATGAACATCTTTCTTCGTAATTTTGTTGAGATGCCTATAATCTACACAAAAGCGCCATGTTCCATCCTTCTTTCTGATCAGGACGACAGGAGAAGCCCAGGGGCTACAAGAGGGTTCGATTATGTCTTTTACAAGCATCTTTTCGACTTCCCGTTGTATGACGGTGCGCTCGGACGCGGAAACACGGTATGGACGTCGGTGAATGGGACTCGCGTCACCAGTATTGATGCGATGAGTAACAACACTCGTTCGGCTTAAAGCCGTGCTGGCGAAGTCGAAAATGTCACTATAGGACTCCAGGACGTGACGAAGGGCTTCCGCTTGATCAGGAGCGAGGTCTGATGGTACCATGTGGTCAACGTCGACGCCCGATGAACGTGATAGAGTTGGTTCATTGTCTGAGGTGCAGCAATCATCCACTCTGAAGGGTTCAACCGTATGGTCTTGTAGAGCAGTAATTTCGGCCAGGGAGATACCTTGTGGAAGAATTTGGGCAGTGAGGGCGAAATTGACAATAGGAAGGCATGTGCGGTTTTCAACGATTGTCAAAATGGTGTGCGGAACAGCGACGCCATGCGTAAGCATCACGGCATGAATTGGTGCCACCATGTATTCACCGTCAGGTACAGGTGGTGTAGAGAAGAGGTCGATATGTGTGACACAGTTAGGCGGAAGGCGTGCGAAATCAATGCAGCAAAGGCGACTTTGGGGTGGGTTGGTCAGATCAGAAAGTAGAGGCATTTCAAGGTCAAGACAGCCGGCTGAACAATCTATAAGGGCCGAGTGAGCGGTGAGAAAATCCATGCTTAGAATTACTTCATGAGGACAATTTTCTATAACGGTGAAAAGAACAGCAGTGCTTCTATCGGCGATAGTCACACGGGCAGAGCACATGCCGATAATCGCGGCAGTTCCCCCGTCGGCGACTCGAACGGCTCGGTTCAAGGCGGGTGCGACAACTTTCTTTAGGCGGCGACGAAGAGCAGCACTCATTATGGAAACATGCGCGCCAGTATCGATCAACGGGCGCACAGGTACATTGTCTAAAGTAACGTTCAACAGATTCCGGGTGGTTGGTAATGTTACACGAGGATTTCTTGCAGAGGTCGTCGTCAAAGCAGCTTCACCTCCAGAAGCTGCACTGCCTAGTTTTCCGGTCAGGGGCGCTGCGAATAGGTCGGAGAGGCAGGACGGCGTTGTGGGGGCGAACGAGATTGACGGCGAGCAGGGGATGGCGAGCGGGCGTAGCGAGGTCTCGTCAGAGGTGCGGCGGGATCAGAGGATGTGGTCGGCATAGGGGAACCAAAATCAAATGTTGAGGACGACTGGTGGTCAGAAGTGGCTTGGGTAGGAGGCCCATAGCGTGCCGGCGGAGCCCAGTGATTGCGGCAGTGGCGAGCAATATGACCGACACGTCGGCAGTTGAAGCATATGGGCTTGTCGTCCAGTGTACGCCATTCGGACAAATTACCCTGTCGAGAGTAGTTGGAACCATATCGAGGAGCGGATGGACGACAATAAAAAGGCTCGGCAGAGTAGACTGGTTGAATGGGGTGTAGGCCGACGTTCGATAATTCTTGACGAACGACGGCTTGTATCAGTGAGATAGTGGTCGGTGAAGAATCAGGCGTTGAAAATGGAGTAGCTACTGGTTGGGCTGCCTCGACCTCACGACGGATGATGCGGGTGAGGTTGTCACATCGGGGAACTGGGCGGACGGAGTCATCACACGAGGAAGTAGCAGCTGTGTTCGGCAGGCGCGTGATGCCGTGGGTGACGCGGCGGGCTTTAGCCTGTTCTAGACGGCGGCATTCTGTCAGGATCGTGTCGATGGTCGTGACATTATTAAAAACCAACAGGTTGAAGGCATCGTCAGCAATCCCTTTGAGGACATGGTTAACTTTTTTTTCTTCTGACATGCGCTGATCGACCTTGCTACAAAGCGCCAAGACGTCAAGAATGTATGACACGTACGATTCAGTAGACGTCTGGGCGCGAGTGGCGAGAGTCTTCTTGGCAGCGAGCTGACGACCAGGTGAATCACCGAAAAGATCACGGATGTTCGATTTGAAAAGATCCCAACTTGTGATTTCGGCTTCGTTGGTTTCGAACCATGTCCGCGGCGTGCCGTCGAGGTAGAACACAACATTGGCGAGCATGAGCGTGGGATCCCAGCGGTGGGTAGCACTGACTCGCTCGTATTGGCGCAGCCAGGAGTCAACGTCGATGGTGCCGTCAGCGGAGAAAGTTCCAGGATCCCGCAGGGGTGGCAGGGTGACGTAGGTTGTCGACTCGGATCGAGAGACTGGTGGGGATGAGGCACTGGCAGTTGAAGTAGCCGAAGAGTCCCCGGTGTTGCGACCGCTGCGCGTCTCCATCGAGGTACGGGAGTCGTCCACCTCCACCAATAATGTTACGGGTAACGTATTTAATAAATTAAATACCGATGCACTGTGCTCGGCGAACAAGATGGCGACAGTTCATCAACAACCAGCCACCAACGTCGTCTTTCTCTTTCTTCCAGACAGGCTGTGCCGGCGGTTGCGTATCAATATTGTGTATAACAAAGAATACAAGCCCTTAAATGCACACTTCTTTCTTTCTTTCATTCAATGCTTTATCGTAACTCTCAGGAGTTGTAACGAAAGAGACAGTAGCTAAATAATAATCTATGTTTGATAAATACGAATGTCGCATGAGAACAAGCAGCAGCACAGGAATTGTAAGCATGCAGCAAGAGAAATTAAACAAAATGCAAGACTAAGTGGAGCCTCACGGGTCGCAGTGAATCACCCTGCAGCACAAGTCTCTTGTCAAGCTCCTGGTCATGGTCAGGGTCCTCATCACGGGCCTTGAACACCCACAGTTCAGACTTCTCCACCAGGTTGCGCAGCTTGTCCAAATCAGCCTTGATCTGCTTGTAGTTATCCACATCACTGGCAGACACCAGCAGTTGCACTTGCTTGAATGCCTGCAGCACCTCCTGACGCTGGGTGAAGTGCTATAATGCAAAACCAAAATGGATAAATAAATAAAGGGGGGGGGGGGAGGTTGTTGCTAAAGCTCTCGCCCAGTAGTGCAGTTGCTTCTAACCACATTTAACATTATTAAAATTATTAAAGCAAAAAAACAGTATACCATACTGATGGGCGACTTTAATGCCAAAGTAGGCAAGAAACAGGCCGGAGACCATGCAGTGGAAGATTGTGGCATTGGCTCTAGAAATGCCAGAGGGGAGTTACTAGTACATAATAGTTTATGGATCTTGAATACCTTCTACAGAGAACAGGCTCACCGTAAATGGACGTAGTGAAGTCCTTTATTGGTGAAACTAAAAATGAAACAGACTTCATTCTGCATGCACACCCAGGCATTGTACAGGATGTAGGGGTATTTGGCAAGACCCGATGGAGTGACCACAAAATGGTAAGAGTTAGAATTCACCTAGGTTTAAAAAAGCGAAGGCATGAACTGATACACAATAAGTCAATTATTGAACTAGTAGTGAGAGGGAAAGGACAATAATTGAGAGTTTCGCTTCAGAATAGATTCACGGCTTTGAACAAGGTAACCGATGCTAGCATTGACACAAGAATGATAATTTTACTGGCACCATCAAAGAATCTGCAACAGAAGTTGGAGGTACAGTCACTAGACAGGACAATGGCAAACTATCTAAGGAGACGAATTTCATTAAGGGGGGACGCGGCTCTTGAAAACCGAAAAATCGCGAAAAAGTCGGTTTTTGAAAAACCACATTTTTGGATTGTATGTCTCATAAACTACCTATTCTGTAATTATCAGCACCTAATTCAACCACAAAGTGCAAAAAAAATACTATTTTCGAGGCCGCCGCGGCGTCCAAAACAGGCGCAAATTCCGAAATCAAACCAAACTTCGCGCGCGCGCCATTCCCGGACCATGCGGTCGTCCCGCGCCATCTTGGTGTTGTTTTGACCGTGAATTCTTTCTCTCTCGTTCGCCGCCTTGCAAAATGGCGTCGGCAGCACAGTTGAGACGCTATTGGCGCTTTCCCGCGATGCGATGTGGAGTGCTGATTGGCTAGAGCAGCGCATTCATATCTCGCGGGAGAAAGCGTGCCCGCCATTGGCTGCTGTGCAACAGCGGGGGCGGTCGCTCATCTCGATGGCGCGTCCAGCGCGCTCGCTTCGTTGTTGCTCTCTGCTCCGTCCGCCTCGACAGACGTCTGCTTACGAGCCGCTCTTCGCCTTGTGCTATCTTTCCGATCATTTTCTCTCGTTTTTTTTTCTTTTTGCACTAGTCCTGTGCCTTTCGTCTTTGTTGCTGCGGGCGATGCCGGCAACGAAGCCGAAGTCAGTGCAGAAGTTTGGTGCACGGAGGCGCGCTATGCAGCTTGTACGATCATCGAAATTCCGCTATTCTGCTGCGGGTGCCGACTGCGTAGACGCTTGCAGCGACGGAACTGTGTTGTCGGCTGTCGCCAGTCGAGAATCCGACACATCGAGTGTGGCTGGAGCCGCAAATCTTTAAGGTCGTGCTCAGCCGCACAGTGTGCAAAGAATGTTTGAAAGGTGCTATGACTGTCCGAGAGAGCACCAAGCTTGGACTTGCAACAAAACTTGAAGTCGTGTGCGCCTCTTGTGGCACCGTCGATAAATTATGGACATCACCCCGCAAAAAAGACACGCAGGTCTTCAATGTAAATGTCCGCGCCATAATGGCTATAAAGCAAGTAGGCAAGGGGCAAACAGCTCTTAATGACTTTTGGGCTGCCATGAACGTCTCTTACAGAGGTCTTCACCACAAGACGTTTCAAAAGCACTTGAAAGAGACGTTCAGGAAGCCAGAGGCCACCGCTTTGGAGAAGTTTTATGCTGATTCTGCCACAGCAGTGATCAAAACATATATAGAAATAGACCCCAGCTTCTGCAAGGACATCACCGTAGTGTACGATGGCACATGGCATAAGTGGAGTCACACATCACACATCAGAGTAAGATCGGTAATTGACTTCTTTACAGGTCTCATCTTGGATGCTGTAGTTCTTTCAAACCACTGCCTTGGATGCCAAACAGTGCCCAAACCTGGAGATGCAGCATACGAAAGCTGGCAGAAGCACCACATTTGCCAGAAAAACACAGACGCAAAATAGGGAAACATGGAAGTGGAGGCAGGCTTGACTCTCTTTGGGCGGTCTGTATCCAAGCATGGCCTGCGGTACACCACTCTTGTGTCCGACGGAGACAGCCGTACCTTCGCTGCCCTCACAGAAGAGAATGTGTACGGGCTAGTGCCAATTGTAAAAGAAGAATGTCTGAACCATGTTCAGAAAAGGATTGGAAGTGCTCTTCGAAACATTGTGCAGAAAAGTGATAAGCCACTGAGTGGGAAGGGGAAGCTGACTAAAGCCCTCATTGAAAAGCTGACAGGATATTATGGTTGGGCCCTGAGAAACAATTCAACTGACCTAACAGCCATGCAGCGTGCAGTGATGGCAACATATCACCACGTCATATCGACTGACCAGGACCCTCACCATGAACTTTGCCCAGAGGGGGCTCAATCGTGGTGCCGCCATAGAGCTGCAGAGGCAAAGCGTGAGCCACAGCCAAAACATAAACACAGCCTACCGGACTATGTCGCTGCAGCTATGCTGCCCATCTACGAAAGACTGTCACAAAAGTCGCTTCTTCAGCGCTGCCTGGGAGCGAAGACGCAAAATGCATCAGAATCATTCCACTCCATTCTGTGGTCTCTGATGCCAAAGGAACAACACTCATCCTTGAGCGCGGTAGAAACAGCACTGCATGAAGCAGTGCTGCGCTACAATGCTGGCTTCTGCAAAGCAACCCAAGTGATATCGGACTCCATTGGACTTCAACCAGGTCATCTGGCCATCCAGCGAGCTCGTGAAAAAGACGCTTTACGCCTAAAAAAGAATTCTAAAAGACACCAAGAGAAGATGGAGGCCAGGCAAAAGAAGAAAAGAGTGCGCCAGGACACTTCTAGCTACTGTGCTGGAGCTTTTTGAAGAAAACACGTGTTTTGAACTTTCTCGGCCTGTTTTCTCAGAACAGATTTTTTTGCTAGTTGTGGTGCTGAGGAAAGCAAGAACTCGAAAACCGTTCATCAGATTTGTGTGCCGTTTTTTTTATTCTGTTCCTGAATGACCTTGCAAGGGCGTAACAAGCTCCTTTTTTTTGAAAATTGGTGCTGTTAATTTATAATAAACAATTAATTTTTGATGAATCAGGTCATTACTGGTTACATCAAATTCAATGTTGCGTGAAAATATTTGGGGGGGGGGGGGGGTAACTGAAAAAAACGGCTTTGTAGCGCCCTGGTATAGCTATCAAGGAATGACCACAATGAATTTCAGCTTTCTACTATGTCCTGGGATTTCTCACGACTCTTCCTCAGGCACCCATGTGAAGCACCCAGTTAAACCTCAATAACTCTGGAACTAAGAAACACAGCTTCGTGAAACTTAGCAGTTGTGCTAGTTTTATTGTAGTGAACAACCCCTGAAAGTTTCATCCAGATATCTTAAAAAATAAAAAAGTTCGGTCTCCAGGGTAGCCTCCCCCCTTAAGAGATGACAAACCATGCAAGCCTCAAATGCAATTGACAAAATAGAGCTAGTGAAGGTTTCGAAGTTAATTAATAGGCGTAATGTAAGCCGACATCAGAAGGTATAACATGGAAAGAATCGAGCAGGCTGTAAAAAGCCGCAGAAGCCTAAAAGCTGCGAAGCCAGACCTGTGCGTAGGCAAAAATCGGGTGTATGCATTGAGAAACAAGGAAGACAATGTCTCATAACCAATATGGATAGGATAGTCAAGATGGCGGAGGAGTTACACAGAGAGCTGTACAGAAGTCAAAAGAACCAGGATGACATCAAGGGAAACAATAGTAGTGCAGAATAATTCGACATCCTACCAGTAACGACAGAAGAAGTAAGGAAAGCCCTAGAAGGAATGCAAAGAGGCAAAGCCACTGGTGAGGATAAGGTAACAACGAACCTCCTCAAAGATAGCAAAAAAATTGTGTTGTAAAAATTTGCCATCTTATATGTAAAATGTCTCTGGATAGTAAGGGTACCAAAATCTTGGCAGAACACCAATGTGATCTTAATCCACGAGATAGGAGGCATCAAAAACTTCAAATATTACAGGCTCATCAGCTTACTGTCTGTCTTTATGAATTATTTACACAAATAATACCTGATATAATTAAGACAACATTAGCGTTCAATCTACCAAAAGACCAAGCAGGATTTCGTACAGGCCATATTCGTACAATAGACCATATTCATACAATCAATCAAGTGATGCAGAAATACGTGGACTACAACCAGCCCCTATACATAGCCTTCATAGATTACCAACCCCTATACCTAGCCTTCATAGAGAAAGAATTTGACTTAGTCGAGATATCAGCCGTAATTCAGGCACTACGAAATCAGGGAATCGATGAACCCTACAGAAACATACTGGAAAAAATCTACAGCTGATTCGCTGATGATATTGCCTTGACGAGTAACTCAGGGGACGAATTACAGCTCATGACTACTGAACTGTACAAGGTAAGCAGAAGAGTAAGTCTGAAAATTAATATGCATAAAACTAAGGTAATGCACAACAGCCTCGGCAGAAAACGATGCTTTGCGATAGGTGGAAAAACACTGGAAGTTGAAAAGGAATATGTTTACTTCGGACAAGTAACTGCAGAGCCGAACCATGAGAGTGAAATAACTAGAGGAATAAGGATGGGGTGGATCACATTCGGCAAGCAATTTCAAATCATGAATCGTAATCTACCACTAATCCTCAGGAGGAGGGTATACAGTTAAACCTGCTTATAACGAACCTCCATATAACAAATTCAGAAAACAATGCTTTGCGATAGGTGGAAAGACACTGGAAGTTGTAAAGGAATATGTTTACTTCAGACAAGTAACTGCAGAGCCAAACCATGAGAGTGAAATAACTAGAAGAATAAGGATGAGGTGGATCACATTCGGCAAGCAATCTCAAATCATGAATCGTAATATACCACTAACCCTCAAGAGGAGGGTATGCAGTTAAACCTGCTTATAACGAACCTCCATATAACAAATTCAGAAAACAATGCTTTGCGATAGGTGGAAAGACACTGGAAGTTGTAAAGGAATATGTTTACTTCAGACAAGTAACTGCAGAGCCGAACCATGAGAGTGAAATAACTAGAAGAATAAGGATGAGGTGGATCACATTCGGCAAGCAATCTCAAATCATGAATCGTAATATACCACTAACCCTCAGGAGCAGGGTATACAGTTAAACCTGCTTAGAATGAACCTCCATACAACAAATTCCTCGTGTAACGAAGTTCTTCTATTCCCCGCCGTTGCCCCATAGAAGCACATGTATTTGCAACCTTTACATAACAAAGTAACAACGGAAGACAACTTTGATATAAACAAATTTTTGCCACGAACAATCTAGAAATTTTGCCCCAGACTGCTACTTGATTCAAGCGAAGGCCACAGAATCGATAATTCCCACTTTTACCACAACAGCATGAACATAAGACTGCATTTATGAATCTGAATCCCAAAAGGGTGCTAAGATAACACAGTAATTTTGAACTGCACGTTAAGCTGAGCTTGCCTTGAAAAGCAGGTGAAGGGCCCCTGACACAAGAGGAGGGTAGTCGTGCATAGTCAGGTGTAGCAGCACTCGCAGAAATGTGCGTCCCCCCTCGCCATCCAGGTCAACATCACCCAAGTCTTCCCTGCATGCTCACAGAGAATACAACAGTCATTAGGACACAGCAAAGCACCGAAAAATCATAGTTTCGCACTTGAGAAATAAACTTCATATGTTCTACAGTGGTAGATGCATGACAGGTACACACTGATCATGGAGTTCATTGTGATGGGAGTCATTAGAAGCTCTCACAGAAGAATATAAAAAGCCCAAAAAATCCATGGCATGCACCTTATTAACTCTACCACTGTAACGCTGACTGTCTAACACTTGCAGCCACACAGAACTTTTCTGAATGTGCTACAGATGACCACGCTATATATATAGTGCTGCCACAAGTCCCATAATAACTAGCTCCCAAAAGTCTCATAATACATTGATTCAAGTCGCACAAGAAGCTTATATTAAAATAAAGCAGAAAAGATGGCTTTTTCACATCAAAGTGGGAAAGCCGCAATACAGTATTTGAACGCTTGGAATGTTCAAACAAATAATGCAGTATTCGAATTCCTTTGAATCAAACTTAAATGACTGAAGTATTTTAATTACTCGAAACAAACGAAATAAATTCATATTAGTCGGCATGTAACCTCCTGTAAAAATGGTTTCGCTAGCAGTGGAACAATGCTAAGCCGTGAAAGCAGATCCAAGAGAAATCTGCACTGCTAACATTAGGCCTTGTGCGAATAGTGAGTTTTAGGTTTAAGTGAATTCTAATTGTATATATGTCATATAAAAAAAGGCATACTTATCATGACACAAGTAACCTGCAAAATATATTTTTTTAATTGAAGTAAGACCTCTATGCAAATGCCGTTTCTTTTGTTGTTGTTGTTCAAAGGAGGTCGAAACAACTTTGCGTAGCAGCAGGATCAGGCTTTCGGTAGGATGCAAGCGATAACGCGAAAAGTATGTAACATTTTAAAATTTATTGTATTTAGAGCATATACGCAGGCATATCAAGCTTTTAAGCTTAAAAATGATGAATCGATTTGAGGGTAATATGTTCATTTAAAAAAGCCCTCCCGCACCTTTTCAAGTAGCCATAGAACATATTCACTAAAGAAGCTTATTGCCCCTCACAACTTCCCTACCACAAACATTTTTATAATCGGTCCAGTACGAGCAGAGTTACAAAGATATGTCGCACGCTGCATTTGCATTCTCTCTTCCCGTCCCGAAGAAAGTGCTGGAAGCTAAGCAGGGAGGGATGGCACGGGGAAAGAAAATACATCATGCATGCGTCGTGACCTTGAGAACATTCACCGTCTTATTTTTTTTTTTATTTCTTCGAAGACGCGGATTTTTAGTGCCATTGCACACGTATGCACGGACAAGTGGTAGCCTCCCGCGGCGGCCCCAATAACGAACGAGCGTGCCATGCTCAAATCAGTCAATGGCTGGTGCAATGGCTGCGACGAGTGATTTTTGAGCTTGTCGCTTCATCTGTCGAGAGAAAAGAGCAGTTTTTAGCTGACTTTGAGAATTTATTGTTGATCGCAGGCCACGTGCTGAGCTGTATATTTGTTCGCATGTTCGCAGTTGCCTTGACTACCGATCAGCAGCATTTTTTGACCAAGCTCAAAGAGTGTTGCAGTGCTCCTTTAAATTTGAAGTAGAGCTTGCGACAAAACAGACTACTTTTGTATAGATGTTTTCACGGCTTAGCATCCCTACACTGCAGTGAAACCAACTTTACAAGTACTTACATGTTGATTAATATGCGCTTATTCATCATTGCGAATACTTCATAATTTTTAATCATTTAAGTTCGAATCGAAGTGAATCCGAATGCTCTACTATTTGTTCAAATATTTAAAACATTCAAATATTCACACAAACCTAATGAACATATCATCCTCGCATCGATTCATTATTCTTGATGTTTAAGAACTTGTTATACCGGCTCATATGCTCCAAGTATAGTAAATATTAAAACGTAACATAATTTACAAGTTATCACTTGCACTCTACTATAAGTCAAATCCTGCTACTATTCAAAGTTGTTTCCACTTCCTTTGAACCAATTATGGCATTTGCACAGGCCTCGTTTAAATTTTAGAAATATATACATAAGACTCTCGTCAAACAAGACAATGCATTTCGTTTAACAGGATTTCTGTTTACTGAAAGATGAGCAGGGGGACAGAATTCAGGTATCAAACCAACTGTGCTAAAGACAGTTGTTCTGTTTAAGCATCAGTTCTGTTTTAGAGTTTTTGAATTACTGAGAGTGCACTATATTGTGCAGATTAAGTGATGACAAATATGCCCATTTTTTTTTTATAATGTGCTATATATATACTATTCGAACACAATTTTAAATTATTCTACAAATATCACTATTGTCTACGAGTTTGCTTTGAACCTAAAATACCCTATTCACACAAACCTACAAATTATGTATCCTACGTCTATTTTGACACTATTCTATCTGCAAGCATGACATGTAAGACTGTAAAGTCAACACAAAAGAAGACCAAGGCATTATGAAGGGCATAAAAAGTTAGCTTCCTCCAGCAACAAGCAAGAAAATGTGAAGGGTTATGTCCCTACATCTCACCAGAAAGAACCAGGTTTAGAAGAAAACGAAATGGGTGTTTCCAAGAGAAAATAAAATTTGTATTGCCTTTCATACAAGCTGCATCACTTGCCAATGCACATTATTTTATACTTATGCTGCCCCTCATTCTGGGGTATGTCAGTTTGTTACACCATCTTAGCCACCAAATAATATTCCTTCCACAAAAAACAAGCTTTTGTCTACTACGAGTGGAATTCTTGGTAAGTTTTTAGTATTTGCTAAACTTGACAAAACTAAAATTATTGGAAGCCATAGAGCATTTCTAGAGTATCAAATCTGGTGTCTATTGAAGACACTCAAAAGACTAATTTAAGGAAAATAATGCCCAATGTAATGCAAGAGGGAGCAGTAAACGAGCCAGTTGCAAAAATTCAGACAAGCTGCCCCTTGCTTACTTAGCTACTAAACTAAGGAAAACTGGACAGTAACGCAACCTTGAAGAGTTTTATGTGGTACGAAAAACAAAGCAGCTTTCTACTGAGTAAAGAAAGCTGCAAAGCGACATATATTCAATGGTTTTACAATAATATGTGTCAGCACAACAATGTGATTATCAACAAAGCAGTACCCTAGAGCTCGTTAGTAATCATTTATCACTGCAGAGGGCGATGACAATGCAGTAAACGGCTACTCACGTGCCTCCGAAGATGGCCTCTGCCTCCCTGCCAATCCGCTCCATGTCAACACCTGCAGTGGTAGAGAAAGGTCAGCTACCATGCATCAAGGGCACTAGCCAATCACAAGGGGGTGTAAAGGGGGCACATGCCACATCTTCGAGATGCATCAGCAGCTATGCCTGAAGCACCGTCATTTAACTGAATTAGATGTAACTTTGCGCATTCTGTCAACAGCAATGCCAAGTAATACAAGTCATGGCAAACAGTCAAATCGTCGCCGCATCAAGATACAAAAAAATTCAGGCACCTGCACACTGGTGGTGCGAAGACTAACAGAACAAGGGAAGCTGGTGGCTTTCCACTCCTCGTTTTCATCCTCCTAAACCTCGCTTCCCTTTCCCAGTTTCTGCTTTACTATACTAAACATAGAGTTTCATATAATAATATCTAGACACAAATCTGGTGCTGCAATTGTGTACCCCCACAGGAATTATGGAAAGTACAGGCTTAGGATTATATTGCGTTAGCTAGCGATCTGTCTACAGATCCTTTTCTACAGCTTCAGTTTTGTTCTTAGCGCAGAGTGGGTAGTGGGACACGGTGCAAAGCACTGAAGCAGCGCCTTCATTGTTGTTCAAAGAGGCTCAAGACTGCTAGGTCACTTTATTTGACAAGACATTGGAGCTTTACAAGTTGTACTTGACAGTTTAAAAAGCGAAGTGTCGTTCACTCACAGCTGCACATAGATGTAGCGTCAAATGCCAGTGCAAGATGTTGCATCGAGTTACTGTTTTTCTGTAAGCGCAGCTTGCCACAACTTGGTTTAACTCGACTGCAAAACGATGGAGAAGCTAAGTAGATGCACCGTCATGCTCCTCTGTCGTGAGTTCACAACAAAAAGTAAGGTGCGTTGGGGGCAGACCACTTGGATAGATGCACCTGACATCGCAGCAGACGAAAAGCTAAGTAGTTTCTTCACTGAATACTGTACTGTCATTTCCACAAATTGATAATGCGTACTTTCGAGGGCAAAACAAGAATGTTTGTTTTCAAATTAAAAAAAAAAAAGTCATTATAGCTCGATACAAAATCTGGAACGCAATGGCAGAGTAATGCATACCCTGGTGCTTGAATTTTTCCAAGTTTCAACTTTCACGTCATGGTTACAAAAATCTCTTGCAATAAGATTTACATACAAAAGAATGAAGCAAGTTTCAATTAGACATAGCTTCATATCACTTTGTTTTACAATAGGCAAACAAGCAGTCACAAATCTCAAGAACGTAATCCAATTGAAGCAGATCCCAGGCCTGTATTTCCCTTAATAGGTGAGGCGTAAACCTGCAAAGGCTCATGGGAGGCGCCATCTGCATTAGCTTTCCGGTTCAATATATCCGTAGCGCGCTGTTTCACTGGCCACAGTTTTGGAGCTGTATACACGTCCCTTTCTTTCAATTGTGTTGCAATTAAATCGCTCGCGCAATCATGGTTGTGCAGCTATCGGTTGCCCTGGTTCAAGCAAAAAAGAGAAAAGGATGATCAGATTCCCTTAGAAAAAAGACAGAAAATTGAGGTGGGTTTTGTGGTAATAAAGAGAGTCACGGTCAGTGGTATAGCCTTTGGATGCCTAGTGTCAGGTGTGTGATATTTGTCCCAAATCCTGCATGAATGGTTTAATTCTTCTGGCACATTTGGTATTTATGTACAGGTGCTCCCAGTAAAGATCCATGGCAGGTTGTCTACGTGCCGTCCCCGTTTTGGTATGACAAAGGAACCAAGACTTCAAAATGGAAGCCCAAAAGGAATTTGGATGTGTAGTTTTGGATTTGTAGACTGAAGCTGGGGTTGTATTTATTATGTGAGTGCGTTCATTACGCAAGTAAATACGGCACAAGGCTAAGCTATACGTTAATCTCTTCCTTCATTCTCATCCTCAGAGCCCTTTCTCACCCCCTTGCTTACCCACTTTCTCACTCACTTCCTAGACATGGCTATGCCATGCTTCTCTATCTTCCTTTATCTATCTTTTTTTCTCTCTCATTTCTATATGTTTGTCTCACTCTCTCTTTTCCTATCTTCCTCTCTTTTTCTTTCTCTTCATATTTTTAACATTCTCTTGCGCTACAGCAATACAATCATATGGTTCCCATAAATGCATGTTTTGCTAGCGTGCCTGGATAGTGGGTTGGTTACAACAGTCCCCTTCCGATTGGGGGCACATACGTTCAAACCCAACATTACCAAAAAATTTTTCCGCCGTGAATTTTTTTCTTTCCAACTCTTTCTACTTGTTCCAACGCTCATCAAAGTTATTGCATCTCACACTGCACAAAGCAGTGCACATCTTCCGAGAGTGAAGAAGAAGATGAAGAGGGACAAAGAGAGCACATGCCAGTTCATAACAAACTTTTCTGTTCACGATTAACAGCATTTCTACAAGCTTAAACAGCTCTGCTATTAATAACAGTTTTGCTGAAGTGCACTACCAGATGTGACCTTGGTCACGTGCCAATACATGAAGTTCTGTTTGGCTTGATCTGTCAAGAGCAGCCTATCTGCTATTTAAAGGGAAGTAATCTACTTTGTGCTGGTTGTAAATAGCAGCGAAAAATGCAGGCAACGCTTTCCAAGTAAACACACCTTTTTCGCCAACAACAATGGTCTCATCATCTTTCTCGTGGCTTTGCTGGAACTCTCGCTTGAAGATGGTCAGTAGCCCCGTGATGCGGTAGTCAAGCCTTACATTCAGGATGAACTGGGCACACACAAAGACAGCAGCAACAAAAATGAGCACAGAGGCAGTCCATTTTTTTAGTTAGCATTAAAGCAATACATTAGATAGGGCTGGTAGGTTGCACTCTTAAAGCAGTTCCATAATTTTCTGAGACGCCAAGCTGATGCTAAGACAGAAATTACATTATTTCCAATTTTTCAAGTGAAAGAACTGAACCTAACATTGCTCAATGTTTTCTTCCATTTTTCATTCAAGGCAGTCCACATAGGCAGCAGAATTCAACAGATGAGAAACATGTTAATGTGTACAAGAGAGAAAAGAAGAATTGAGAAGATATGATGACATTGGCAGGTGTACAATATCTGACAAAAACCAATATGCTAAAGCTGCGAGTACCACCACACGATGTAGTGTAGACGTATACCGAAGGAGTACGGCCACTAGCGTGGGTCCAGTCTTAGCGAGCCGCAGGGCACGTGTTAACCGTCGCTGTGGCAAGAACACGATACTGCTCAAAGTCGCAACACTTTATCGTCTGTGGCAACACCAAACACAGTACAGCCCGTTGCGAAGACGCGACGGGAAAGCAAATAGGCTTATCCACGCCACAGGCATAAAAGTACTACACAGGGTGCCACGAGCACGTCTCTGCGGTAAAGGTGATCCACGTAGACACCGGGACCAAGGCCCGGTCGCTTGAACGAGGGCAAAGGCGCTCGCGTTGGCTTCAGAGGGAGACGGGTCGGCGTAGCTCGGCCAGGCACTAGGACACCGTACCACTCTTCGGCCTAGCGTTCGAAGGGGGGGGGGGGGGGGCGACATAAGGTAAGCGTTCGCCGCGGGCGCGCAAGGCGCTGTTGGCGAAGTCTGAACGAGCCCCACAGGGAGCTGACGGACGGAAAAGAAAAGCGTGCTTACCCCATGTCGTCCCCAGAAAGGACTCCCCCGCTTCCGACGCAGCGCGCGAAAACCTCTCAGGAGACTCCGCGCGCGGCGCCATAGTCAACATCCGCTACCAGGTGAGGAAGTTAAACGTCACTTCGCTCCCCCAGCGCGGCAGACAGCGGAGGAGGGGAGACATGTCCGGACATGAGAACGAAAAAAGAGGCGGCAAAGCCCGCGCAAAGGCAGCGGGCCGGCCTCAATTCCAACATCGACTACAAATGATGCATGCTTACCTGCAAGATTTCGATAATCTTGAGTTTTGTGTCCATAACAAGGGTGTCTTCAGCAGCACTTTTTCGTGGTGTTGGTGCAGGTGTTTTGGCCAAGGTGTTAGATCCAAGCACCATGTTTGTGACAACTGTGCCCACATCTCCCAGAGACTTCAATACGCTGCCCTGGGCTGCACAAGTGCTCAATATAATCACCGCCAAGTTTAGTCACAATACAACGAATTTATTTCTACACATGCTGATGATTTTCGAAGTATACAAGATCTTTGTAAATCGAATAACAAGCAAAAATTATTTCACAAAGTAAATTCATTCTGTCTTCATTAGTAGCATGAGATTGTTGAAACAGCCATTTCATTCTTCAATATGCAGCTTTGTAGAGAATAAGTTCATTCCACATAGCCAGGAATCTAGCCTCATAAAAATGCTAGACGAGCTGCCAGAAAACAAAAATACACAGCAGTACGAGGTTGATTAAAATGAAAACGTGGACCCACTGAAGTTGACAGCATTGAATCAAGTTTTTTCGTTCATAAAATTTTGCACATCATCCAAGAAACCCTCTGTATCCTCAACTACGCCCTTCACGAGCAAACAAGCACATATCATCAACTACGACAGAAGGCTGTTAAAGCAATGTGTTGCAAGTGAAAGTCAGATCGTTACATGGAGAAAGAAACAAAATGCAGGAAGACCAGTATCTGTCACATTCACAGTTTGCAGCCAACTGGGTACAATTACAGCATATTGGAAGAGCACAGCAAAACGTCACTTGCATGGTAGAGACAGGGAAAAGGGGCGTCAAGAAGTAATTTAGACAAATAGTTCAGCTACATATGCAGACAACTGCTGCTTCGGTGACGCCGATATTGAATTCGATACAATGAAAGACGGGCATTTTAATGTGTATCATGAGCAAGACAGACATTTACACTGACACTTAAAGGACCAAAACAAGGATGGCATAGCGCACGGCTCTCCCAATCAGGACACAAGTGGAAGCATGCAATCGAACATTGTATAACTTGGACACGAAAAAAACCAGCCTACAGATCAGTTTACATTAACTGGTTATATTTGCAGGACAACAAATAGGGGAAATAACAGGTTAGTACAGATCAAACACATGCAATGACAAAGGTAAAAATAGACAAACTATCCAACCTACTCACTTTTCAACTCCTTTTCAGGGGCTTGTTTATCAAGAAAATAGATAAGACATCAGCAAGGTAAGATAGAGGATTCTAACTGTTACTCACCATTGGCTATGGCAGCTTCAGGTACACAGTCAAGAATGTTAAGCAGTGTCTTGGTGAGACGAAGAAGGTCACTGAAGCTGTAGAAGCCAAAGTAGATCAGCTCTCGAGCAAGTTTGACGACCTGGGAACAAGTGACTGCTAAATGTATGTTTTCAACAAATGTTAAATTACAGCAGTATACCCAAATTGTCAAAGAAACACTTTATGCTGCACTTGCCTTAAGTTTAAAAATTTTAAAGGTGACAAAAGTATGTGCTACTTTTACATTGCAGACATTTTAAACAGTGAACTCAGTGTTTGTTAAAATAATGCAGATTACGATACAGCACAACTAACTCCTTGTGTAGTGTGCTCCGAGCGGCACATAGCACAGAAAAATCTAGGTTACAAGTACATCACACCTAAACCAAATTGCACATAAATTGCAATATTGCAGAGAGAATTGTATTTTGGCTCAGTTAGTACTATAGTGTGCATACATTATGTACTAGCAACATGCATAAGTCACAGTTTCATCAGTTCCACATCGTGTGCCAGGAGAAAGGGCATGTATGAATGCTTTGTGATTCATTACTTCTAATGACCTAGTGTGATTGCAATACCATGACAAACCCAATAATGTGCACAAACGCTTCAATAACTTCGATATGCAATACAACATGTCACCCGAAAGTGGAGAAATTTACTAGTGTAGACCACTTGACCCAATGAATGATGTTGTAACAAATGTTGCATGCTCTTCAAAACAAGATAAGTCTGAGATGTCACTGGTATCCTTCATTTGTTTAGAAACAAGGATGTTACACCCAACTTTGAAAATACCTAGTAACATAGTGCAGCGGTGAGACAAACCTCGAAGGTAAGCTTGTTTCTGTTCCCGATCTGCAAAAGACCACACATGTCCAACAACATTGCACAGGTAGTCCTCCACAAAGGTGATAGTGGGCTTGAACTTGCGCTGAACTGCTTCCTTCCCCAAGTCAGGATGACGATTTGCATCATAGCTGCATCACAGACACAAGAAGGTCATTTTGCTACTCCACAAGTCAAATGGCTAAAACATTTCAAATGAGTTCAATGCTGGTATTAACTATTGATTAACACTCAATCAAAAGCAAGAAAAGATTTGAAGTTTTAGTAAAAGATCGAAATATTCAAAGCGGCACATTTCAATTTTACATTCTGCGGTGGTGCTGACACCCCCTGTACAAGTTGTTCGCGCTGCGTGGCGCACGTGTGTCGCGCAGAAGCCATATTTCGGGGTCGCAACTATTGAGCGGTAGGTGGCGTGTTCGCGAGCGTTGATCACCACTATCATTATCATGGTTAGATTGGTAGTGCCGGCGGTGACCCTGGCGGCAGGCCTTAGTGGCGGCACGAGTTGATTGAGCGAGTCTCTTTCAGCTGGTGGCGTTTGGCTCGAACAGTTGTCTCTAACGGTGCACGACACCGCGCGCCGTCTGCCAGAGGCCCTTGTGGTGAGTCAAGCTCTGGCACTGCCACCTTGTGTTTGTTATGTTGTTGAGTGTATAGTAATATTGTGTAAAGTTGTTTTAGTGCGTTGATCACAATTGATGATGTGTATTATAATTTGGCTGACGATATCATCGATCAAAAAGTAGTTAAATAACTGGTAGTTGTTTTGGTTTGTTCCAACCATGTCTGCTGTGCCCGTTCACTCCAAGAGCGTTGTGGCGCTCTCCATTCCGAAACCCCACAAATCACATATAGATCAGTTATATGAGAAAATTCTTAATTGACTGGTTTCTTCCAGAGAATATTTCTGCACTTTCATAAAAATGTACATGTAATACTTTACTTTTTTCACAGAACCTGCAAGCTAGGATTTACGTAACTGTTGAATCCCAACGCATGAAATATGTTCACCTGCCTTTGCCCAAGCACCTCTTTATTTTAACATTTACAGCCGGCCTATAATGACATCTTCAATGACTATAATGTCCTGCTCAACACAAGTTGCCAAGTTGTGCACTTGTATCGAAGCAGCATTAAACTGAAAAGCAGAGAATGATATGGAGTATGTCTAAAACACCATGCTTGAAAAAAAGTGTTCACAAAAAACCAACTTCAGGTCATCTCACTTGTACTGCTGCTTTAGGGCAAGAAATGGTTTTTAAGTTGCTTAATTTTACAGAAGAGCTATAGCATAGCATAGTCACAAACAGTTAATTATGCCGTATCTGTGTTTGTAGTTCTTACTGTACTGGTTTCTCTTTCTCTCTCTTCTTTTACTAATAACAAAAGAAAACAGCTGTTCGATTGATTTGTGGGGTTTAACGTCCCAAAACCACCATATGATTATGAGAGACGCCGTAGTGGAGGGCTCCTGAAATTTCGACCAACTGGGGTTCTTTAACGTGCGCCCAAATCTAGAAAACAGCTGTTCCTCTTCTCTAATAGTAATGATAACTACAATATATATTTCAATACAGTAGCAAACGCCACAGGTCTGAGAATTCCGGAGCGGAGTTACCTGAAGGGAGCACTCATTTTGTAGGATGTATGAAAGGCTTGGCTCAACGCTATTTGTGCTCTGAATTCAATAGTAGAATTATTATAGCTCTTTCACAATCTTTTCTGAGCCAGCATTTTCTCATGACATGTGGACAAGAATGTGAAAAAGCTGACAATGCGGGCGTCCACTGCTCTCAATCACGCATGCTTTGCAACCTCCCTATTGCACATGAGATCTAGTGGCTGGAAGTGTATTAGACATGTTAGACACAGTCAAAGTTTGGCGATAGACCAATAATTGGTGACGAATAATCATGTTTTTCAGAAATGCATTAAGAGGTGAGAGCTCTGCATTCCTGCATTAAGTCATTTTATGCACTTTGAGCAGGCTTGTGCCAATAGTGAATTTTAGGTTCGAAGCGAATAGCCATCTTGGTCGAAAAATTTCAAATCAACTTCGAATAGTATATATCATATTATAAATAAAAGTGAGCATACTTGTCATGACCTAACTAAGCTACACAATATTTTTAAATATCGAAATAAGGCCTGTCCAAATGTTTTTTTTATTATTTTTGTTCAAAGGAAGTATAAACAACTTTGAATGGTAGGAGGATTTGACTTTCATTAGAATGCAAGCTGATAACCTGTAAAATAGGTTATGTTTTACAGTTTAATATACTTAGATCAAATAAGCCGGTATAACAAGCTTTTAAACAAAAAAAAAACAATGAATCGATGCGAGGGTAATATGTTTATTTAACCTTGATGTGGAGCTTTACGGCAGTGTGAATTGTTCCTGAATATGTGTTTTCACGGTTTAGCGCCCTTCCAATGCAGTGAAACTTCCTTTGCAGGGGGTTACATGAGGACTAAATTACACCTATTCATTCATTTTGAATAGTTCGCAATTTTCCATAATTTAAATTCGAATCGAAGTGAGTTCGAATATTGTAATATTCTTTAGGGATATTCAAACCATTCGGATATTCGCAAAAGCCTAGTTTTTGGTAGTGAACTTTGGCACATAGAAATCATATCAAAGTGGAGCATAGGGCCTCTACCTTACGCTTATTAAGACAGTGACATGGACAATACAGGCAATGTCATTGTTTGCATTTAGCCTCTTCAGTACACATTTTGCTAGAAGTAGACCCCATTTTTGTTAAATACATTACGCAGTAGGTCCTCTACAGTTTCACCATTTTAGAAGTGAGTGCACAGCACCAAAGCTAACAGGAAAAAAAGTGAATGTTAATTAACAGCCAGAAAATAATGCCCCAAAGAAAAATGCCTGCAATGGCAAGCGTAAAGCTAAGCCAAAAAGTATGCTAGATTTGGCATTACTCACTCCTGGATGGAAAGTTGCTCAGGAATGTCGGACCAGAGGCGTGCGTACTTGACAGGTGTGATGAGCTCCTGGGGATCCCTGTCCACATGCATGTGCAGCATGAGCCGACAAAAGGCCGCCCGCAACTCATATGGCAGGTTTTCATCTGCCATGCATCTGCAAGCATAGGTAGCAAGAAAGAACAAACATCACCGATCTAAGAAAATAAGAAAGGTTTAGGAGTCTGAAAAAAAAAAGCAATTATCGGGACAAAATTTATCATCAAGCCTAGAGTATTGCTGAAGAATATCGGCATTGAAATGTTGGTATCCTGTGACATCTAGGCTGCTTTGCACAAGGACAGGAGTGAAACATTGTTTTACATATTCTGCATGCATGCTACTACTGAAATTCTAAAGTTTTTAAAGACCAGTACAGCACCTTTTTTACATCTCTTTTACCATCCATGGCAAAAAAAAAAAAAAGAATTTTGTTTTCGTAGATGAAACTAGGAGGCTCAAAGGTTACACAATATTTTATCCTCGCAAATGCTCTCGAATTCATGACTGGACACAAGAGAAAAGACACCATAAACGCCGAAATATGTATCAACTAACATAGCACTCTGTTATTCTAAACTCAGACATTACTTCCCTTTTGACAGTAAAGGAGTTGTTCTAAACAACTCTAAAAAATCTGTGGTAATTCATAAGTCTGCTAATTAAACATTTAGGTGTGTTATTTGCAAACATCAAACGGCACAAGCTGCTCCTCACTTGTGGATCAGCTCAATGTCCAGATGAGGAGACAGGCTGTTGATGGCCAAGTACTGCCGGTCCAAACACATGCCCGAGAACAGGTCGAGTTGGTGCCTGCACAAAATCATTTTTATAAAAGAAGACAGGATTGTTCCAGTACACTTATTTGAGCCCTTTGTCTTGAGCAAACTGGTGCCCCAAGATGACAGCTGGAGTTCACTTGGGAACCTCCTGAGAAACTTTACAAAAATGTGAAAGGATAGAATAAGCTTATTACAAGAATAAACTAGAGAGTTTCAGATAGATGGATGCAAAGGCTTGAGTTCTTCTTGTGCACGGAAGACTCTTAGACCCTAGCAATATCCAAGCAAGTTTCCGGTTTATGGATGGGAAATTCACTTTCTTCTATTGATTTAAACGGGCCTGACACACTTTTTCAAGTAACCATGGAATGAATTCACTGGAAGAGCTTATTGCCTCATGAATTCAACGCCGCAAAAATTTTAAGAATCCGCTCAGTGCAAGTGGAGTTACAAAGGTTTGTCGCATGCTGCAATTGAATTCTTTCTTCTCTCGTCCTGATGAAAGAGCTGGAAGCTAAGCCAGGAGGGATGGCAGGGACAAAGAAAAATGCGCGGCTTTTTCAGAGTGGTCGCGCGCACATGCGTGGACAAGTCGCGGCCTCCCACGGTGATCTCTGTTATGATCGAGCGTGCCATATTCAAATCAGCCAATGGCTGATAGATGGCCTTTTTACGAGTGATTCGTTAGCATCTTCCGTGATTTGTCAAGAGAAGAGAAAGCAATTTTTAGCTGACTTTAATCATTTACTGTCAATTCCAGGCCGCGTGCTGCGCTATAATATTTGACGCGCGTGTTGTTAGGAGCCTCTACTATCGATAGGCAGCGTTTTCTGACAATGCTCAAAAAGTGTTGCAGGGCCCCTTTTAAGGCTAAAAGCCATGCACAAACACTTCTACTACCATGGCACTCTTAATTCTATCAACTACATTATAGCTTAACATGATCGTTATTTGTTAGTTCGTCCTGATCCCACCATAATGTACAGATAACGCTAGCAGCATTCTTACAACATCACATAGGACAACTTATTTATTAGCCAATTACACAACCCCAGTAATTGTGTCAGAAGCAGTGGCATAACTCTATGGCAGTGTGTCGGATAAAGCATTCAACTGCTTCAAATAAAGTGCAATAAATATGTTTTTTAGGCTTTAAAGGATCTAGGGGAAAATTCTAGCAGAATGGAATTTAAATTTCATAAAATTAATGTTTATGAAAATTTGGCATTATGCAAGGGTACGACGTTCTGCCATTAATGAATGTACAAGAATGCACAATCAGTGTTAATCACATTTTATTATGCAAACCCAGATAAAATTAGGTGCTTCAAATATATCGTTCTCAAGCTCAAATGTTGAAAAAAGTTAGAGGTGCATCTTGCACAAAGGTAAGATTTATGTACTGGTAAGATTTATGCACTGGTAAGATTTATGCACAAAGGTAAGATTTATACAGTGAATTGATTGATAAATAACCTCAGCAAAGATTATATCAAAGAAACACCCTGTGCAAAGAGCTATGCACATTTCACATACTGGAGTGAGATGAGAACCTATATCTTGTCTGCATAAAATGGGAGAAAGAAGAAAAAAATTGTACACATAAAAAATACTTGTTAGCAAGGACACTTCTCTCCAAATATTTCTTTCATGCTAAGACCTTTCATTTGGTACTTTGTTTATGCATTATATTTCTTTCATGCTAAGACCATTATTTGATACTTTGTTTATGCATTTTTTATTGGGCTCTCTCGTTATTTTCGTAATTGTGTAGATCAGATTCTTGGTTGCTTACAGCCATCACCCCAGCCTCACCTGTAGTAGTCAAGCGTGGCTCGTGCGCTCGGGCACTCGGTGTCTTGTGCCAACTCCACGATGCTGCGAGCCTCCCGGCCACTGTCCCACAGCAGTAGCACCTGTTCCTCCACCGCCAACGTAGGTGGGCCCCCCTCAATCTCCAGCTCAACCTGGCTGCGGACCACCCTGCACAACAGATGGTAGGTTATGCGTGATAATCACCCAATTCTCTTTAGGAATGAAGTTGAATTTCAGAAAACAGAAATCGCTAGGAGAGAATAACAGTTGAACTCCTTTATAACAGCATGCTCCGGACAGCGATTCCTGTCTTTTATATGAGATGTCTCTTATAGGCAGGGTACCTTGTATGCATATTTGTTATCAACCCGTATTTTACTGTAGGCACACTGGTGTCTCTTATACCTATTTGTCTCTTATATCAGTGTCTCTTATAAAGGAGATCGACTGTACTGATACAACAGAACAACCTCCAATTTGGTTGGTTTCATATTTGACTGTCAATAAATGAAACTCCTGTTACATGCGACATATTTTTTCAGGTTCATTCTGGCTTGTTTAAAAAAAAACTGCTGCATTTTTTTTTTTACCTGACCACTGCTACTCTCGTGTTGCCAGGAAGTCTTCATTTATTATCATTTGTGCAGAAAACCTTTAGCTTAGCCCGAAAACATAAAGCACTCTCTATCTTTTTCTTTTAATGATAGAAGTGTACCATGAAAACAGCTTATTTTACGACTTGGTTATACTAAAGGTAGTCCACAACAACTACGTGTTTGTTCTGCCCATAGGAGAACTATTGAACTCACCTATGTGGAACTGAATATTTGTATATATGCTATTTTGTTTTAGAGACAATAGTTTTTCTTGGGGACCTTCGACGCAAAAATTTTGGTCTGTCTGTCTGTAAATTTGTCTGTTGTCTAGCCTTAACGGTACCGTAAACAGTACTAAAGTGGCCAAATAATACTCCAAATGGCCGACTCCATCCGCAGCGCCCACCAATATTGCTTAAGGTTCAGCGTTAATACTTGTGCGATTGTCAATTAAAAAGCAATTATTGTGCATATCTGAGGCACCATAACAACACGTCAATATTATGCAAGTGTATTTTTTACTAGAAAAGGCATACATAAATAATTATAAGAACCATAGCGTTTATCACGCTGCGCTCACCATGCAACGCTTGGACGAAAAGGCAAGCGTTTCCAACGCTTTGCTAAGATGACACGGTGGCGGCACCTACCCCTCGCCTTGCGTTCTACACCTACCTTATCACCTCAAAGATGGGCCCGCACGCTGCGTGCTTCATTTTCAGGATAACTGCCAGATAGCACTCATGTCTCACGTGTGACGTGGCTTGAAGCACTCATTCACATCTGCTGCATGCTCAAGGCAATCTAACGCAGCGCCTCCAGAATACCATTCACCGATTTTCTTGCGCAGAACATAAAATAAACATTTTGTTCACTCTCTCCAGACGCAAGACTATCGTCTTTCCACGACATTTGCAATGTAACATGCAGATACAGAGCCAATTTTTTTCTGTATTCTTTATTTGAAACAATCAAGTGGAAAGAAGTAGCCATCGCCAAGTAAAGGTGACAAAAACTGCTTCGTTTATTTTCTATTTCAATAAAAAAAAAGCAAATTAATTGTAGCTGAGAAGAGTTGAGCAACACACTGGACTAGTTGATGTAAGTTCATCATAAAATAGTTTTCAGTGCACCAGAAACAAAATCATGGAACAATTTTACTTATGAATTTTGGTGTTGTTAACAGACATACAGAAACAATGGTGAAAGTTGGCTGCAAGTACGGCAGCAAAATGCACACACTGATGTGTGTCACAGGAGAAGGTGGCATCAGTAATTCTTTCAAGTGCACCTTTCCTAGCACAATGCTTATGCTAGAGCTGTGCAAATAGCAAAATTTTGGTTGTGAATCGAATTCAAATATCGAAGTGCGAGTGCAAATTGAATATTTTTTTAATATTTCTCGAATATTTTTCAAAACCTTTGACGTGAAACAGCAGAATGAAAATTTAAAAATTCCAAGCATATTCTTAGGTGGTGTTTAATAGTTGTGTCATCAAGGAGCAAGCAATGCAGAAACCAAATTGTATTTATGTACCTTATTTAGGGCAACCCTAAGTGTTGCCAATAAAACTTTACACATGAAAGGCAAAAATGCCGTTTTCTCAGCCTCTCCTCCTTTTTCAACTTCTGCGGAAGCCTAACTGATGTGGCGGACAAGGATGTGCTCTCTCCATGTCCAGAGTTTCTGATCTGCCTCATAGACGTCAATACTGTCGTGACCAAGAAATACGCTGGGGCTCGGGCGTGTAGGCAGCAAGGAGGAGGAAGAAGATAGAGAATATTACAGCCGGCCTGCAGCGAGGATACTATCAATATATAAGAACACCTAAAATTACAGATGATAAAAATCTTCGGCGGCTGATTTTTTGGACTTCCTGCCCGATTTTCAGGTCCAAAACAGCATTGATTGAGCCCCATCTCTGCCAAACACTGGTTCTGACATCTCCATGTCAGAACCAGTGTTTTTTTGAGTCAATACATTGTGACCGTAGCAGAGCCTGAAAGACTGCTTTGCGCAGTACAAGAATGTAATGGGGTGAAACACATTAAAATTTGAAGGGGCCACAGCCAATTGACATGACTGTACCTGTTTTCGGGAAGCTCTAATAGTAAAATTCCAGTGTGAATTGAATTAAATAGCAAACAATATTTGAAAAATAGTAAAAATTTTGAATATTTGCACACCCCTAGTTGATGCCAATGTGTCAAAACCAAGGCATAACAACAAAGTGCCAGCAACAAGTGTATGTGCAGTACAACCTACCTGGTTTCTATCAGAATGTCAGCATTGTGGGGCGAAAGTACAGCCTTGCAGATGAGCTCCTGGGTGACAGGGATGGCTTGCTTGTTGGAAATGCACAGGTCTGAAAGGTAGTCGAGAAAACGGCTCTCCCGGTTTTGCCGCACCAAGCTGACGAATGTCTCGATTTCAGCTGCTGTAATGTGCTTCTCAAGAAGCTTGCGGTTGCTGTGCAAAAGTGCCGTGATGGTATCTTCAGCCAGCACGTCATAGCCAATCTGCTTCTGCATGAAGCCAAACCACTTGGCAATGTACTCCTGGTTCTTGCGGTAGTCCTGCTGGGAGAGTCTCAGGATGCGATAGCAAAGACGGCACATGTGTTTGTAGGGGGCATAGCGTGGGTCAGCAAGATCCTCCATCCGCAGTAGGGGGCCCTGGCCATTGTCTGTGAATGGCGCCTGTTCATCAACAGGCCAAGACAACATTTTTGCCACTTATATTCCAAAACTTGTATGAAAACATACGACATAACAAAGCACTCCAAACTCCGTACCAATTTTATACGGAACAAAAATATATTTTCTGCACAGATTGCCCAACATCGACATTGATGATGTTCAAAATTAGATAGATCCCAACATTTGAGACTGTGCACATAATATATGTCGAAGCTATATACCTCACTGAAAGCACTCTTTATATAAGTGTACCTTGGTTGCCAATATGAATATACCGTAAAAACCCGCGTATAGCCCGGGGTTTTTTCTAAAATTTAGGGTGCGAAATTTCAGCCCCGTACTATATGCGGATCCCAAAAAGTTTCGGCCCGAATTCAGTTCCGGTTTCGACATTGGTTGGTGCTATCATCATTATCAGGTGTCTGCGCACTTCTACGTTAGGTGGCGTGGTAGCGTGAGCGGCGTTAGTCCTAGAGACCTACAGGTACAGGCGTGCATCAGGCGAGCAACAGTGGCCATTGCAATCACTTGGCGCACATCACGACGGCCACGATTTTACTCCCGTGATTTTAAGCCATGTCGGGACCGCGCAGGCAGTACTCGGCTGCCTTTAAGAGGAAAGTTATTTCTGCTGCCGAAACCATCGGCAACTGTGCCGCGGAGTGGCAGTTCGGCGTGAATGAGCGGAGCATTCGCGGTTGGCGGAAGCAGAAGGAAGCCCTTTTTGCATGCTGCGACAAGAGAAAAAGTTTCCGGGGACCGAAAAATGGAGCATTTCCAGACGTGGAACGAGAACTGACGGACTTTGTTCTGGAGCAACGAGCTGCACAACTCGCTGTGCACATCGAGCTGCTGCAGGCAAAGGCAAGGGAGATCGCTCGAGACAAAGGCATTCCACCTGCGGACTTCGGAAGGGAGATTCGGAAGACAGTGTGTCAGACAAAGACGACGACTAATCGTGCGCGCGCGTGCGTGCGCATGCAAGTGTGTAAATAAATGCATTTTTTCTGTTTTCCTCAAACAATATTCGCGTGAAAATGTTTTTTCTCGCGTTTGCTACCCCCGAGTTACACCTCGAGCTATACGCGGGTCCGAACTATACGCGGGTTTTTACGGTAGTTTTGCTGCCAACAAGCTTACACAGGAACAACGATAATATACAGACCAACAATGGGACAACAAAGGTGGTTATCCCAAGGGTTGAAATAGCACAAGATTGCGTTAGTATTTGTTGCACCCCACAATTGTCCCTAATGCCCAACTTCTACGCCCACTGCTGAGAAGTTGCATGTCCTTAGGTACAATCCATAAACTTGTCTAGGAGACAATTTTATTTCATGGAATACCCCTTTACAGAAACTTCAAGGCCCCAGAAGTATCACGGCCATGAAAATAAATGCAGACAGTCGGTATGTTCTTGCTCGGCAGTTAGCATTTGTTCTCAATGCGCTCTTCTCTCGGCAGCAATAAAAAGAACTATTCATCCTTGATTATACCACGAACAACTTTATAAACAAGTGTGTGTGAAGAAATGCGAGGAGCACAGCCTGTAAGTGCACGTCATTCAAATTTCATTTTATGTTATAATACAAAGGAGGAGTACCTGCAAAATGTGGAACAACTGCCGAAGCACATTCTGCTCACGCAGAAGCTTCTGTCGTTCCCGGTTGGGCTTTGTCACCACCAGCTCAAGAGGATCCGATTTGTTTGGGTCTCCCTCACGACTGGCAGTGAAGTAGATCACCTCCTGAAGCAGTTGTAGTAGTGAACGGCGCTCCGTGACACCTGAACGGCCACTTTCCAAAGCACCGACAAGTGTTTGCAGTACCTGAACATGAAATGACAAAAACAACTACAGCAACAGTAGTGACAGCAGTTTTATATTACACTTTCAAGAGAAGAGAATATTTTTTCCAAGTTCAAGACCAAGTTTATTCGTTATTACAGATGAAATAGGGGTAAGTAATAGTTTACTTCTACAATGTAACTTTTTCTGAAGTCTGAATTTCCCAATACATACTACACCTTATGAGTAGCAAACATGTGTGAAACCTAATCATAAGAATATGCAGTGCAGTACATTTATAATGATATCTAAGTGTCAATAAAATCCCATTGTTAAAACTAATAATTGCAACTAGCGGGTTAAGAAAAGATAGACAAAAGAGAGATCAAAACATTTTATTTGCGTGCAAGTAAGGTAGTACAACAAGTACTTTTTTGTAGCAAAGCCATAGTCTCTCAGCTTTGACTGCTTCACGCAAAGCTTGCACATTTCTCTAAAGCATCAAGGTGCTCTACGTAGCTGAGCAGGAGGTCCTTTGCGAATACAAAGTTTCGAAGAGACTGTATCATCCGTTGGGCCTTCTGCGATGAGTGTACCTGGGTAGTCTGCTCAACCACTTCGTCGTAGTCTCCATTCTCGCCACTGTACACAATGCGTATACGCGCTAGAATCATCTCATCACTGACGCACTCTGACGTTTCCGCAACATCATCCACATGAAGTGAACCAGACATGACATGCCTTCGTTAAGCTTTGACCACCTCCCGACAGCTTTTCGTCGATGGGTGCTTCGCAGACCTCTCCTGTCATCACTTCAGAAGTTCGGCAGGAAAGCTTCTCCTTTTTCTTCCTCGTAAGAGGCATAGTCGACTCATTTTCTGAGGGTGTGGAGGAGTGCAAATGCATAGCTATTCATGCCGTATGCGTGGACAGCCATTTGCAGTACGCAGTGTGGCTTGATTCAATCCCTATATCGACATCCCGGCATTAGAGCATCGTAAAATGCAGTTTATTTCTCCATACAAAGCATATAAGATTGTACAGTGCCATTGTTGTTCATTTTTATACCCAAACCATTGTTATAAACAGTACCATTATAAGTGGACTCGACTGTAAGCTTAAAAAGAGATGGCAAAATGATACCTTTCAAGGTTTTTAACACAGGCTCTTAGAGGCGGTTACAAAACCCAATTGTTCCATGACATGCCTATCAGGTTTCCACTAGTAGTTAGAATTAATGCGACTCAATCACACTTATTTCATTAAATAATGAGTTGTTTTAGTGCATTTTGAACTTAATGAACCTATTGTACGCCACGTCCATACATCAGTAAACGGCAAGTAGCAATACAACCACGTGGCAGCTGTATTGAAACTCGTCGTTTTTAATGCCCGTCTCTAAATTTGTGCAATTCATGGACACGCAGTAGCCCTACATGCACAGTACTCTTAATTTATGCCTCCAACCACAGTTAGCAACAAATATGTGAAAATTAATTGAGAAGTTCTCGAAGCCAAGTCACACGTCTGTTTGATCGAGTACTCCACTCCTGTTGCCACCGAATTTGGATATTGGTTATTTCAATTCCATTTTGTAGCAGACAAGTACTAATGCATTCGTGCATTATTGATGGCTCACGGCGTGTCTGTTCACATAGAACAGTCCCTACACAAGTTACTCTGCCACTACACTACAGCAGTAATATAATCGAAACATGACAAGTACTTGGATGCATGAAAGAGATTATTTCATACCCTCTGCCTGCATCCCCCTCCCCCCTTTTACATCCTCTGCATGCTGCTAATAATATTTGAAATTTTACGTGCCAAAACCATCACATTATTATGAGGCATGTTGTCGTGCAGAGCTCCAGAAAGTTTTGCCCGTCTTGTGTTCTTTAACGTGCACCAACATCGCGCAGCATGCTAGCCGGCCTCTAACATTTCGCCTTAATCAAATTGCAACAGCCGTGGCTGGGATTGAATCCATAGCCTCCAGGTAAGCAGCCAAGCACTGTAACCACTACACCAGTGTGGCAGACTGCTCCGTACACAAAAGGCACATCAGTGGAAAGAGGGGGTTTTCTGAACACTTGGGAAAAGCTGCTGGGATTCCTCAATTACAGAAAGTTTGACAACCTTTTGTGAAAAACACAGGACTGACAAAGTACAATGTGTGCTAGGTGGCAAGAAGATGACAAGGACAGACTCCGTAGGAGAAACAGCGCCACCAGTGGCATTCCATGTTCAACAATTTCTCATTACTTCAAACAGATTTGCACAACATCTAAACAATGTCGAACTGACATAGAATTGAGAATAATGTACGCATGTCAACTTTCACAATAAGGTTTTATGAAACATCTTGCTTATCTGGACAGTCTATCTTTTTCCCCATTCAGTTCTAGTAACTGCTTTTGTTGGTAAAAAAACTGCAGTTCTACTTGTATGAAGCAAGAGGGCCTGTTAATGTGCATAATTTTGTCAGCAGCCCAACGACTTACTGTGCTGCAGGCAGAGTTGCCAATTTTCCTAATAATAATCGAATTTGGGCTTCTTTTTCTTGCTCAGTCGCTTGTCGAATTTTCACATTGCTTGTCATGTTTTTTGGAAAAAGCCTGCCCTTTCCTTCTCCTCTCACTTGAAATTCAGATGGAAGGGGGTTTTAACAAGTAAAATATTGCCCCCACTTTCTTGAAGACAATCGTGAGGAAATGCGAATGAATTTCTTGCGCCGAGAGTACACGGCGTAGCAATTTTAATGGCATAAATTAATGACGAGATGTGGATTTGCACCGTAACCATTTAATTACACATCAGCCAGCGAATGGTCGAGAGTGAGACATGCGCTTCACTCCATTTATATAAACGTACAAGGGAGCGGACGGGAGTGTGGTGTGCAGGGAGGAGAGAGAGCAAATGGCGAAAGGAGGAGCGGTGAAGCACTGCACCTACCCTCTCCTACACTTTCTCTATACACGCGGCAGCTCTGCCAAATTTCCGCGATATGAGAGCACTCACACGCCAGAGTGCACTCCTCCTCTCCACTCACTCTCCGCTATTCGGCCCGCACCACCTGCTCTGGTTGCTAGGGGTAAGGGTAAGCGTGCGCACCCACAGCTGTTGCGATGGGAGAGGGAGTGAGAGCGGAGAGGTAACACCAGCTGGCATGTGGACACCGACAGATGCCTGACATGCCCCGACTATGAAATGCATTCCCATTTGAAATTAAAAAAAAATAGATGCCCAACAGGGTACTTTAGAAAAATAGGTGCTTCCAACCAATGTCCCCTCCCAAAAAAATTTCTGCCTATGGGCCTGCTTTGAGTAGTTTCGCATTGAATTCAAACAATGTGGGGCGATCGAGTAGTAACATTGATCATAAACTGCCAAATGTGCATTCAATGAATGTGAGACTAACCTAGAGACAATCATGGAAAGTACACATGTGCTTTTGCTCAGTTATGCATATCGTCATACAAAATAATTAAAGTGATTTTTTTAACTCTCCTTCGTACTTGAGTAAAAGTTTTTATTATGACTAAAAATATAATCAAATAGTGAAAAAGTTTTTTAAATTTCTACTTCTTTTTAAAATTTCTACTTCTTTTGGCATATTTTGTAATGATCATTTGCCTGTTAGCTCAGAGGCATCTGGAAAGTGGCTGCGGAGCTTCACATCTTGCACCAAAGTACCCACCTGGCAAGCATCATTGGCAAAGTCGAGGTCGCGCACTTCGGAAGCCGACACAGGCACCACCGCAAAGGCCTCCCGGTCCTCCTTGGCTGGTGCACAGCCCAGCCGCCACATGACTGGGCGCTCTTCTTCTCTATCGATGGGAATGGCTGTGCTGTGCACCCAGGTATTGGTGCACAAGTGGCGCAAGCGCACGTACGAAGACTGAGGTACCAGGTCATCAGCACGGGAGAGTGTGGTCGCATCCAGCTCAAAGATAGAGGCAATGTCGCTACTCTGTGGCACAGCTACGAGGCAGTACACAGGACTCCCCGGTGGACCCCGCAACTTAGCCCGAGTTGGGTCAGGGGTCGGGTCTTCATCCACCTCAGCAGCTAGGTACTGTAAAACGCAAGTTTACACCCCTGAAATATTAAGAATACAGTTTCCTGCTAATCATTTCTCATTACTTTTAGTACAAGGCCACTCTTGATGCTCAAACTTGGTAAATCTTTAAAGGCTAAGTGCCTTAACTCCGTACCAGCAAAGTTTGCCATTATTTATTTACATATTTTAGCATGACAGCACACATTTTTACATTCGCTCCTCATGTGCCCCCTCATTTATCAACAGTTAACACTTGCAACTCATGCTCACCGATGCCTCCCTTTGATATTTGCTTCCAATCACACACATCTGCACCTATTCAAGTTCATACACATGCCAACTCCCACTCTACAGCATCTACAGCACTTGCTTACAGACACAGCCTTCGTCCCACTTTTCTATCTGAGCTCACTTGCTTTTATAATGACGTCCACTTGAGCTGACAGCGCCTCAGTTTTCGTTTACACTCATGCTAAATGGCACTTACTGCTGCTTATACTTTTGCCCATTCAAACTCCCTTCCGAGATCAGAGATAATAACGCAAGAGATAAAATTACATTTTTGTCTTAGTTTCCTTTTCTGTTAATCTTTGGTGGCCGAATTAACAACAGTAGAATTTTGGGAGAAAAGCTGATAATTCTTAACCGATTCCCCATTTCCCTTCTGTGTCTCTTTCTAATGCATTATTACCATCACTATAAAATGTATCGAACAAACCTGGCCTGTTGCAAGGTGCTTGAGGCGAAAGAGACTGTTCCAGTGGCCAGCCCCACCGCGACAGGGGTCGTGCTGCACCACTTCAACTTCCCACAGGGCTTTGGAGCTGGTGGCTGCAGTCGCAGTGGTGCGTCCCGTGGATCGTAGAAACACATACTGCTTCTTTCGGTACTCGTCCATCGTAAGGAACTTTTCCTGCTCCGCATGGAACAGGCGCACCACATCTCCCTGCACAAATACACATTAGTCAAGAAACCCAAGCAGGCAATGCTGCACAAAACTACAGCCTTGGAGAATGTCACACCATGAATACAAACAAGAACCCAGCTGCTAAAACATATACTTTAAATCATACAGCCCTATACAATATCAACCACATACGGTACAAAAATACCCTTCACATGAACAAGCACAAAACCATCGCCTGCCTTCAATAAGTATGATTATGTGTACAACATTGCACACTATCTAGCCAAGGTGCATTCACACCGATGCAGCCAAGCAAATGCAGTGGCCACTGCCCTTCCTCTTTCTTCGAAACTGTTACTCCCTCTCATCCAATTTCTTACAATAATCAGCAATAAAACAACAGCCTCACTGCTTCTAGCACTATAGAATGAAGATAGGAAGATGAATAATCTGGCCAGTCAGTACAGGTAAAGCAAGGAGGCAGACATTGTGGATGAGCAGGTGTTCCACGAAAATTTCTATCAGAGTTCTTAACATGCTATGCTGTGCAAGCATACATAACTACTATCAGTATTATTCATGTATTACGATTGTAATGACCACTCATATGGCCTTCGCACATTCGTTATGTGGTGCTTCGCTAAATAGCATTTCATACCCTTTTTGTTTCTTACAGTATTACAAAATTAAATGACAGTGGTGTACGACACAACTTGCAGACTTCAAAATGTAATTAAAAAGGCATTTAACAGAAAATACTCGCTACATCCAATATTCACCATAAGCATGTACTGATTACATACCAATATTACAAATACACATCTATCCGGCCATAACCAATAATTTCTTGAGCCCGTTTTCTACATTTGAGGTTTGTCTGACACAGGAGAACTTTTTCTGCTCCGACAACTGATCCATTAGCAAAGTTTTTTAAAGAACCAACTGCATTAGTAATATCGACTGCTTGTGCACAAACACCAATAAATGTGATATAGGTTCAAATGACATGAGTGAACAAAAGGAAAGATGCAATAATGTTCACATACCCCTTTGAGTACATCCTCCACATTCTCCTTGTGTTCCATGAACAGCGATATCTTCCAACTCGTATTTGAGTTGACAGCATTGACCTGAACGGCAGCATAGCAACATTGCATAGTCAAACTACAAAAAGGCTTTTTTTTTTCCAATAGCTGCTAAACTATTGCTATGGGAAAGGGGGGGGGGGAGTCTTGATGATGCCTATGATAGAAAATCATGTACTTGACGATGAAGAAACAATAGCTTCAAGAAGCCCTCCTAAAGCATTAGCACATTTATGTCCATATCACAAAGTACATCTGCTTTGCTTTGCACATCCTCTGCTATAACAACATGCATGCTATGTTCATTACCTGCAAGAAAAATAATCTGTAAAGTATAAAATAACATATTCTGTATTGTGTTGTGTACAGAACAAGGACAGATACATCAATGGGTTCGTCTAAAAGATATAGTGAATTAATAGAAATTTTCCTGTAGTTCCTCTTTATATAAAGTTAACGTGTTCACTCATTTCCTCCTTTGAAGACGTATAAATGGAATAGAATTGAAGCCATGAGTCTCACCTCCTTGCAGCCTGCATTGTCAGGCAGCTCTTGGTTGCTGGCATGCAGAGGCTGGCCTGCATTCACTGGAGTCAGCACCACTTTGTCACCCACCACAACCTAGGATAAGGAAGGCAGCACACTGAGCACCGAAGGCAGACCTATTCTGGCCATGAAGACGAAAATAACAACTGGAACTGATTAGGTCATCTGTGCTTAGCATCTGCCAAGAATCAGCTATAGAAAAACAGATGTTGTAGAAATGGCACTGCAACCATCAATGAGAAACTAGTTCCACTACCTTTCATATATTCCCTTCCTGACAATGTCCTTAGCTTATCAACTTTTACAACAGCAACATTAAGACACCTATTGCTGTATCATGCAGAAAGGAAAAAAATGTAGTTCCACCGAACAACTTTCAATCATAGCACAGAATTAACATAACATTTCTGGAGATAACATTTTTTTATTTGGAAGGCACCATGCAATATGTAAGACAGGATAACATGTATGACACGTGGACAGATAATAAAGAAGGTTGAGTTATCCCTAATAAAAAATTTGTGCAAAATTATTTAAATACATGTGCCGAAGTAATGTACAATCAGCAAACAGTGCCCTTCAGTCTGTTTACCGAACGACCAATTTGTATATATACAGAAACGAATATGTAAAAAAAACTTTACTATAACCCTTGAGGTCCTCTAAACAGGCTGAACATCAAAACAACCATTAAAACGCCACTCACCAGGTTTTGAAATTTCAAGCTGATAAGCGCAATTCGTTGATGAGGCGTTCACGATTACGTCTGCCGAAATTCGCAAATTTCACGATGAACGTTCCTCCCTTTTTTGTTTGCGGGCACATGCCCAGAGAATGAGTGCATGACGTGTGCATATGAATGGCCCTACGTACACGGCAATGCAGTGACACTGGTCCTCTACGTAGACAACTGTGCTCTGACATTGCCAACAGTGACATGTGACATGGTGATTCAACACGACATGCATAGTTAATGTATTTATTGCTTGAAGAGATCAATAAATCCCTAGATAAATAATGAGAAACAATAAGGGAACATGAGCGTTCCTTTTTTTTTTTCATTTTTTTCCCCCGCGAATCACAACAAGATGTGGAGCTAATAAGCCAGCGTTTCGCATGCGTTCGTGTCCCCGCGGTCAGCGCATCGAGCAGACGACAGCTGTGAAAGCGAAAGTAACGCTCCTACACGTTCACGCATTCATTGTGTTCATATATTCTACCGCATATAAGCCAGCGTTTCCAGACCATCCCGCAGAAACAGGCAGTAAACCTCAAAACAAGACTGGTCAACAACAACAAAAAAAATGCCGCTCGCGTCCGAGAGGGTTGGGCTTGTTTGGGCACGTCATGCGCATGTGACCTCTTGGCCGGATGCCGGAGAGGGTAGGGATGAGATTTGGCTTGCAAAGATTATGCGGGGGAGCGGCAAGGGTTCCGAGCTTGCCTCCTCTCATCCTCGTTTCGCGCTGCTAAAAAAAAAAAAGTTTTCACAGCTCATAATGAACCGATTCTGAAAATTTTTGTAGCAAAATCTTTGTCATCGGACACCCAACAACTTCCATGGTCTAACCAAAATTTGGCATGGGGCCTTGTGAGTGGCCCTATAACATCATACGCTGTGCCATCCACGCTGCCACTAGCTACCAAAGGTACTCACACTGTCACCAGTTGAGCGCAGCTTGTAAAAGGGGACGACATAGAACCAGGATCCCTCATTGCCATTGGCATCAAGGGAGACCCGCATGGCATTCTTCTCGAGCAGTGCAGGCAGCCGCTTGTTCACAGTCAGGTACTTGTTGCTCTTTACGTGCAGCAGCTGCACCACCCCTCCGTACTGTACCACTTCTCCCACCAGCTTACGCTTCTCACTCTCATTCTGCTTCTTCTCCAACTCGGCAGCGTGCTGCAATTCACAAATGGTTCCATTACAGATGGCATTAAACATCCCAAAGCAAGGGTAGACACTTGGCCAAGTTGATAAAGCATAGTAACGAATGTCAATGAGATAAAATAAACAGGACAAGATGCCGGTATGATAATATCGTAACGGATTCATTTGTTTTCTGAATCATCTAAAAGTGCACACAAATGATCCAAGAAAGAGTCGTGGTAACGTTCTCACTTTCTGCTTACTACACCTTAAATGCTCTTCCTTCACTTGCAGTTGTGGCTAGCACTGCTGCTTTCTATCATTAAAACATTATCTAGCAAAAACTACAAATTCACAGTTCTTTTCCAAAGTACAAAGTTGTCATATTAACCTATGCTACAGTAGAGGTTTTTCAGCGAATACTCAATGTGTTTAGGGAAAGCAGTGTTCAACAAGAATTCTATACTGCATCTCATAACTACCTTGTAGCAGTGCCCAATCTATGAGGAGTGCACATACAGTAACCTTGCACAGCACACCATATAGTTCTGTCTGTAACTCTTTCACTATCAATGAGGTACAGAAGCTTCAACTGTGTTTCATGCATGACACATTACAGCGATATGTGTTACGTTAGGCCCTTCACACATGCGCTCCAAACTTTCTAAAATATATCATGCATGACACATTACAGCGATACGTGTTACGTTAGGCCCTTTGCACATGCGCTGCAAACTTTCTAAGATATTGTAGGAATTACCGGCTGTTAACCGCAGATTCAGAGTGTGTTCCAATACTCACCGCAGATAGCTAAACAGACAGCTTAATGGACGGCGGCCATCTTAAGTCCCATTTCAATTCTTGCGTAGCCGGCAAAATAGACAGCTCCGAGAAGACCACATGATAGACAAATACGATGCTGGCTACTTGGCTGTATAAACAAGATAACGGCTCAGCAAATCGCTCAGATAGATCAAATCTTGCTGGAATGATCGTCTGCACACAAGCAGACACTTTCCCAGATGCTCAATATGAGTAACGTTTATTTGTCTTTGATTTCAACACGAAATGAGCCAGAAAATAGAACTGTTACGTTTGTTTATTTTAGCTTTTTCTTCTCAACGCGAGGTGGCGCATCGTCGCGTAAAAGCCACCCAGACGTGTTCCAATTCTCGGACAGCATGGGCTCGCTGCTGTCTTTTTAGCAGTCTTCGTAGACTGTCTACGTGCTGTCTAAGAATTGGAACACAGCCACAGTCAATGACCTTTCAAAGGTCTTCATGTATAGTAATAGTCACCCTAACCACAATGGTGTACAGCAACATAACAGCCCCCATACAGCCCAGACCCTCCGCTTCCATCCAAATTCATGCTTTTCACTGGCTCTATGCTTGGACAGAAAGAAGTAAATGGTATAATATGTCGTCGCTTGGTCTTACCTAACATTGAAGAAAAATCTTGAGGTATCTTTTTTTACTATTAGGTGGCTCACTTGCTTTGATGCTATTGGACTAGTACTGAGGCCATGCCTAGCCTTTTAAAAATGGTTTGATGTCAAATGTGCAGATGGCACCACAACAACAGCACCAGTGATGCAATGACAAGGTGAAACACCCGGAATTTCTCTACTATTTTCTGTGCCAATAATTCACTGTTCCCCTCAAGACATGACAGCCACTGAAAATACAACTAAATTCGTGGAGCACTGTAGGGTCAAACATCCACTATTTTCTAAGAGAAGTTAGGTTAGTATCGCCACATGCGTTTAGTTCTGTCAAAAAAAAAAAAACCCTGCTGAAAGTTTCAGTTGGATGCTGTTATAAAAAGAATCAATGCAAAACACCCTGAATGTCCATATTATTTTCTGTGCCAATAATTTGCTGTCTAACTCAAGAATGATACATAAAGACCTTTGAAAGTGCGTTGACTGAAGCTGCAAAGTGCTGTAGGAACATCCACTATTGTCCATAAGAATCTAGGTTAGTAGCACTATATGCATTCAGTGCTGTTGAAAAAAGAATCAGGTGAAAGCCCCAGTATGGACACCATTTTAAAAAAAAACTGTTATGTTATGTTCCCTGTTATGACCCTCAAGCGAGGGTTGACAGTATTGTTAAAGACTGTGCATTAAAAAACAACTGTGTTCCTCCCAAATGCCAGCGAATGCGCTCTGCACAATTGGTTTATAGAACACCAAATAAATGTCGAGGTGGTGTACCAAAAGAAGTTTATGTGTGTTGTATTAACTGCAGGGGACAAGTATTAACAAGGTAGGCGATCCAATGCCAAAAAGACGACAAACAGACGAGACGAAGATAAACTAGTTTTGAGGGGATTTCGCTTTTCCTATTGGCTAAAAAGCCCTGAAGGTTCCACACACATACTCATTTTACCTTTAAGTATGAAACATGACTTTTTATCACTGAGAGAAAGTTAGAACGAAAGAAATGGTGGTATAAAACTAAACAGGTAACACCAGAACTACACTATATCTGAGTGCATCAGCACAACAAAACTCCGATTTCAATTTCATTGCCAATAATTACAAAAATTTTCTCGTCCCACAGATCACAAGAACATGTGGTGTTTGTTCCCATCTTTACCTGGTGTCTTAATTCCTATTTGCACCACCACAAGTTGCCTAAATATATGCAGTATTACCTAACCAACCAATTTATTCTGTTCATCGTCTCAAGTCAAGCTACCAAAAGCTTTATATTGCAAGCTATAGATCAACTAAACACACACATTTATAGATGCTGCCTTATGTGTGTATGTTTGTGCATGTATATATTATCACATTGTGCATGTGCCTCACTAAGAAATGGGAGAAGAAGAGGATAGAGCAAAAGGACAGTATCTCTAGGCAGATAGTCTTGCCAAGAGAGCTTTGCTCCATCAATATGTCTATGGATGCATAAATACACACACATACCAAACGTATTGACCACTCCCTCCCTCTGGTGACACCGAGATAAATATGGCTGTATTTGAGTGGTTACGAACCGTGCATCAATGACTAATCAGATGTCCTCATTAGAGTTGTAAAATTTAACTGTGCAAGAAAAATCTTAACAGTATAGCAACATGATAACTATAATGTAGCTTGCCCACTTCCATTGGCTTGTAAGGAGGCAGTACATTAATATGAAGCTGATGTGAATGGATAGCGTCCCTAGTTTGATGCATTACTTTTTTTTTCTATCTTCCATTTACTTTTTCATGAAATGTATTCGGCGCTACAGTTAGTAATATCATATTACCCAAAACGTCTTCAGCCTCTGGTAACTGCATGGAAAAGAAATTACGAAAATGGAACCTCCCCTCACTTTGATAATTGCTTGTCGCACAATTTTCAAGGCAGTAGTTTAGCGTTATTATTATACAAGTTGCACTACACCTAACTATCTATTTAACAGCTCTCACATGCAGTTTTTTCAGCAGCACGGCATCTGTAGCGCTGGAGGCACTTTGCTTGGCTGCTTTCCAGAACTGCTTCTGGGCCGAATACCGGTTCATGGGGCACATCTTGAACAAGCAATCTGAAATAAAGACGCGCCGCTTTTAACACCATCAAAGCACTGTGACACGTTTGGTTATTTCCCTTTTATTAAAGAGCCGTTTCCTATCTAACCTCGAAACTTTTTGGGTGGGTTGGCCAGATCCCCAGCCTCTGGTTGCACCACGCACCGGTCATCGACCAGGCTGGAGAAGAAAGCACACAAGTTTTTGAGTAAAACATACGTCATGAGCGTCGTTTTGGGAAGCACCATGAAGCTCGAAAACTCACCCTAATGTACACAGGAAACCGGACACAGTGCCCTCGGCGTAGAGAGACACTATGTCTCCAATGTGGAGCAAGCTCGAAGTGCCTATCAAGTCGCACATATTTGATGTGTTTGCACGTGCGCAGCACAAGTGAATATGCAGTTTATTCAAGCCGGGGCGGCTTGGTTCCTGCTTTTTTCCGCAGGACGGGCTACATCAAGGCCAATTGCGAACGGGCGTTGCCAAAACTTGTCCGTCACTTCCACGAAGACTTTTGGTTGTGGCGATTTCCTTGGCGCACAATTCAACGTTAGGAGTTCACAAGCAGGCCGCTCAGCAGAACTAGAGTCGCACCTTCCATCGAAACGCTGTTGGAACGAAAGTGAGCACAGGATCGGAAACCGGGCCGAACAGGCTGTGCGAAAGAACGCAATTGAGAGCTACGGCATATCCATAGCACCGCTAGCCAGCTGGACGCTTTACTTGGTTTTTTGTGAGCGAATGGCACACTTTATGACGTCTCGCTGATGGAGCTGCCACACCGGGCCCGTAAATCTCCGGCAGCTGAACTCGGCGTGCGTCTAACACCAACAGCAATCTCTGACGTTACCAAATCTGCTAAGTAAGTAAGTAAGTAGGTGCTCCTAATCCCTTTTGGCACAGGGCAGGCGCCAGCAGCGCCACAGGACAAAGTTGTGCGCTTCAACGCACATCCATACACACGCACACACACATCACCAGTCAGGCGCTTGCCGCGCCACCGTCAAAAAAAAAAAAAAACATTTTGTGTTTTACACGCACTTCACGCGAACACGCACTCACACGTTTTCCACTTTACTGTTCGAAGAAAGAAAGGTCTGGTAGTAAATTGCCCGTTTCGCCACCAGGGGAAACGTGCCCTCGGCCAAGTCTATCCAGTGGCGTCGGCGTCGTTTAGATATTTTCTGTCGGCCCTTCGTTGCGCTGGACACTGTCGGGGTGTTTGTCCACCTGCCAGCACAGTCTGTCCCAGAGTTTTAGACGTCGCTTGGCACTCTCGGTGTGTTCGACTCGGGTGTCGACGGGATCATCTGGGAGACCCAGATATTCCGCCAGGTTTATCTTGGGTAGGTCCCTCGCTCCGAGTCGCGGGCAATCCATCAGGATATGTTGGATGGTTTCTTCCGTGGCCCCGCATAGGCGGCACGACGGGTCCGTGTCGAACAGTTCCCAATGCCGCTTCCGCGTGGGCAGTGACCCCGTCCTGGCTTGGAACAGGAGGGCGCTTTCCCGGTCGCCCTGTAAAATGGCTCACGGTCTGGAGCCTGCTTGTATTCGAGGTATAACTGTAGGCTCCTTTTCTTTGCCGCCGACGTGCGCCACATCTCTGTGCTGGCTTCGGTTATAGTGTTTTTTGTTATTATACGCCATTCTCGTTCCGATTTTGCTTCTTCCAGTTTTGTGTTATGGCCGAATTTATTTTCCAGAGAAGCCAGTCGTTTCATCCACTGTGTTTTTATGCCCCTGTATCGGAGGTGTAGGTATATGCGCTGGCTGTAATTTGTTTCTGGTAGAAACTTTAGCCGGCCCGCATATTGTATTTTTGACCTTGCTTCGCGTGCTTCGAAAGTTGACCAGGCCAACTCCCCTGTTACTGCTGCGTTTGCTGTTGCAAAGCTGCCTCCCAGTAGCCAGCGCCCCAGTTCATTTTGGTGGCGGTCCAAACATCGCACTGTTTGGGTAGAGTACGCCAATGTGTCACCTGCGTAGGTTATTGCAGGCACGGCAAGAGTCTTCCAAAGTGTGCGGCCTACCCTGTAGGGGTTGTAGGAATGCCGTGACAGGTGCCACACCCTACCTTTTAGGCGGTTGGATTGTTTAGGAGTAATTCTTGGTGTTTGTCAAGGTAATTCTTTTGGTCTGATATTGTTATGCCTAAATATCTGTATGTTGCTGTTTTCTTGATGGTGTTGCCTTGGATGGTGAATGTTATGTCTTTGTCATCAATGTTTATGCCCATCCATTGTGTTTTGTCAGTGTTGAATGTGAGGCAATCTTCGTGGGCTACGCGAGAGCATATGTCGAGGAGATGTTGCAGGTCCGCTGGGGATTCAGCCAATAATACGATGTCATCGGCAAATGCCAAGCATGAAATTTTAGTGTAGATTTCTTGGCGCTCAGTTGTTACGGTGGAAAGACGTAGCCCTGGTCCTTCTCTATTTACTTGTTCTAGTAGGCTGTTAATGTAAATATTGAATAATGTTGGCGATAGTGGGCACCCTTGTTTGAGTCCAATATTTTGTTGCACCTGTCTAGATTTATATTTGCCCAGTTCATACACTGCCGTACACTCTGCATATAGTGCTTTTAGTAATTTGATGAAGTCTTCCTCAATATTAATTTTTTCTAGCTTCTCCCACAGTCGTGAGTGCGGCACTGAGTCATATGCTTGTTGTAGATCCAGGTATGCCAGGTATAGTTGAGATTTGTCTCTGTTTTTCATTTCTATTGCCTGGGTTAGGGTAAAGATATGGTCACTTGTCCGTCTGTTTGGGCGAAATCCATTTTGCGATTCTGACAAGATTAAGGTTTTTTCACAGTGGTTTTGTAGCCTGCGATTCAGGATTGTATTGAAGAGTTTCAGAATGCTACTCAGTATTGTTATGGGGCGATACGCCCCAATGTCACTTGTTTCCTTTCCCTTTCCCTTGTGAATCAGCTTTACCCGGCTTTCTTTCCAAGTTCTTGGTATTTTTCTGCTTGCCAGAATGTCGTTGAGGCAGCCGCGTAGCATTTCCTTTGCCTCTGTTTTGAATGCTTTCAGGAATTCGTTGGGTATATCATCGAGTCCTGTTGCTTTCTGGTTTTTTAGATCATTTATGCGTCTCTTTAGTTCTAGTTTAGAAATTGGTCCAGTCAGCTTTTCTTCTTCAGGTGTGCTGGTCTTGTCCTTTTTTCTACTGCTGATCTGGGGTGGTGGATCTACTGGATTGGTTTGCATATTTTTAAAATGTTTAGTTATGTGCTGTTCAATTTCTTCTTTGGTATGTAGAGGAATGCTATTTTCAGTAAGTAGTATGAGTGAATCTTCCTGAAGGGTGTCCTTTGGTTCCAGTGTCCTTATGTATGCCCAAAACTTCTGACTGTAATGGTTACGATCCTTATGCAGGTTTTCTTCTTCTTTTTGGAATTTCTGGTCTATCTTTTTTGCGGCCATTTCCTTTACTTTTCTTTTTTGGGCCAGGTATTCCTTCCAAATTACCTCTTTTTCTGTCGACTCATTGGGCGTATGACGGTGCCTTCTGGATAATTCTTTGCGAATGCGAATTTCTGTCTTCAGTTCTCCATCAAACCAAGGTGTGTTTCTGGTCCTTTTTTTTTCACTAGTTTTCCCAATGGTTTCTTGTGCTACTGACAGGCATTTTTCTGCGAATTCCTCGTATGTTAGAGGTTCTGTTAATGTTGACTCGAGTTTATTGGAAAATTCATCCAGGCGCTCTTGCTCTTTCACTCGCCAGTGAGCTTTTGTAGTTTCAGGCCGGTTTACTCGATGGGGTTGATGGCGTCTGAGGCACAGTTTCATTCGGTTGTGGTCACTTCCACAGCTGTTTGTTTTGTCTTCGTCTATGTACAGAGCTGTGATGTTTATATCTTGCCTTACTACCTCTTGATTGTAAAGTATGTAGTCTATAGCAGATTTGTTAGCTCTGCGTGACCATGTGTAGGTGCCTTCACAAGCTGGATGGAGGTTTGCTATTTGTAGGTTGCATTGTTTAATTAATTTTCGGAAGCCAGCAGCATCTTTTTCGTGACCATCCAATTCTACTATGTGGCAGTTGAAATCTCCCATCAGTAGTACCGGTTGGCCTTTGTAGGTTTCTTCAATGTCTTTCTTGAGGCATGCGTAAATGCTGTCATTCCACTTTTGTTCCTCGAGGCCTGTTGCCATGTATATGACACAAATGTACAGGTCACGTGTGTCAATCTTTATTTTTATCCACATGTGTTCCTTGTCCTGGCAGTCCCCATTTACAGTGCTTCTCTTCGGTGTAATAAAACCAATGCCTCCACCCCGTTTTTGTCCTTTACTTCTGTTCTTTCCTTGCCATACTAGCCCCGGGAGCAGAGGTTGTTCGTCGTCCCGCAGGTGAGTTTCCGTTAGAGCGTAGATATCTATTTTTTGTCTGTTCACTTGGTCTTGGAGTTCAGCCCACTTGAGTTTGTTTGTTCCTTGCATGTTTAGTAGGCATATGGTGAGTTCTTTTTTCACTTCACTCTGCTTTGTTCTTCTGTTTCTTCTTTTTCTGGAAAGTGGTTGACAATGATCTCTGGAGGACTGAAATTGGGGGGGGGTTGTGCGTATGGTTTTGCCTGCTTGGTTGCTTACCAGTGCCGGTTTCTCTGTCCTAGTTTGCCTAGGGCTGTTGTCATTGCTTTCAGTAGCGTTTGCACTGTCCTTTGATCTGGTCTTGTTGATCGTCTCCAGTGTTGTGGGCGCGTTGGTTGTTTGTCCCATAAAAAAGATTTAATGGCCTCACCTAGTTGGCTGCCAACCTGGTCCGCTGCCTGTTCCGAGTAGTGGATATCATCCAGGTGATCTGCGGTTAGCTGGGCGGCTGCTGACATAAACCGCACACTGGGGCCCAAGGCTGTACACGCCGTTTGAACTGCCGTGTTCCATGTTTGGCATGCTGTAGCAAATTGTTGACCCCTTGCTTTCGGTTCAGGGATGGCACTGACTATGTAGTGGTGTTTGGGTGTCTTTTGGCTCCAGTAAGTCAGTTGTTGCTTCAGGTGGTCAGTGGTCTTTTTAATGTCTGCTTTATTTAAAAGATCAGTAGTACCTACATGTATTATTAGTTGCAGCTCTGTGTTGGTGGCATTTGCCTTCTGAATTTCTCCTTCAGCTCGGTGAAGTGTTTCTTCAAGATTGGCACCAGATTTTGTAGTGATGCGTAGTCTTTGATCATGTATAGCTTTACGGAGGTGCTTTTTCAATCGATGGGCATTGGAGTCGCCTAGGACTACAGTGCGTTTGCTTTGTGGTGGATGGTCATTTGACTGCGTTTGAGGATAGGGATGTTTCTGTTTATGGTCAGCGCTGAGCTGCTGCTGTTTCTGGCTGGTGTTCTCTGATTTCAAGGGTCGGCCTTTTTTGCCCACTTGTGTCCCAGGATTGCCTTCCTCTGCTAGCTCAACTGTGTGCTCAATGTCTTCACTTATCCTGCTTGTGCCCTGTGATGGAATGTCTTCCTTCCATTGGCTGCGAAATTGCTTGTCTGAGGGGTGTTTTGGCTCTGGTGTCCCGGAGTCGTGTCGAGGAGTTGAGGTAGCCTGGTCTCCGTTTTCTTGGGCGTCCTGAGTACTGTTTGTCTGTTCGAGTTTTTTTATTTGGGTTTGGAGGGTACCAATCTCTTCCTCGAGTTTTTCACGCAAGTTGCGCTCTGTGCTCAGCAAAGTGTGTAGGTTTTGCCTATCTATTTTAGCTTCCGCTTGAGCAGCTTCCCACTCGGCCTTTATTTGGCTAATTTGTTGTGAGTGTTCGGCACGCAGTTTTATTTCTTGAAGTGCGATTGAAGCCTGCATTGCTGCGAGTCTCGTGCAGAGGTTGCACGTGTATCTGCCTGCCTGGGCTTCTTGTGTGCTTGGCAGAATCTGCTTCAGATTCTGCCAAGTGGCCGCGCCACAGTCGCGCGCTGTGGCGCCTCTTGAGAGTGAATGGGGCGAGCGCTAAGCACACAGAGCACATTCGAAGTGTGTGCGGCTTCCTCTGGCGGTGTGACGTGTGGTGTGACTTTACGATACACTTCTGTTATTTGTTCTTGTAGCCATTGAAATTAAGTAGGTGGCCCGATGCCTCTTCCACCAGCTCTTCTGGCAAGATTAAAGAAGCGCGGGATTGTAAAAGCCAGCGAAGCCGAACCATCGGCAGGTGAGCGCTACAAATGTCCATCTTCACCGTCAATCGTGCAAAGCTTACGTAACATTTCCATTCAACCAGCAATCGCGTCCAAGGTGCAATAACGAACACTGTTGTGATGCTGTCGGGGCAAGGTTCGGAACTATACATGGCATGCCTGTATTGGCTGATTGATGTTTCCGTCGTGTGTAGTTTGATGGGCATCTGACACTAGTGATTGTTACGAAAATAACCTCGTTCTGGCTCAGTATGAACTAAGAAGGTTGAAATTGGCATCGGATAAATTCGTTGCCATCTCTCCTATTTTTGTTAGAAACGGGACAGAGAAAAATCAAGCAGTGATTGACTAAAGGCAGGGAGAGAGAAAACCACCATGAATATGAGCCAGCTGCTAGACCAGAACAACACAATCTATGAAATATGCATTGTAACATGAGCGCATGATCTAGCTGATATTTGAAGTAAATTCGCTGTTACTATGGCACTCATTTTTGCTACAGTTGAGTGCATAATTTATTATCAATGCATTTTCTGAATCTCGATATTCTGTGCTTTAGTGGTGACGATTGAAGACTGTAAAATATGTGCATACTTACTTATTAAGTACCCTCTTTTCATAATGAAAATGCTGCATGGAGTGCATTACAAAATGCATAACTAATTAATGAGTCTTTTCTTTCTCTTGCATTTGTAGTTCATGATAATATACTCCTTTACTTCAAATCAGTATGACATTTACCTCATGGTGGCTCGTAATGTTTTCATATGCCCCATAAATTATCTGATAATCACTTCGTGTTGTGCATGTACATTCGTCACAAAAATTATAAACGGAGTATGAGTAATTTGTCCTGTGTTCTATTCATTTGGGCTACTTATTGTTTTTATGTAACAGCCTGCAGTCTATTTGCAATTTGCACTGACCCATTTCATCTGTACAGCTGATCAGCCAGAGGAGGAGGTCATTGCTGAAGACTATGATGACATTATTCGACCTGTGGGAGGTGGGGAGACACGTATAGGCGGGCCCATCCCAGGATGTCCCAACAAGTGGAACTTGTACCATGAATGCAGTGCATTCTGTCAAAAGCACTGGGGTGCTGGCAAGCTGAAGGAGTCGCCTCACACCGAGCGCAAGCGCTTGCGTATGCTCCGAAAGTACCCACTGCCAGAGGGCTGGTGCGAGCTGTATGATCCTGGCACGTACGTACCAAGAAAAGCAGCACCTTTTAATGCTAATAAAGTGTTGTCAGTAGAGAACTAGTAGTACACAGGCAGTACACATTGTAAAATATAATGAAAGAGATTTGTTTCCTTAAGCAGATGTTAAGTAACGAGTGAAACTTGTGTGACTGAAACTGAAAGTGCCTTGACTGGCTCCTTCATATCTATTTGTATTTTGAGTGAAGTAGACACCCTTTAAGTTATGGTAATTTTGGCCAGTCATCAAATAAAAGTTATGGGAATGAATGTGTACATTTGCACATGTCATCTATGCTTACATGTCCCATACTTGTAGCTCTACTCACTTACTTACATTATGTACAAGTTATTTACACCAACCAAGTTCTGCTTTGAGTATGTTATTTGATTCATAGTATTTGAGAATGTCTGTTTAAATGGATTGCTGCTCAAGATTATGGTATAGATTGCTAGTTTTCCAATGTTGTATTCATATTGCTTATTATTATTGCTTCTCAATAATGGCACAGTTAATTTTTTGGTCAAATACATATTGGAAGGCCTAGCACGAAGCAACCAGGTGGTACCATAAAGTTCAATATATTATAACTAATAAATGGCCTGGCCCTGATGTGATTTTTATTTTGTTTTACACTTTATCGGAATAAAAAATTTGGCAGATCTCATATACCTTGGGAATCAATGTTATGCAAGACGTGCAGATGGAACGTGGCTGTGCTGTAATTTTTTTATTGAGCAAAATCTTACAAAGTGACGCTAAAGTTATGTAAAAATGCATGCACAGACATATGTTAAACAGCCGCATATGTTTCATGTAACCAGTTGTTAACAGTTGTGTAACGATGCCAACAGCAACATGGATATTAGCCACACCAGAAGTGGCAAGCTGATATGAAGCTCTAGTGCTCGCGAGGATGGCACCCCTGGACACTGCTACATAAATCAACTTCAGCAGATGGCGGCCAACTACAATTGACATATTAACCTGACATGATAACTGTATCTTAGGAGTACATATGTAATGTTTATAAAATAGGATAGCCAGTACTGCAGCCACAATTGACATTTCACGAACATTAGGGTCTATTTGAAAAGTATTTCCGAGAGGTGGCATGGCTCTGTCATAGAATATTTGATTGCCAAGCAGAATACTGGGGTTTGATTCCTGCTGGGAGCCGAGTCTGTACAGTTTGCAGAATGGGATTCACCAGTCATTACTTGCAAATTTTAAGCCTGCATGCAGGCTAAAGTCAGCGTTCTAGGATCTCTTGTGTGTCAATTTGTCACTGCAAGCTTTCCAATATCTTCAAGCGCACAAAATATTGAATATTTACTTTCTGGCTCGTATTCCCACAGCAAATATATAGAGCTATTGTGCAGATACAACAGAAGGCACAACCTATGTTTAGCATCAGAGAGGCATACATATGTTATTTGCAATAAAGTAGTGCTGTAAGAGCATCATATTTAGAAAGCCTGTGTTTTGAGAGGGCCAAAAGTGGTTGCTTATTGTAAAAACAAATTAAGAAAAAAACAGAAAGCGGCTGCTGGCCACCTCGTAACCCTTGAGACTGAAAACTGAGCAGTTGCTGGCAAATTAGCAAGTGTAAGAAAAAGTAAATGAATGCCATTAGTAGATATAGCTTGGTGAGTACACTATAAAGTGAAACTTATGCATACTCATGTTTGCTTGAATGCACCTTGTGAGAAATCACTAAAGAGAAGGTCAAATAATGGTAACAAGATATTATATAAATGGTGATACGCAGCTCTCAGGGCTATATTAAAAAGTAATATAGTAAGTCCATAATCATAGCCTGATATTAGAACTATGCTTGGACAGGATTGTAATGCAGTTCTTGGCAGGTATATCATTCAATGCCATTGAGCACCAGTACCACTCCATCTTAAATGTGTTTGTAGGGGCAGGCACTACTACTGGAGGGAAGGGAGCGAGGATGTCACCTGGATGCCACCTCGGCACCCAAGGACAAAAATTTCATTGCCAGCGGAGAAGCTCAGAGGTGTGTTTTTATTGTTTCTCTTCTCTCTCTCTCTCTCTCTTACATTCTCCTTTCAAGAAACCTTACATTCTTTACAGCAAACATTGTAAGACACTCACAAAGAAAGCACTACATGTCCACAGTAGTGCATATTTATTTATTGAATACTGCAGACATGTAGGTCAAGGAAACATATATTAAATACAGTGAATACATTTTGTGTAGCAAAAGAAATTAATGCTGGATTAGATTGAACACTTTGGCAAAACAAAACAGTATTATTAATACAAGATTATGATGTCAATTCAATTTTGTAATTCTATTCAGTTGTAGTACAAGCAAGAAAATAATGCTTGAATGTGTTTGTTCTTGCAAATGAAAATGTTAGTTCATCATACTTATGGTGGCATTTGGTTCTGGTCAGTAGCTGGGTATTTATGTTTGCCCTCCTGCTTTTTTTTTTTTCTCAGAACTCATATCGGATGCAGATGATGGTCAGGAACTTGACAGTGCAGTAAGTAAAATATCATCCTCGTGGTTTTGAAACAAAAAAATTATTAGCACAATGAACTTGGGGCAGAACATTCCCCAAAAATGCTAAGAAACTGTTACCACTGAAATTTTTGCAGTTAATGTACCTTGCTGTTAGCTTGGTTGCAAAACAAGGTTTTGCATATAAAGTTCCAAGTTTTAAATACTTGTAAGCAGCCTAAGCAAAATTAACATTTATGTATTGTATCCTTTCATTTTTTATTACTTTTGTGTTATCTGTTTGCTATTACGGGCCTTTGAGGAACATGTTGATTGCTTGAATTGTGAACTTAGCATTCTCTTCACAATAGGCTATGGGGTATGTGTTGCAGCAGTACCACACATTGTCTGTTTAACAGGGCTCAGAAGATGACATGCTAGATGAAGATGAGGTTCCGCTTCCACCCCGGCGCTCTCGTGAATCTGTGAGCTCTAAAGGATCATCGCATGGCCGTTCGGATCATCGTGGTGAGTTGTGCAAGGACATGTGTTTTTGAGTTCTAAGATTAATATGCATTTTATTTTTATTCAAAAAAAAATAGAAGAGGAAAAAAATAGTTGTGGGCTATAGCACTTCATGGTTTCTGAAGGGTGTGTTGGGGGCTAGTTAGTAAGACAATATTTATCGAACTTAAACTGCACTGGGGCTGAGACACCAGAGTAGAAGACAGGACAAACGCAGTCCTGTCTTCTATTCTGGTGTCTCATCCCCAGTGCAGTTAAAGTTCTCAAAATTATAGAAGACTATTTCAGCACTCTACGTTAATTGAGTATTTACCTTTAGTGTTCTATTAACGAAGTGATAACAATATAGGGAGCTTGCTTGTCTCATGATTAGACTGTCAGAGCACAATAATAAGCTTGTTTGGTTCACACTGTGTTGTTTAACTATGCACATATATATTTTTTTCCAGAAGCTCTCTATTTAAGTTCGTTTTACATGAGGGACAGCAAGCTTTTTTGACAAACTGCGTATCTCCTCTAACATAAATTGTTGCTAACAAAGTATCCAAAACAACTGCTGCTTTGTATCATACTTTTATTTTTCTTAAAAAGCTCCTAAACCACCCCTAATATTGTTTCAAACATTTCAAGTGAACACACGCATCGTGTGCACAATGTCGTCACGATCAACGATGCCACACCTGACAACGCTCTGAGCCACTGGCACACCACAAGTTAAAAAAAACTATCCCTCCTTCCCTCCGGACCTTTCCGATCTCAGTGTGATGTCTAGAAATTGAATCTTGCGTGCAGCACGTTCATTCTGCAATTCGTCGAACAACCGGTCAGAGCGAAGAAAGGAAAGTAAGGTAAACAAGTAGAGATATGTGAGGAGAAAAAGAAAATGCGTGGTAAAAGAAAATTTGTGTATGTGAGGGGGGTGGTAAGGCGAGGAGTAAAAAAAAAAATGACTCAGGTGATGGGAGGAGAAACACCCAAAAGGGGCGCTCGGCAAGAGGGCAAAGTGGCTTGGAGAGGGATGCCAGTGGAGGGTAGCGAAGCAAAGGGCAAAAACGGCAATCGCTTTGTTTTGATAAATGTGTCTAACTCTGCTATTACGGCACTGTTTTGAAAAATTCTCACGGCTCTGAGCGCATTTTGTGGCCGAGATAGCCTGCGAGAACCTGTGAACATGCGTATAACATCTGCAAAATATCAACAGCGAACATAGCTTGGAAGGCATTTTGCATGAACTTTAAAGTTGCGTGCATGACTGAGTATTGCACCCTCAAATATGACCCTCAGTAATTCCTCTACCTCCCTCAGGTCACCACGCTGCAGTCAAAACAAGTTATGATGATGTCATAGCCGCCATTTTTTTCTTTTTGGTACATTTGCTCTAGCACACTTTCGCGTGGCAGCTGCTAGCGAGTCCATGGCTATGGCACACACGTTGTAAGTTGTGTTTAGTGACACTACTGTCTCGTTTTTTGTTCGAACGAACTTCTTGATGCATATTGTCCGGAACTGCATCACAGTTCTATGTGCTGACATGGTCTAGCTTTGCACACGCTAGGTGGTGATAGGTGCACCCAACAACTTGTCCTTTTTGGAGCGTCCTCAAGCCGGAACTTGGACTGGTCAGTAATGAGGAGGCTATATAATGAAATTATCTGTTATGCATAGTAGCAAACGAAGTGCCGTCTTATGACTAGCAGGCCCCAGCAACAGACTGCAGAAAAAAAAATGCGAGGTCAGAATTTTTGTGTCAGTGCCACTATGAGAGTTCATATGTATACTCAATTCACCAGTTTTGATTTCTTAGCTCAGGCATGTAAGTTATATAATGTGATTTTTCAGTTAATCTTTCATTTAAATAAAGTTGTGGTGCTTAATTGCTTAGTTGATGACTACTTTCAGTCTGTATTATTGTTGAAGCTAATTGAAAAGGTTGAGAGATGTTATGAAGCTGTAATATATTGTATCAAAAAATCATTGCATGACACATCGATACATATGTCATGAACAGAAGCGGTATGTTTTTGTGCAAAATAATTCATCAGTATTTCCACATGTGAACGTGTCTTAAACTTGTGTTTTCAGGTGACAGATCACGCAGCAATGACCTTGACCCAATGGATCCTGCTGCATACTCGGATGTTCCACGGTATAAATATCAGGCTCACACATTGCTTTTTCTTTTTCTGAAAGTTCTACATTCTCTACTTGTATCCTTTCAGATGGTGAAGCTACAAGTAAATTCAAGCTAATAATATGACCAAAGGCTGCATGTGACGCAAATGTGTTCGGAAAGGCTGAAATGCATGCGTGATTTGCAAGCATCGCAGCTTTCTTAAATTAAAATGTTTAGCATAACTCAGCGAATTGTTGCTTGCATGGTCGACTACATCGGTTCATGTAAAACAGTACACTTTGCTGTGTAATAAGGGAACTACAAGGACCCCAAACAAGCATGTACTTAAGTGCAGGAATGACTTACTTGACTTGAACCAGTTACTGGCAAAAAATGCCTAAAATAATTAGTTACGTTATAACTATACATGCAGTCTCCGTCACCTCCCTTAATAAGGCGGCTTTTGCTCAGATCCATATAAAATTCTAATATAGTTACACAAAATCTTTTTACGCCTCAGAAAATGGCAGTCATGTGTTCGTGAGGGTATTTGCTTAGAATTTTATGGTTGCCATATATATTAAGTCAATTACTAAATCAAAACATGAGCTTATAATAACTAAATGGTGTCACTAAGCAGGACAAAGACACCATTTGTGTGTGTGTGTGTGTGTGTGTGTGTGTGTGTGTGTGTGTGTGTGTGCACGCGTGTGTGTGTGTGTGTGTAATTATGAATTTTAGCCACCTAGCTCAGTTGTCAGTTCTTCATTACAGGGGTAGTAGGTAGGCTAGTTTGCTCTTTTTTAAGTTAAAAATAAAAATACCTGGACAGGCCTCATAATGCATAATAAAGACAACCTGTGGTCAATCGAAGTGACAGAATCAATACCAAAAGATGGGAAATGCAGCCGAAGACAGCAGTGAGTTAGATGGGATAATGAAATCAAAAATATTGCAGCATGAAGATGGCATTGGCTCGCATAAATGATGCTGAATAGTCAATAGTTCAGAGAGAGAGGCCTTTGCCCTGCAGTGGACACTAAATGGGTTGACTATGTTAATGATGATATTGTCATTGGCATGGAATAGACGGAAGTGTTATTACAGTTCATTTCACAACATGAAATTGGTACAACTCTGTCATATTTGTACACATCATAGCACATAGAGCAGAGTCCTGTCAAGGTAAACTTGAATGTGTCAAAAAATTTGTTCATCTTATCAGAAGTATGCCTTTTCAGAAATTGTTGAAGAATGGAAACTCTCCATTCTAGGTGCTCCTGAACATTAAAATCAAATAGCACAAGTGAGAAAAAGGCACATTTATTCCAATCCCCTGCTTCAAAGTATTATTTACATTTAGTTTGGGCAATCAGTCCTTTTCTTTTTTTTTGGTTTGCACATTGGAAATCTGCAGTCTACTTCAAATTTGGCATTTGGCCGAATTTTTTCATGGATATTCTAGTTTCTTTGCATAAAAGTAGTGTGCCATATTATTTGGAGCAGTGTCTGTTGTGTCCTGCATGATCACAGCTTTTCTCGTGGTTCTGTTGCAATCAGCGGCCTCATGCTCGACTGCTGGCCCGCAGGTTGCGGGTTCGAATCGGCAGCGACGGCATTTTAACTGGAGGCGGAAGTGCTTGAGGCTTGTATATTTAGATTTAGGTGCACGTTAAAAAACCCCTGGTGGTCAAAATTTTCGGAGCCCTCCACTAAGGCTGCTCCCATAATCAAATCTTCGTTTAGGGAGGTTACACCCCATTAAATCTGTCTATAATTGAGAGTAAGGGCCCTGTACATTTTCTTTTTGTTGGCAGTGGGAGAGTGTAGCAGGTTCACAAAATGCTACCTGCTCATACCAGGGTGCAAGGAGGCCTCTCTGAATCTCTGACTGAGCCAAATGGGTATTGTCTCTAATGGCTGAAGAACTTCTATTTGCACAACTTCTTGTTTGTTTGTTTTTGCTTGGAATTTGTTGAGAACTAACCAGATGCATTGAATCTTTGAAGATTTGACTTAACCATACTTGCATTACGAAAACCTGGTATTGAGTATTTAAATTGAGCCGACAGAGCCAAGAAGACGCTTTTCAAATTTGTGTGTGCAGGGGGAAGTGGTCTACAGGCCTGGAGAAAAGCAACGAAGCCAAGACAGGTGCTGACACGACTGCAAGTGGGCCACTTTACCAAATGCGCCCATACCCTAGTCCTGGTGCTGTCCTTCGCCTAAACGCTGGCAACCGTCAGAAGCAATCTGACGATGAAGAGGACGATGACTAGTTGGAACACTGTGAATTTCTTTCTCCATCACCTAGCTCAATCGCATTGATTTCATACAGAAAGCCCTTCAACAAGGCATAAATGTTCATTTCCAAGTAACTGCACTTGGGATCACTTGAGTGAATGCTTTAAACTTAGAATTTAGCTCCAACAAACTCTCCTGCAGTCACCTCAGTCTACGCATTCTGTCCCAGCTCAGAATGGTTATCTGCCAAAAAATGCACGAGTGCAATCTTTTGATAGTCTCACACGGCACTATTAACACTTAAAGGTACCGGTGAAACACTAAATGTAATGACATGTCAACAAATAGTGGCACAGCTTGCTGCAGAATATTGCGCTTCTTATGATTTTTATAGTGGTATTTACTAACAAACATCAATGTCACTCATGTAGTTCAAACAGTCACCCCCCCCCCCCCCCTGAGAAATGGAATACGCTTACGTGACTGGCCACACAAACCACAGGTTAGTTTTGGTACCATATTAATATTATATGCCAAAAGACTGTTTGGATAGCAGAAAGAAAAATGGTGCCACCACTGTGGAATGCCTACTATGATTGTGTTGTGAACAGCTTCGTATGATACATTTGAAAGGCAGCAGTATGAAAGGGACTCATGCCGAGTTGTCAGCTCTGTGCGAGGACAATGATCCATCCTAGAGCTCTGTGGTCAGATGCCTCTGACGTGAGCAAACTTGCAAGAAATGTATTCAGAGAACAGAGAGATTATAGGAGTCCCTGGGACTGCTGGCAAGTGTTGAGTTTAGAGCACTGTGCATGTTGGCTTAATCAAAAACATATCTTGTAACATTCTGCACAAATCCAAGCTATTGGTTCAATGAATTTTATGGCTGCTAACGCCCATAAATAAGAGACATCCAGAATGAAGTGGCCACAGCGGCGTTGCAGATGTATCATAAAAGCCGTATAGTACTTTTTTTTTCAAACACCTTGTCGCAATCAAGTGTTTGATGCTTGGACGACTACCATCTTACGGATTCTGAGAAAAGAGTGTATGTGCATCATTCATCAAGGTTCAACATATTCTGCATGGGTCACCTTGGTCATAAATTCTAGTACTGTTCTTTGCATCCCAAACTACTGCGAGGTATGTTAGTCAGCTTATATATGTGTACCATCTTGATAGGTTCACCTTCCTTCCTTGTTACCATGCCCTTTCCAGAGACACCTTGGTATGCCTTCTCATCACAATAAATTAATATGATGTGTGGTGTTGCACTACAGAGATCGTATTACCAAGGAGACGGTGCCTACATCTGAATGACAAAATATCGTGCTAGACCAAAGGTGGTGCTGTTATTGAAAAAGGCCTAGTTGGGCATTCTCTAGTACCACACAATCACGTTCTGTACATAAGTATTTCCAGGAAAGACTGAAATGGCCTAGCAAGTTTATATTGTGAACTTCTGATTAAAAAAAAAAGCACAGAAAACATGGCACTGGAAGCCAGGTCCCTCTGCATAGTTGACACAGCACATTAGCATAGGCCATCAAACATTGCCCCATGTGCACTGCTGGTTCTTTCTTTTCCATTCTACAAAGGCTCTAATAGTCTACTTGGGTCAATGAAGAGATTAGCTAATTGGACTGAATGACCAGATGCTCCACAAATGTTCCATAAACGATTTTGCCTTTTGCCACAAAATGTTTGTCAATAAGCTAACAGATGTTTACACTCTGTTTCGGGGGTTCCTTGCAACAGTGGGGTAGGTACAGGCCTGACATACACTCCGAGATTTCTGTACCTAGTTGGTCATAACTAAAAATGTAATAGTTTATGTCAAGATTCTTATGTCATAGTCAAAATGTCTCTGTACAAGTTCATAGCTGGGTTTTACTTCACGAAAGTGCTTGTGAAAGCCCTGGTTCTAGCCAGAAGCACTACCATGACTGGCTTTTTATCACTCATCCTCAACTGGAAGTGTGCTGTCCTTGCATTTTGTCAGTATTAGCTTATGGCACAAAAGTATGAAGGATAACAGCACGCACTCAAACAGGAAGTAATAGGAGACATGAAGACAGCAGAGTGGATTAAAGGACAAAACAAGGGTGGTCAGTATATTATAGTTAACATTACTAAAAAGTGGGCCACGTAAAGCATAGGACAGATAACCAATGGTCAACAAAAACACTGGAATGGTTACCAGCAAGGACAGCATGTTTTGGGTGAATGAAATTAAATTTGCAAGCATAAAATAGATTTGGCTATTGCAAGATTGAGTAAACTAGAGATCATTGAGAGAGGCCTTGATCCTGTAATGGACACAAAAAAGACTGATGATTGTTTCTGTGTGATGATGATGCTAGAGATTGGTTTAATGGGAGTTGCCACATCTTCTTGCCATCTTTTGCCAAGCCACTTCACCTTCATGAAATTCAAGTGATGTGGCTTGTCCCCGAGCTGTTTTTTTCATTTGTGTGCCGAGTAAATGCAGATGATATTACATATAAATATACCGTGAAACAATGCTCAGAACAACAAGAAACGACAGTTGCTGGCACTTTGGAATGATGCTTCTGCAATTCTTCCAGTGAATGGACGACATTACACCAAATTTCAGACTGTCTGCTAGCCAGGTCATTAGTATTGTGTATAAACATATAAAGTGCAAAAGTCATCGCAGACACTTCAGTAGAAGCACAGCCAGAAAAAACTTGGAAACCCACAGATATAATGAAAGCTATACTACTAGCGAATGCATCGCACTGTATTCAACTTGGCGATGCCGAATTTAATGTTACACTTTAAGCTGCACGGTCTCGGGCTTGCAGCTGCAAAAAGACATCAACACTTCGCGCCTTGCTGAAATGGGCGAGAAAAATGGGGCGTGCTGGAAAGCGTCACTAGTGCGCTCTGTAGTTCTGCTTCATCACCGCGGCCGCCGCGCGCCTCGACTTCAGGAGCGTGCGCTGCATAAAACAGGGCGCGCCCATGCCACCCAGCTGGAGGTCGTTAAAAACGCCTGTTCGACCGAGGCAACTTTTGAAATCGAGGTCAACCAGCGGGCAGGCGCGTGACGAGCCCCGCCGGGCGGTAGTCATGCTGCTCGTGCTCGTGGCCTCCCTCCTGGGCCATGCGACGAGCCACGCCGAGCTGCCCTGGTCGCGAGTGGCGCCCGGTGTATCCGCAGAAGCGTGCAACTCGGCGCCCGGCTCGGACGACCGACTCTACTGGCTCCGCGACGGCCAGCGGCTGCCGTCCCCGACGCCCGACCGGTTCTGGGAGCCCGGCGCCTACCTGTGTGTGCGTGAAGGGAACCGCACGGTTAGCTTGCTGCGCGCTCTGCTCGTGTCGGAAGAGGACGACCTCTGCGTCGCGGGCGACCGAAGTCGCCGACGTCGCGTGGCGGACGGCGTCCGCGCGCGCAACGCACCTTGGGTGGCGCAGCTGCTGGTGTCCGGGCGCTTCGCGTGCGGCTGCAGCCTGATCGCCCAGCGGTGGGCCCTCACGGCCGCCCACTGCCTGCCGGAACGGGACGACGCCCAGCTGGCCGTGCTGCTGGGAGCGACGCGCCAGAGCGGCCCGCGGATCGGCGTGCTGCGCGCCGTGCCACATCCGGGCTACGTGCGCGGGACCCCGTCGCGAGAGCACGACGTCGCCTTGCTGCTGCTGGAACGGCGCTCCCAGCGTCTGGCCGTGGCCTGCCTGCCTCCCGCGGAGGGCTACCTCGAGCGCTTCTCCCAGGGCGTCCTCTTCGGCTGGGGCCGCGTCGGACCCCGCGGAGGACCCGCGCTTAAGCTGCAAGAGGCGTCGCTGCCCATCGTCACCAGCCGCAAGCGCTGCGAGGCAGCCGTGGAGCACTTGGCGCGCACGGCGTTTTGCGCGGGCTTCGGCGAGGCTTACCGCGCCGACGCCTGCGAAGGAGACAGCGGAGGGCCTCTGGTCGGCTTCGCGGACGGGCGACCTGTGCTCTTGGGCGTCGTCAGCTGGGGACACGCGTGCGCCAGGCCCTTCACCTTCGGCGTGTACACGCGCGTGGACAGTTACTTGGCCTGGATCCGTGGCCACGTCACGAACGCTTCAGAAGCCCGATCACCGTCACTCGCATAATAAAAGCTTCCTTTTAACCCGAGTGACGTGCCTTTATGGCCCGGCCAATGTCGCGTACAGCCTTGCGAAGTCTGTAGCACTCTGTATCATCCTGTCTGGACGTGCAGTTGCACACGAATACCTGAGAGCGAATGGACATGGTAATACTGTCGAGAGATATGACTTTGAAATTTGTAGTGCAACCAGTTGGGAAAGGGGTTGGTGTTGAATAATATAATAATCGAGGGATGTGGGGGAGGGGCAATGACCCGCCTATGGTGTAAAAATGTTGTCACTGTAAGCACTCGTAAGTACCACTTTACACCCTCTGTGATCCCTTATTTTCAGGTCACGAATGGCATGCACACTTCATAAGCTTGTCATATCTCTGAAGATTTTGATGAGCTATTACTTGAAAAAAAAAAAATGACTGTTGGGTGAGAAGAGAAGCGAGAGCTATTTACTGCGCAGTTACTGTTTTAAGATCACCTTGCTACTGTATGGTGCAAATGATGGAGCTGCGTGGAAGCAAAATCCCACTAAATTGCTCCTTAATTAGCGCATAGTTGACTGTAATTTGCAGTCCAATTAATTTTCTTACAGTAAAAAAATTGAATATAAAATGTCTGAAGGACGTTTGCGGGGCTGTCTGTCACGCGAACGTTTTCGAGGGGAATGTATTAGCCATAACCACCGTATCTACACTGAATGTATACGAAACAATACTATACAATCTCGTCAAGTATCGTCTACAGTAGTTTCTACCGTGATGGCATATGTACGTTGCCCGTGAAGTTGACCCTACTGATCGAAAGGTAAAACGGCTCGCCAGGACTTTGACCCTGGAATTCCTAGACTGAAGGAGGGACGTGACAAGTTTGTGTCGCGTCTCTCCTCTAGTTCAGCTATGCTCTGACACGAGAATTCTGTGGTGCGTGTCTCAATCTTCACTCCTGAAGGACCTCCTCATCGTAGATTAGGGTAAAATCTTCACGCCGCCTCATCTTTCAGTGAGCGCACTTAAAGGGATGGATATGCCAAATTTTACTACCCCTAGCTTTGGCGCATGTGTGTATGGTAATGTGTGTGTGTTCATGAACACACACACACACACACACACACACACACACACACACACACACACACACATATATATATATATATATATATATATATATATATATATATATATATATATATATATATATATATATATATATATATATATATATATATATATATATATATATAAAAACCTGAGAGACTTACTGGTCAGGGAGAAAACACACAAATCCGACCACCATCAGGGCTGTAGACCGTGCGGGAAACCTCGCTGCAGGGTGTGCACACACATGGTGACCACAGATACGGCCGAAGCCTCCTGTTCAGACTATGTGTACAAAATTAAAGACGACCTTAACTGTGACTCAGCCAATGTGGTATACAAAATTCGCTGCGAGGTGTGCAAACAGGAATATATTGGACACACGGAAACCGCGTTCCGTTTGCGTTTCAACAACCACAGGGCACACGTAAAGGGCCTCCCCAATTTGCCGTTCTCCAAACATATCAATCTTCCTGGTCACTCTTTCGAACGCGTAAGTGTCATACTCCTACAATCCGGCTTCCAGAACACACGGGAGCGCGAACAGCGGGAGTCATACTTTATAAAGAAATTCAGATCACTTACCCACGGAATCAACGAGAGCCCTGGGCGACTGACGTGTCTCCGCGACGTTTCGTGAAACACAGAAATTGAATTACTCAATTAATTTATTTATACATACGTGAAGTCGCACACGCAAGTTAGTCAATATAGCGAAACTAAACGAATTCGATGCTACGTAAACCGAACGGATTGTGTTAGTATTATTAAACTTTATTTTCATTTCTTAATACTTTTAGTATTATTTATTTTTATATATTTTCATCCTTTACAAGAATACCCATTTATTTATTTTCAGTATGACTGGTTGTACATTTTTCTGCAAGAGAGGGCAGGTGGAGGGAGGGGGAGAGGGCACATTAGCTTTCCAACGTGGCCATTATATTCCGAAAGCTGGAGCGGGTCGTATGCTTCTTGTGTGTGTGTGTGTGTGTGGCCCGATGCCACGGGCCAGCCGCCGAACCACGTGAACTTAAACTCGATCCATGTGTGAGATGCGAGTAAGCGGCAACATGTTCCACATTTTTTCCGTTTTTCTTGGTCGCCTCCGCTGGCGGCGCGTCTTACCTATACGCAGCAACAATGCCAGAATTACCCGCTCGTTTCCGGCGGCTCTCCGTCGCTCCTTTATAACTATATATATATATATATATATATTCCTCTCCTTCTTCTGCTTCTTGTTGTCTGTTGCTACCTCGTTCGCCCGTTTGTCTTTTTTTTTTTTTTTGGAGGGTCTTTAAACTGTGAGGGTGACCCTCTGCTACGGGGAATTGTATCATTTCACTTACATCCTCCGAAGAAGGCTGGTCCACCAGCCGAAACTGTTAGGATTAAATAAATATTTTATTGTTTTGTTTCCTATACTGCACTATTCTCGAAGTTTATAACTTTTTTACGGTAGCCGGAAGAAACTCTGATCATCTATATATATATATATATATATATATATATATATATATATATATATATATATATATATATATATATATATATATATATATATATATATATATATATATATATATATATATATAACAGACAATAAGGCTAAGGAACGTATAGGGGAAGTTATTAGACCGAATTGTAATGTAAATGTGAAGAAAAGTGGGTGAAAAGATAACTTGCGGTGGGCAGGAACCGAACCTGCGACCTTCGAATAATGCGTTCGATGCTCTACCACTGAGCTACCATGGCGGCTATCCTCCCTGCCACTTTATTGGGTATATATGTGAATTTAAACGTTGGAGTGTCAGTCAGCGCCATCAGTAGCCATGGGGGCAAGTGTGGCACACTCTTTATGAGTCTGTATGGCGTCACGTAGCACGTGAACTTATTACGAGCTGGCAGCTGACCAATAGTCCCTCCTATACAACCTAAGGCACAAAGTCTGCCAGTACGAGGCGCTCGTTAATGAACCAGGGAAAGAAGTGTATATTTAAGGGCTCGTTTTTCTGCGTTTTTGAACACGGAAAAAAAATTAGCCTTTAAGTATACACTTCTTTCCCTTTGTATATATATATATATATATATATATATATATATATATATATATATATGAGATATAACAGACAGTAATGCCAAGGAATGTACAGGGGAAGTTATTAACATTAATGGAATGTAAATAAGAAGAAAGAAAAGTGGATGAAAAAATTACCAACTGTAAGCAGGAATCGAACCTACGACCTTCGAATTACGCGTTCGAACGCGTAATTCGAAGGTCGTAGGTTCGATTCCTGCTTACAGTTGGTAATTTTTTCATCCACTTTTCTTTCTTCTTATTTACATTCCATTAATGTTAATAACTTCCCCTGTACATTCCTTGGCATTACTGTCTGTTATATCTCATTATTATTGTGTTAAAACACGGAAAAACGAGCCCTTAGGTATACACACTTCTTTCCCTTATTTTATATATATATTATATATATATATATATATATATATATATATATATATATATATATATATATATATATATATATATATATATATATATATATATATATATATATATATCCACTGACGAAAAGAGGACCCCTTTGAAACTCTTGAGAAATAAATTAATAAATGTATCATCGTTGACAACGTTTCTGTTGTATTATAATCTATATCTTAACGATAAAAACTGACCCATTGAAATATTACTATTACTACAGACATAATACGAAGAGGCTGGAGCGCATTCGGCAGGCACTCATAAAATCATTAAATGAAAAGTATGCAATTACTGCGGCATGTATACTTCCCCTTCTAGCGTATGGTGCTGAAACATATGTAGAATATAAAAAAAAACTATGGCCTATGGCATAAGCTGAGGAACAACATTGAGAGATTGGAGGACGACAGAATGGTTAAGAGGACAGACAGGAGTTGCAGATATCCTAGCTGACTTCAAGCGAGAAAAAGAAAAACATTGGCTGGTCACGTACGTAATGCATGACAACCGGTGAGCAGTAAGAACAACATAATGATTACAAAATCGATGGTTCGACGAATATTGTCGTCTGGTCAGAAAAAATTATAAAATACAAACGCAATGAAATATAGCGCCGACGAAAATGGAAATGCTTACATTAAAATGACGTTTTTTATCCTTTTTCATTTTGGTCAGGGCTATTTCATTTTGTTTGGCCCGCCGCGGTGGTTTAGGGGCTAAGGTACTCGGCTTCTGACCCGCAGGTCGCGGGATCGGATCCCGGCTGCGGCGGCTGCAATTTCGATGGAGGCAAAGATGCCGTAGGCGCGTGTGCTCAGATTTAGGTGCACGTTAAAAAGACCCCAGGTGGTGGACATTTCCGGAGCTCTCCACTACGGCGTCTCTCATAATCATGGTGGTTTGGGGATGTTAAACCCCACATATATTAATCATTTCATTTCGTTTGTGTTTCAGAATGGTTAGCAAGGGATAGAAGACTCAATCGGGGAAGGATCCAGAGGATAGGGTAAAATGGAAATAATTTGGAGAGGCCTTCGTTCGTCCTGCATGGACCAAAACAGGCTATACACTGTGTATTCACGTGTTATATAAAAATTTTGGGTGAAGGGGGGTCAACACCGTGAATTGCCATTTTCCTCTAACAACTACGTGGAAGTCCTCACCCCATCCTTCAGTAGTGACGGATCCAAAGGGGTAGAGTGGTGCCCCCCTCTCCCCCAATCTGTGTCAGCACCTCCACCCGTCACTTCAGTGTTTGTACGGGGGAACAACACGCAAAAGATATTATACCTAAGTAGAGTTGCGATGAATAAGTTTTGTTCTTTCTTTCTTTTTTTGTAATTAGAACATTTTGGACAATGCTCAGAGCATTGAATGAGGTTTCGGATATCATTGGCTTTATCAAAGTTAAAGAACTGGGAAACGTACTACTTTTGGCACCAACAACACCTACCAACTCTGTCATTCTAAGCTCAGAGATTTCCTGCCTCAGAGCGCTCGACTAGTTTCGGTTTCGTTTCTTAAATGATGTCACACAGAAGGTGGTGACGTGGAGCCTGGAATTGCGTGTGCTGCGACGTTCTGCACACTCGTTCGCTCCTACAGCGACCTATTTACTTTCGTGGAGGGACGCACAGCCGCTGCCAGGGATGTTTGCAATTGACGTACAAATTCACGCCACACATTAATTTGTGTGACGTCACGACACGCGCGCCTCAACGCAAACAAAACTATGGTGGAACGTGTGGCAGCTTGGGCTAGTTGGTATGGCATGACGATAGTTATAGCTCGAAAACAAAACGACGACACAGACACAACAAGGACACGAAAGACACGGGCGGAACGAGTGGAGAAAATAGAAGGCTGAGAGAGCGGTAGTAAACGTCCGAAATGAGTTCATTGATCCAACTCGCTACTACCACTACTACTATTACTACTACTACTAATAATAACAATAATAATATATGAAGAAAACGTAAGTTAGCCACCTAATAAAGGTCCAACTACGCAGAAGCAGTTCGATCGAGTATGAAGGTGGGCAAACTAATAATTAAGCGCACGTGTGAACCTCCAACACACCCCAAAAAATTCCACTTTACTCCTGTGAACTTCTTGATTCAATCGCCTCTAGCGCGCCCTCGAAGAATGGTCACCAAGCCCAAATATCTCTTTTACAAACAGTTTCCAACGATCGTGGGTTCGAGCCCGCCGTCTCTCTCTCTTTCGATAATTCGTCCAAACATGGCGAGTGCCCGGGGCGGTGCTCTAGCTGAAGGCCTAGGTACAGTGTACTATGGGTTCTTTCTGCAACCTCTCTGCGACTGACCAAGCGGCCTCCTGCAGAGAGTTTCCCAAAACCAACTAAAGGGCATTCTGCCACTGCGATCGTTCAGCGACCATGGGAACGATCGCAAATGTGTGTAGTACACACATTTGCCTAGTCTTCGTGCTTGCGGGCGGCGAATCGTACTTGCGGCTTTGTTTATTGCTGATTTTGGTTTTGTTTTGAAAGAAAGAACAAACTTTTTTAAACTTAGTAACTTGATTCGAAATGCTAAGCCTAAAAAAATAAGATTGTGAAGCGCAAACGGTGAACATTTGCTAATTTATGTTTTCGTGAAAAAACAGCTCCAAGCCACACGAACACACACGGAGCCAGAAGCAGGCCAGAAGTAAGAAAATTAGACAAATGCACGGAAGAAGGAAAGGTACGTTAGGTACCTTTCCTTCCTCCGTGAACCGGTACTACCCATCATTCCCATGCTCGCTGAAGCGCCGTGTGTTGCAGCTCCCATAGATACTAGCGCCAGAGTTCCCTCTAGTGTACATTAAGAAACTCTATAACCTCCTGCATCGGTATTCTGCACTGCCCCCAAGCACAAAAAAAAAAAGAGAGAAGTTGGACGTGTTGCTTACGAGCCGTTTTAAATGCGATGCATTTCTTAGCGAACTTTGAGTGTATTTATCCTTCTAGCCGCGTACGTTTGGGTGTTGTCGTGGTCACCCCCATAGCTTGGTGTGAACCAAAATTAGCATAAGAAGGTAAGACGGTTTGACCAATATGACGCGCTAGTTGAGACATGAATAGTGTCACAATCCCGCCGCCTACGTCGTCAAACACTTCCCTTCCGACAGTGGCACATACCCATTGGCGTGTGCCGCTGGTAGGCGGGTATGTGCCACAGGTGATAAACACTTAGTATCAGGAATGACGAGAACACACATGGGAAATTTTAATGCGCGAGCGTCAAGAAATATACTCGACATCAGTAACGTCGACCCGAGAAAAGCAAAGAATAAATGTCAGAATCCCAGCTGGAATCGACCCAAGCATTCTGCGTGGCAACGAAGCATATTTTACCATATATATCTATAGCTACGTCAAGTCTCGGAACTACTTTTCAAATAGACGCTAATCTTCGTGAAACGTCAATAGTGGTTTCAATGGTTGCATAAAAAAAAATTGCAACACGGTCACCTTCCCTCCGCATGCTTCGCATAACGTCGATTCCTAGGTACATGGAATCTGCCGATTTTTTTCTTCCCTGACCATCAAATGCTTCATACCGACTGACATAATTGTGATGTTGAACATCTGGGAACCATGGATTCACAGAACTTGGTATAATGGGCGCGGCCTGCGCTGCAGAGGCCAGAAGGTCCTCAAAAGAAAGAGTATGGCCAGAGACTGGGGGCGTGTGGGAGTTGGGGGGGGGGGGGGGGGCGCAAGTTTACGCTTGGCCCCACCGCTGTCTTCAGAGAGCAAATTAACATTCAAAACACTGTGCATCATAAGTTCCGAGGATCCTGGCCTCGCCCCTACTCGTCGGTGCTCACCCACTCGGGCGTTGCTCCCCCCTCCCTTCACTGCAAAGTACCAATCTTCAACTTCACTATTTAAAGAAAAAAAAATATAAATCTAGTTTTTGGTTTTTTATAAGTATTACGGCTAGGTGGCGCTAGCCGCCGCCCGATCTAAAGGGGGTACAGCCATATCAATCCATCTATCCCCGAAGTTATTAAATTTCGCGTTCGCAAATATACACGGAGGAAGGAAAGGCAAATATATATATATATATATATATATATATATATATATATATATATATATATATATATATATATATATATATATATATATATATATATATATATATATATATATATATATATATATATATATATATATACACGCACGGACATAAAATATAGTCAACCCCTAGGGAAATTTATGGATACGCCTCTGCGCCCCCATTAAAAAGCCTCAAACATATGACAGTGACACGGTAGCACGTGTCATGTATATTTACTACATTGAAAGAGTTTAGGTGCGTTCTAACGTACAGCCATGACGACGAAAAAATGAGGATGTGCGACAATTATCAACATCATCTTCACGTGGAACAGGAAAAATGAAAACAAGGAGTCACCAGAAACTATATATAGAGAAAAATTGACCCTTCAAAGGAAGTACCTTGTTAGATGTTCTAAATATATTTGTGTAATACTCTGACATGACCGAACCTCTGCGTTCATTTTCCCGTTTTTATATTTTACCGCGTTTTTTATGTTGGCCTTGATACGCAACATTTGAAGTTCGCGCTTCGAGAGTTTTTTCCATCTCCGTCGAGATGGCGCAAGTGGCGCTTGAAGGCTTTTTAACATTAGCTCGCTTAATTGTCAAGGACGCCATGAAACAAATGTATCGTAGACACTAAGAAAATTGTGCCGATTGTTCGTTTGTATTTACTTGTTACTTGTAGTCGGCCCACATCGTGTCAAATTCAAATAAAGCGCGAGCTAAAGTTCGTATCATAAGTGAAAATCGTTTGCGAGACTGCGACTTCACGAAGCAATGAAACGGAAAGTTCAAACCGTACCACTGTGACCATACTTTGCAAACGCGGGAAACAGCATATAAATTGACAGCGCGGGGGTAAATTTCTTTCAACCAGGTGGCTCGCGTAAATTCAGTAGTACGTAGTGTTTTGTTCAGAGTGGTCATAACAGAAACAGGAACCAGCGGATAGACAGATGAAGATGAGCGAGGGTGAAAGAGCGAGCGAAAGAGCAGTGGGATAGACAGGAAAGCCGCTCGCGCTTCTTTTGGCCGAGGCTGGATAGGCCTAGCAGCATGAACCATGGCACGGTGACAACTGACTGGCACGCTGGTTCCCCGAGGCCATTCTGAATCACACACGAAACTCGTATCGGTGTTTCTGTGGCTACGTCGTCTCATGGCGACATTACGTCGCCGCCTACTGCGTGATTGACATAAATGCCCAGCTGGGGATACGTTCATCGGAAGGTGCTCGGATCCTGACATCTATAGTGTTCATTGACCTCTTCAGCCGTTTGGTGGTACCAAGGTGTGTACTTACAAACGCCCTATGTGTGCGAAAGCGGGCGCGAGCATCCGCTTACGCCGTCGGTCGGCGATCACGGTATTTTGGAAGGCCGCACGTCGTCTTCGGCACGACCAAGATGTAGCCAGTGGAGCAATGGCGTAGGCCGTGACCTGGCCAACAGGTGGATCCTATGCTACTCGAAGGGAGTCCAGCTTTACGTTGGTGCTTCCGCTGATGAGATCATGTTTCGGGTCGTCGAGGGGCAGCATGGCGTAACGCGCGTCTATCGGGTTAGCACCAACGAGCTCGTCTGCACCGTTAAGGAGAAAAGTACTACGTCCAAGACCAATGGTCCACCGCCGTGTCCACCCCGCCTGCGCAGTCCTCGCCGAAGCGCTCCTTGCGCCGTCAACGGCAAGGTGCCCGAGGTGAGCAAGGAGCGGTTCTTGTCCCTTCTCGAATTGCAGGCCGATCAACGGCGAGTGTGGTCCGCGGCCCGTGGTCGAACGCCTGCCAGCAGATTGCGACGGCGGCGAGTGGCCAGGTGCCCAGGCGGCCGTCGCCAACTACAGCAAGTACTGCTGCTCGCGAGGGCGTCTACACGCACTGACGCTGCCGTCGCTGCCCCACCCTGTTGTTTACCGTGCGAGACAGCAGCACCGTTACCTGGGTCACCAGTACAGCTTCAACAAGCGTGATCGCTGGAAGCGCATGCGTGAACTCCGCACTGGTCTGAGCCGTCGTGCTCTGCGCCAGCTGGACAAATGCAAAGACCTGCGTGTCATGGTGCGCCGTTTGACGCCGTCGGAGGTGGCGCTTTGGACGAAAGGCCACATGCGTTTGGGCAGGACTCCTCTGCGGGAGCTTCCCAGCTTCTCGCGGCCCGTGCGTTGTGTGCTTCCGGACGTGGTGCAGTTGAACGGACTCAAGGTGGCCAAGCGTGTTCGTGGTGTCCGCGATCGCCGCCCACGGCCCGGCGCGCCTACGCTGTCACAGGCTTCTTCACCGCTATTATGAAGGCGGCGCCACTACTTCTTGCTCATGTTCTCGTGACAGTATGATATTTTGCCAAAGGTTCTGTGCTCTGGCAAAGAGCAGATATTCTTCCATGCATATTGTACTTATATGCAGCTGTTGATGTGTCACACGTTTCATACTTTGTTGTAAAAAAAATGTTGATACAGAGTAGCATGTGCAAATACTTGCCTTGAAGAATGAGAGTGCGTGTCGCACATTATGTGCACTGTGCCACCTTTAAGTTTTTCTTCTTTTGCTGCGGTGCGCTCGAGTTTTAGTTCTTTTATTACCTTGTCTCCCTCTGCTGCCTCTAGCAGACCGTACTTGAGAAACCTTTTGTAATGACATGGTTAATGCATTTAGCCAACTGTCGAGATTAGAACACTGTGTCTTAGTTGCAAAATGTCACGTGCAACATGAATCGTAAAGCAACTGGCCCTGTCTGTAGAATTTTATTGCACACAAATGGAGCAGGGTTTAACTGCATACCACTCCTGGCTTTGGCTTGAGGTGCTTAAATGGAGTGGTAACCGTACCAGACATATCTGTCAGCATTGCAGCCCCTCACGGAACTATTTTAATATATGTATGGGGCCCTGATTATAAAACCACATGAGTATTTACGTGTGCTACAGTTAGCAGTTTTTAAAGAAGTGAGGTCGTGGCTTCGGTTGGGTTGAAGTAACTTATTGCATATGCAGAACACTGTGAAGTTATGACAGCATTTCATGATAGCATTCATTCCTCCAGTGAGCCGCTGAATTTGTGACCAGGGGCAATATGCCCTTCTAGGTTGGTCTAAAAATAATTGAATGAGTGATGTTCAAAGAAATGTGGCTTTCTGTTTCTTTTCAACATAAAAAAAGAAGGTTTGTTAACTGGCACGTTACATCTTTGTTTACATCCATTTATTTTGATTCACCAGTTGCATTGACTGCAGTCGTGTTTGCTTTCATGCGAAAAATGTTTGGAACTTGTGATTGCACTTTCAGTGAGTGAACAGTACATCGGTACTGCATAATAAGCATACTCTGTTTTATAGAAAATGCTGTGGGGTTTTGCTCTGTGCTTTAAAGACGGCATAGGAGATCAGTGGGGTTATTTACTAAGCTGTTTCTTAAGGTAGACAATCATTTTATTTACATTTTAAAGGACAAAGGAGTCCATGAAACAAACTAGCCCTTTGCTTGAAAGCCAACCTTTTAACTCAATTGATCTGGCTAGCCATAATAAATTATTTCATATTTACTGACCATTGTATTGTTAACATTTTTTGTAGGAGGCAAACTCGGGCCATGCTTGCACACACTGAACATAATGAATAGAATTAATAACACTTGCAAGGTTACATATGCTAAGTTCTTCCCTGGACTGTTTCTATGAGCTGAGGATGATTTCATATAAGCTGAGCCAGTGTTGGGAAAAGTTCGAAGCTGCTGTCGAAGTACAGTGGCACCCTACTTAAAACAACGCCGAGTGCTTGGCCAATGTATGTATGGTTTACTCGGAAGCCAGTGAACCACTTAAAGAAATTAAGAAATAGCTGATCTCTGTCTGGTTCATTGCAGTATGAGCAGTACTGTCGCATGAGAGTAGTGATGTTTTAAAGGAGGTTACAAATGATGGGCTCTTATTGCTCATTACATCGACGTTGTTTCAATAGGTATGAAACATTGTGGCAATAAAAAAAAAGTTTTAGGACGAGCCATCGCATTCTATGAAAGTGCACGGTCGGCGAAGCTGTTTAGCACATGGCTCAGTGGTGACCCAGAATTTCGAACCATAGACGATCACACGCCCTACAACTAAATCTGAAATCCGCAATATCTCTTTTGAATTAAGCATATGCTCCAAGATGTTTTTCCATTGGAGCAGCACGCAGGCTTTAACCACGACATGTATCTTCTCTGGCTTGCTGCATGACAGCGTATTTCTCGGGATCTTGAAAAACCATTTGAGCAGCAAGTGCCTCTCCGCTACATACTCTATTTCACAACACGCCTGGCTTGCTGCTTGGCATTCTATGTACGCTCTTGATGATGATGTTCCTGGCATGGCTATCGCTCCTTAACTGGCATTTGCCACCAAAGTGTACCCTTCTTTATTTTTAGTGGACCAGTGGTGAGTACAGGTGCATGTCCAATTTTTATAGCACATGCATTTTTGCCTGCCAAGGGCTTCTTTCAGTGGACCAGCTGCGAGTAGTGGGGCTTGCCCAATTTCTGTGGCACACGCATGTGCTACGTATTCACTCACTCACGCACGAAATGTCCTAGCCATATATAGTGGCACTGTAAATGGTTCGATATTTACAGTACTACAGAAATTGCCATGAAGGTTGTCAGTACGTTATTCGTATGTTAACCTACAGATGGCTTGCACTGACGTCTCAAAGTGCCATGTCAGAGCACCCGCATGAGCGGGATGCAACGCTTTCAACGTCACAACAATATTATCAAAACTATACATGCATTATTCACTCACATAGACTTTCTAAGCATCACACCCTACCTGCCTCACCTCGCCTTCTTATCTGGGCCCCAGCCCATGAATCCCTTGGTGGAAATGCGCAGGCACACTCTCTCGCCCGAAGCCTCGACTGCCGGGCAGAGTTCTTTACGCCTTACACTTCCCATTATTCGCTCTCCCAGGCTTCCGAAGAACTAACTCCTTTGGTTACTTACACAGACATTCTACAGCACTACAGACTAGGCTGTCTCCACTATCCTCCAGCTCATAAAGACCTCCCACAACGAGATGCCGTTCTGTGGCGCAACCCTCACATGGGTGTCTTTCCCAACCCCTGGCTTTATAACAACGTATACCCATATCTCATGACACCACACTGTAGATACTGCTCACAATCGGTTACCCTCATATACATGGCATGGACGTGCCCACAGTTTGCTGACGCTTCACACACAGAGGATACGTGGGAGTCTCTTCTGCATACCACCGACTCGGCACAGGAACCCCGGGTAATCCCACGTGCATTGGAGGCTGCAGTGTCCAAGGGATCCCCGCTGACCTCCTCTAAGCAGCTTAACCGACCTCTGGGCCAGTCCCCTCTTTTGGGAGAAATAAAGTTTTGATCATCATCATCTGCCACATTTGCTTTCACATAGATGCAACTTGTCGTCACCAAAGTCATGACTGTGGAGTCCTAGAGTTTCTTTCAGAAGCCCTATTCATGACGTCACGTACTAGTCATCTATTAGGTGCACTTCTTCACGATTACTGAAGGTTTATGTCTTGTGCAATTTTTGTCGGCAAATTTTTCGTGTAATCAAGATGTTCTTGTCCTTCAAATGCCTGGTTATGCTCAGTGTTGCAGCTTTTTTATAAAGTAAGAATTTGAAAGAATTGCCAGTTTGGCTCTAAATTATATCCAAAAAAAGCAAAGCAACACCTATGGACAAAATGTGCACTTTGGCGTGAGGATTAACGAAATGCAAGATAGCGTGATGCCTGGCTTGCAATATAGTATTAAGCAAAGGCCTATAATTAGGTATCACAACAGTTGGAAGGATAACTTCGTTCGCATATTTCAGTGCCATGGTGAATAAAGAAGGTGGACAATAAGGCATAGCAATAGTGACCATATTGGATGTTTTGGAAGTTGAGGGCAAAAAAGCACCAGGTAACTAGGAAGGGCATTTTAACTAATGCTACAACTTGGTGTTGTATAAAGCCGTAGTTATCTGATGTCTAGAAGTATCAAGTGCCTCAAATGCAGACACAAAAATGAATGAATGTAGTGATGGACTCTTGTATTCATGGCGAGTTTCACCAAAAGTAAATGGTACATCGGACAGGAAAAAGAATCAAACTGTACTAGTAAGTTGTACTTCTGCTGTAGTGAAGCTGTTGCTCTTCTGTGAAAAGGAACATGATGGACAACTGGTAGTACTACTGTAGTTTTGGCACAAGCTCGCCATGATGTGGGTTTTGGCAGCATCTACTTGAGGCTGCCTGCATGTGGATGACCCATTAGGTATAACGTGTGGTCGTCCACACATTTCTAATAAAAACGGTGTAGGGCGAGCTAGACTTTTCAACAGCGCTTAAAATTAAAACAGAGGCAAGTTCCCGATTCATGTTACTTAGAAATCACAGCACATAAATTAAAAAAAAATAAGAGAGTGACCAAAAGATATGCTTATCTCTGCTTTTTTTAGTCCTTGTTTACTTGCATGCTTGCATTACCTTATCTTTACCTTTTTCTTGCTATTCCATGAATGAGATGCCTTTGTCTCTGTGGTCTGCTGTGTTCAAGCAGATGGCAGCTTGTATCTCATTGAACCGAAAAAGCAGAAGTGATTGTGTTTGTGTGGAGGAACTAAAGCATGTTGGCAAGGGGGAACAATGATTCGGTCAGAATTCAGCATTTTGTGGAAGGAGCTAAAGTGCTTATGGAATAAGAGAAGTTGCATTCTGGAGGAACCCAGCACAACTACTTTGCAAGCCTTACAAACAATTTCTGCTCTAAAATGACTATTGTACAAGAAAACAGCTTGAAATGCATATTATGCTCGTTTCCAAAGCCATATTTAAAAGTGAACAATTTGGTCTCAATTTTCTGCTACTACTGCAACAGTAATCGTTTTTCTATTGAATCGTCAAATTGGTGGGAGCAATCTTGAAAGAATACATTGCTGTTCTAAAATATATTGCTTCATTTTATTGGATCCTGCGATAGAAGACAAGGGCAATTCGGTTGTGTATTAAGAGGTTGAACTAACCAGAGAAAAATTTCCAGGGTGACCATCTCCATTCTTGCAGGAATAAATGGTGGTGTGCATCTTGGTAATCAGATGTTCTCAACACAAGCTTATGTTGTTTAATTTCTAAGTCTTTACTTAGTAAGCATTTCTTCTGCTTTTGAATTCCTCCAGCAGGAAACAAGAAAGTGGCATATTACGCATGGTGCCTGCTTTCACCACATCCCACAAGACTTTGCTTACAATAAGGAATGTACAGAAAATAATCAGTAGACCGCACGTACCGCAACAAAAGGTTATCAACTGTACTTATTCACACTACATCCATTTTTGTTTTTTTTACTACAAACCTTAAGGCAAGATTTTACAGGAGTGAGTATGTATATATTTTAATTCAATCAAATACACATAAGGTAAGTTTGAATATCCAAAGAAACCAAACAGAGGAGAAAAATGATCATGGTGATATAAGTGATTATTAAACACAATTAGGTAACTTGTCTGCAAACGCATGATTTTGTAACTCAAATTCATAATTTGGCAAGGATCACTCAAGGCCATTCCGAATTTCTATAGTGTGTAAAAAAAATAAAAACCTAAAGCAATCAGTGATTCAGTGAATTTAAAGGAACAATGGTAAAATGATGACCTTTTTCTTGAGGGCTGAGAATAATGGAAATGAAAACAATAGGTGCCTTGATGAAGGTTTCTTTTGATGGAGTGCTTGAACAACTCGGTCGATTAGTTGGTACTGTGCATTTACACACTGGCACTATGGAATGATACTACACAAAAGAAGACTGATTAGTACAAAAGATAGCTGAATCCTTTACTATAATTAAAAGAAATTACTTAGAATATTTTCTATCGTGGCTAACAGCACGACTCATGCGGACAAAGAAAAGAAGAGGACACACAACGCATTGCTGTGTTGTGTGTCCCCTTCTTTCCTTCATCACCAAGTTTAGTCGTATTGTATCTTTGTTGTTCATGCAGATCTAGTACTTGCAATGAGAAAAAGAACACCGGTCTTTATGATTCCGCTCTCACCCTTGACTACTACAGCAACCACAAAAGCTTGTTTAATCATTGATCATAGACACTGAGATGGAGACATGTCACTAAGCGTCAACGTGGGTGCATCCATGTCAAACATTGTTATAGCTGTCAAACACCGAACGACATTGTGCAAGCTCTCTTATATCATTGTACAGTAAACATTAAACTAATTCTGTATGGACACCTTTTACTTCTAACCTCTTAATGGACACTTAAGATGGCCATCATAAGAGAACAGTTCTCAAGTTGATGGCAAACGTTGAACAATGAATAACTTTACCTTCTTGCATACAGTCTGTAACTTACGAGTTCTCTTTCCTTTCTGTTTTGATTTTTTATTGGTTGCTTTTTACACTGAAGGGATAAAATTGAGGGCACTATTTTTTTAGAGAATCTGGAGCATGATATGGTAAATATTGCAGAGGACAGCATATTCCGAATCCTTTTTAACATGCATTGCCATGAAAAATAAGTTTTTTTATTTCACTAGACTACACTACTTTCACGTTGCGGGTGTCCATTTCTACGACATTCACTTCATGTTTGGCACGTTGGGCCTCCGCAAGTGTGCTTATAAATTAGCTTTATCTGAGCATCCAAACAGCTACTTGAAGTAAATGATGTCTACGGAGGTATAAAGTGACCCATAAAGCCACATTAACAAATTATTTGGTGGTTTGCAACAGACTGTAATTCTAGAGCCTCTCTGGAACACGTACTAAAAGAACGTTGAACAATACTGGGGATGAACAATACTGGGGAACTTAAAGAACAATAGCGTCTAGTAATCGTCTCCGCGTGTACTGAGATTCTGTGTTCCAGAGCTCTGTCCTTGAAGATAGCATAGCATAACATAGCTCTGCCCTTTGGCTGTCCAGCTGGCCAAGGAAGCCGCACATCAGGACACAAGAACTCCTGGCCGTCACCTAGGCGAGAACTTTTACCCGTCCTACAAACTCGAAGGTGCTTTCAACAAAGTTCTTTGTATGTTATTAAAATTCTCCAACATTTGGATCCAGCTACTACTTATTTAACCTTGCAGTGGAACTCCAGCTGCCGTTAGGACAGACAGTAAAAAAAATTTGGCCGAGTTGGTTTGAGATCATGATGTGAAAAAGCTTATTATAACGATGCAGAGAATCGCTTGTCCTGTGTCCTTTTATACTGTGTGTTATTTTAATCATGTCTTTTCACAAAGTAAAAACAGAAGGCAAAAAAATGCAACATTTAGGTGGAGAGATTTTTTTGAAATTAGATTTGGCCCCTGAAGTGCTTTATTTTTTTGAAGATTTCTTGATGAAAAGTGCCTATTTTTTTTATTGCTCAGTTCAAATGTGATTTAACTGAAAAAGGTAGTCAATGTTGAAAAATTACTTTGACCACATATTGAGTTAGATCAACACAATAAAGTTTATTTCTGAACAATAAATAAAAAACAAGCTACCTGCTACTCAGAAAAATAAAAACCTTACAAAGAAAACAGTTAAAGATGCCACATCTTTTTTAACGTTTGTAGGCTAAGCACCCTTGGGCTATTTCACTCTGGAAGCTTCGGGATTGTGTGGAAAATTTCAAAACACTGAATAACACAAAGTGGCTTCACTGGCATGCACTTGTGATGTTTACTTCCGAGATGTCATCACTAAAGGAGCTCATCAATTCATCATCATCACTGTCTTCACTTACGAACACAAAATAAATATCTGTATTCAAATCATCATCATTCAAAGATGGTGAAAATTAAAAGCTTCTTTTTTTTTGTGTTGACGAGCCAGCTATACATGGGTCGCCACCACCGCAAACTATCCTTCCATATGAAAACCGTGCTTTTGCCAGAAGAGAAAACTGAATTGTCAAGTAAATGCTGCCATCTTGTGGATGACATGCAGTCTAAGCCATAGACGAGCGCTTCTTGTCCTGAACGGTACAGGGTACTTGTTCATCCAGGACAAAAAAAGCAGTTCGGGAAGAGTTTGAGCAAGGCGAGCTCTGCTCAATCAAAAAACTTAAGGGAGTAATGAATATCATATGGTGCAACTTCAGTTTTCGTTGAGTTCCGTCGCAGTGCACCCATTTGTGCAAGCTACACAAGAAAGCCAATTATGGTTTTAAAATTTGATAAATATCAGACTTCATTAGGTTTGGAAAGTGGCCATGTGCCAGTGGCATAGGAACCACTAATTTATACAGTGTCATCATATTCTACTCTTTCTCTCAATGTCACATTATGTAAACTTTGCCAAATTACACAATATGCTATGTAAAAAGCGTGAAATGCCATAGCAGTCTTATATAAAAGTGATGATGTAACCTTATCCTGACCGTGCACAACGGCTATTCTTGAAAGTTTTGTAAGTAGTTTGTTGAACTATAACTGAGAGTGGCAGCTTTACTTATTCATACAATGTCCCTCCAAAGAACATTGGTACACTAGCAGTGGAAAGCAACAACAGCACTGGTAGCGACACCTACTAACACTTCGGCCAGCCACAATGTAATATAAAGATTTTCTGAGTTGCATGCCAACAGCATAAGCAATTTCTTGCAGGGGGACGGAGTGTCTCTGATTTGTAGTTGAGGCTGGGTGGGCCGATGTGGTCAAGTGTCATTTGGTGCTCTGTATGCCATGGCAAAAAAAAAAAAATTCTCTGTTTACTCCTGTTAAGCTTTGCACCACATATCAGCCCCACCAGCATGACCGGCTACACTTCCAATAATCTATAATGATGTAAAGGGAAATATGTGAATGAATAAGCTAAAACACACTATTCATATCAGCCATATTTTAAAATGATACACATAAGATCTTAAGAAGAGCAAAACCTTTATTATATTTACCCCCTGAATAACAGTTTTGATTATAGTACAAGTCCAGGAGCAAAAGTGGTGCACATTCTGTCTTTGAATGTTTGCTTTCTGCTCTCCCAGTTGGCCAGAAGTACAGCTGTTCAATGATGACAGCTGGCTTTTGGCCAAGCACGTAAGCTGAAACCAAAGACTGAACATGTACAAGATTCACCTGCAGTAGGGCACTTTGTTTCCTTAGGAACGCTTATTTACAAATCAGGGATGCTTCATTCACATACGAAATGGCTGTTCCGAAGACGCACAGTGGGTGCCATTGCATAGAATCTGACGCCATGAGCTGTGGCCAGCTCTTGAAGGTGTGCCAGCTGCATATTTGCTTGAGGGCTGTGCCATCGATGCATGGGGGCTAAACACACAGCAAGCAACGCAATAGGCATAGCACTGAGCATGAGCTTCTCCACTGTGCAGAACAGTGCTTCTGGACACTGGCAGTGCACAATGTGCAGACGTGACAGGCTGTCTTGCAGATGGGGCTCGTCGACTTGCTGTGCCAAGGCTAGGACATCAAATCTTCTGGCAAGGTCAACCACTACTACGGACGATTCACAGCCACCACAGCTCAAAGGCTTGATGTAGTGAACCACAATGTCTAGAGCTGTATCCAAGTTTTTTTGAGGCATGCTATGAGATTCTGAAGCTGCGGCATGAAGCATGGAATGAGGCTGGAAAACAAGCGAAGAGTAGCCAGAATGAGAACTTCACCCTGTCATGCACATTACACAGTTATACGTCTCGGGCTTTTAACCAATCTTATTGGTGAGCTGTGATGGTTGACATAAGCTGATTTATATACTGCAGAAGTTTCCACGTGGCATATGATGGGCGCCATATTGAATTACATTGAACCCGAAATGCATGACAAATGCTCAAATGAGTCGTATGCTTTCTAATCTTTAAATCTGACACCAATCTATGAGCTGCAAGTGCAAAGTGGCTATCAGAAGACATTGAGTAGTGACATTTGCAACTACCATAGTGCCGCTGCATATAAGCACACGTACACATAGGTTTCAGATTTTCAGAAAACACTGACAAAAGTACACCACATAATCTCTCTGTACAGCATGGTGATCGCAACTACCTTCCCGTGCAAGTCAGAAGTAGCAGATGGTCACAAATTTTTTAGAAAATGATGATGAGCTTGTGCATCAGGTTTTATGGTTCACCCACCCATTTTTTTTCCAGACTTTCCAAGAGTAAGCACTGAATGCAAGCATTGCGAATTGAGTTTCTATATGCTTCTAGAGCAATCGTAAACTCGACCAGCACCTGTTCCCCTGCAGCGGTTATGCATGTGGCTTCCCTACTTAAAATATATAGTCATCGCGCAGTTGTAATTTTTATTATGGGGTAAAACAACCCTGAGCGGGACATCTTATTAGAAATCACAGTATCTACGAGCAGTAATCAATCTATATGTGAACCATGCAATAATGCGCATTTCTTACCGTTTCTACGCTAGCAGTTGTTCGCAAGAGGGCAGAAAATATCTTTCTCGAGTATGAAGTGCCAGGATCACAGGTACGGCTGCCGGTACTCATGGAGAAAGCAGGAGCAACGATAAGGATATCTTTTTATCAGAAATGTCGGTGCTTGAATAAGCGGCGTAACTGCGACTTTAGGCCACACAACCGCTTTGACCCCTCGAGAAAAGCAGACTTGTCTTGCCCGCTTCTCAAATAGTAGCTTCCGTAGAAAATCAAAAGCTAGAGTCCGCGCTGCCGGCCTCGACCTCTCCGTGCCCTCCACTCGTTTCGCTGCCCGTGCTATCACGCCCGTTGTACCGGCTGTCTGGCAACGTAATCTACATCATCGTACGGTCAAATAGCAAGCGCAATTTGAACAGGTGGTTCGAAGGGAAATGATCGGCCGGCACATGATAGCGCTACAAGGAATGCTGTCTTCCTGACGCGTTGTAGTTCGCCGCGTACGCAGATGAAGAATGGCGTTCTTTACACGCTATTCCCGTCTAATACATGCCGTTGCGCGGAGTACCGCGCAGCCAAAAAGGACTACGTCGTGCCGCATCGTCAACCGGCGGGTCTCATCTTATGGAGTCTTTGCACAAGAAAAAACGGACGGCGATGAATTTGAACGCAACAGCGGGCGCGCATGGGCTCTCCTTGGCGGCGGCATATCACTGGGGCTTCTAGCCCTCTGGAAGACGTCTCCGGTCCTGGCCAAGCAAGGTAAATACAGTGCCACAATGCCCCTCCTGTAAGTGTGACTAGCGACCTTGTTTGCAGAAACGAAGGCAGATGAACCTGTGGACAGCTTGCCGGTCTACACCGCCCAAGAAGTCGCTAAGCACGACAGGAAGGAGACGAGGATATGGATTTCGTTCAAGTGTGGCGTCTACGATGTTACCGACTTCGTGGACGAACACCCAGGTGGAGACAAGATTCTACTGGGTGCCGGTGGAGGCATCGACCCATTTTGGAATCTTTACGCCGTCCACAAGACTCCCGAGGTATGTGGGACATCCTCGAACGAGTTCAGTTAAACCACCGCTCCCGTGTAGTTGAGTAAATATATTGAGATTTATTCGATGCTCAATCACCTTCATTAACGAAAATGCCATGTCGACTTGTGTGTGTATGCGTGCGCATTACAGCTCAAAACAGAAGACATGTGCACACACGAGTACTCTGGGACTGTCAAAGTTACTTGTGCAACAGTTACAAAGGGAATACGGGGAGAGACAGCAGATACCTCATTCAGATTGTACTGGTTTCATTATCAGGCTGACTATTCAGCTTGCACTGGTTTCATTATCAGGCTGATCAAGGCCTGTATTGACCCTGTCTATGGTCACGTTATCCCCACAAATGCCTTAAGTCATCTGTCCGGCTAACCTTCTTCCTCCCCCTGACGTGCTTGCCTTCTTTTAAAATCAAGTCTGTTGCTCCTAATGACCAGTGTTCATCTGGACTTCTTTCTACTGGTTTATTCACATGCTTATGTCTGACAAAGACTGGCATATGAGCTAAACACTCGAGCACACTTGACAGCAAGGTGCGACTGTAGGGGTGTGCAAATAGTGAGTTTTGGAACCGAACCTAACACAAATGGTTATAGAATGCTATTCGAATAGTTTTTTTTAATTATAAGTATCGACCTTTTTTAAAACAGTCTTAGAACACTAGTGCACAACATTTTATTGGAAACAAATATTCACAAACTTTCACCAAAGACCATTACATTACATTTAGTCTTTATATACTACAAACACCACAGTTACAAAAACTAATGCATATCATATATATAGCAGAACAGGAGCCTCCATGCTATTTTTTACCTGTAGGTTCAAATACAACATCCACTAGCATTATCTACGTGAGACTCTGTTGCCCAATTTTAAATAAAACAGGTACTTTTAAATGAAACCAAACATTTTAAATAAAACCAAACAATTTTCAGCCAAACAAATACCACGGATACAGCTGAAGATGTAACAAATCACACCTGTCATCACAACATGGTCTGTGCTCCAAAAGCATGCAAGAATTGACAATATTCAGTATTTCAAATATTGTCGCATATGTGCTGTTCAATATGAATACTGAATCGAATAGAGTGCTATTGGATTCGCTATAGGACAATTTCAAATATTTGCACACGCCTACTGTGATGCTGCAATTCATTGTTAAATAAATAAACTGATCTATATTGTTAGTACATTTCATCACTTTTGAACAGGAATGTCTCTAATGACTCATTTGCCAATTCTGTTGTTACTTCTGGACACTTGATAGTGACATAGTCAAATGATTGAAATGTATTACGAGTACCATCTCCAGTTTGTAACTGGAATATATGCCTCCAGCAGTTTCTTTGTCAGTGCATCATTACTTATGTACTCATGACAGAAACATGTTGAAGTGAAATTCATTGTTGAACAAATAAACAAAAAATATGTCTGTTTGATTTTTTTCGTTGCTTCAAGTGTCACTATTGATGGGATTTCAGTGGCCTTACAGTCATTGCTCAAATGTAAGCTTCCCGACTGATTATGCTTCAACATGCAAGTGCATTGGATCTACAAAAAGACAGTCTGTAATTTTAATTAATTCAAGAATTTTCCATATTTTGTTCAGCTTTCAAGAGCAGCAAGTTTAAGATCTTTATGTTCCATTTTAGTAGTCAAGCTTAAACAATTTTTTTTCCTCCACAAAATGCTTGTATGTTGACGTGAAATATTGGAGCCACCTTGAAACGATGCTACATGCATACATTGCTGCTTCTGTGCAGATTCTCGCCTTGTTGGAGACATTTCGCATTGGCAACCTGGCAGCAGAAGACGTTGGTGCAGCATCTGAGGGCATTGAAGACCCATACCTGCTCGATCCCAAGAGGCACCGTGACCTGAAGCCCGCCTCTGTCAAGCCCTTCAATGCAGAGCCACCCCTGGCCACCCTTGCTGACAACTACAGGACACCCAAGTGCGCAAATGCTCTGCCCTTACTGCATTTATTATACTAATAACCAGCTTAGAATTATAGAGAGCTAAGCTAGTTTGTACATAATCATTCTAAAATAGAAAGGGCACGCAAGCACTGACACAAGAAGGAAGTCACGTCACCACAAATGCTTACTAAAAACTTGTTAGTAGGCATTTGTGGTGTCTTGACTTCTTTTGCCCATGTTTGCATGCCCTATCTCAATTAAAACAAATCACCAGCTTCTGACACGTACACTGATATTGAGGAATAATATTAGAAAAGTATCATGGTGCCGCTTACTGCCCTTATCCTATAGCGACACTGTAAAATTCTTGTAATCTGTCATCTCATGGGAAATGAGCTCAGTGCCACATACTTTCGCTTCTGTCTAAGGATCTTTTACAGTGAAATTTGTTACGAGATCACAACAAAAGCTTATTTATTTATTTATTTATTATTTATAGTACCCTTGGGTATAAATATATTACAGAGGGGGTAGGGGTGTGCATAGTAAAAACAAGAGCATGAACAATAACAGCAAAAAAGTAAAAACGGAAGCATTATACAAAATAATCGCAAAAATCTAGTAAAGTGCAATACGTTGGAAAAATAAACATGTAGTGCTACAGTACGCTGGATAAGACATTTTTAAATGCAGTTGTATTAGTTATATCAGTTATGAAGGCTGGTAAGTGATTCCAATCACCTACTGTCCTGGGGACAAAGGATTGCGAGCCTGCAGTAGATGAAAAATGGGGTATGTCAACCTTGTGATGATGATCAAGTCGGTGTGAGCGAAATGGAGCTGGGTGTATGAACAAGGAACGAAGAGCAGGGTTATGGTAGTACATTTTATGAAAAAGACAAATGCGTGATTGTTTTCTACGTGTTGTTAAGGAAGGTAGATTAAGAGCAGCTTTCATGCTTGTGATACTGGCATTGCGATCGTAGTTAGATGAAATAAAGCGAACAGAATGATTTTGTACTGCCTCAATGCTTTGTGATAATATAGAGCTGTGTGGGTCCCAGACAGATGAGGCGTATTCTAGTTGAGGGCGAACGTAGGTGGTATAAAGCAATAGTTTTAGCGACAGTGGTGCAAGATAGAACTTTCTTTTCAAGTAACCTAAAGTTTGGTTTGCTTTAGATAATATGTAATGGACATGGTGTTTCCATGACAAGTTATTAGATATGTGAATGCCAAGGTAGCGATAAGGAGCTGTGGTTTCCAGGGGTGAATTGTTAAGAGAATAGGACGGAGAGGTGACATTGCACCTAGTTACGCGCATGCTTTTGCATTTAGCGACGTTCAGTCCCATATGCCACGTGTGGCACCACTGTAATACGGTATCTAAATCACTTTGTAGTGATGTCACGTCTGAATCGCTGGTTATTTTCCGGTAAATGACACAGTCATTTGCAAACAAAAAAGCTTGGGATGACATGATAGTAGGTTGGTCGTTAATGTAGATCAGAAATAACAGCGGACCAAGTACTGACCCTTGAGGTATACCGGAACCGACTGCTGCTAATGGAGAGTCAAAGCCGTTGACTGTGAGGTACTGTACATGGTAGGAAAGGAATCCACGAATCCAAGTGAGTACTTGGGGATCAATATTAAGAGCACTTAGTTAATGCAACAGTAAGGAGGGGTTAACTTTCTCGAAAGCTTTCGCAAGAGAGAGAGAGGGAAGTAAATGTTTGTTTAGAAAACAGTGTTCCAAGCGAGGCCCTGTGTCACCCTAAGGTGGGAGGGTTCCCTAGTCCATGAACCCTCTGGCTTCAACTGCCCTCTTGGCCCTGGCGACGAGTTGTCGCTGGTCTTCCAGGTCCTTGAGGATGATCTTGGCCTCCCACATTTCCATTAGGTGGTCGTCGTTTATTCTTTGGGCTTGGTCCCGCTCCAGTTGCACGTCGTGGTTTGCATGGCACTGTCATTCTAGGAGCAAGTGTGCCAGGGTGTCTGGTACGCTGCAGAGCGGGCACATGTAGCCATGTGTCTTTGGGTAGAGGTGGTGCATTAATATGCCATGTATGTAAGTATTGCTTTGTAGGCGTCTGAAAATCACGCTCTCTTCTTTGGTTAGTCTTGAATGGGGTGGAGGATACACCCGTCGCTCCAGTTTGCAGTGTTGAAGTAGCGACGAGTAGGTGTTTTCTACTACCTCCATCTCTGCAGACGCGGATCGGGTATCCTTCGGTCCCAGGGCAGCCCGGCTAACGTGCTCGCGGGCAGCGGCGTGAGCCGCTTCATTTCTCTGTAGACCCTCGTGCCAAGGAACCCAGATTACGCAGGTATGTGGAAGTGAAGAGCTTCGCCGTTACAGGATGTTAATTTCGTCGGCTGACACGCGGCTCTTCACATAATTCGAGCAAGCAGCTTTGGGGTCAGTGAAAATCACCGCGGCGTCTTTACATGTGGTCGTGGCGAGAGCGATTGCGGCTTCTTCCGCTGCATCTGAGTTGCGTGCCTTGCCTGTGGCCAACGCTAACTCTTGGCCTTGAGAGTCGACGACGCTGATAGCATACGCATTTCTACGGAGGTACTTGGACGCGTCGGTATAGCGGGCGTTCGGGTCTTGCCTGAACTTTCGTTGAAAAGCTTCTGCTCTAGCCTTTCGTCTACCTTTGTGGAATGTGACGTGCATGTTGCGTGGGATAGGTGCGATGGACAGGGACTCTCAAACGTTCACCAAGATGCATGTTTTTCGGTCTGCATCTGCAATGTATGATTTGCTGTAGTTTAGATACCGGAGTACCGACTTCCCAGTGGGCATGAGCTTGAGTCGTTCCAGCTGGCTGTTCTTGTGAGCCTCCGCGAGCTCTTTCCACGTGTTGTGGACACCCATCTTAAAAAGTTGTAAAGTAGAAGCCATGGGTAGTAGTCCCATGGCGGCTTTGGTTACCTTTCTTATCATAATATTAAGTTTTTCTATTTCCGCAGTTTTTAAACAGGTATGGCTTGCCATACTTGATGCGGCTGGTGAGCAGAGCTTGCATTATTCGTAGGGTGTCATGTTCTTTAAGCCCATTGCGTTGGTTCGCGATCCACTTGACGAGGTGCGTGAGCTGCGAGAGAGTTCTCTGGAGTCTCGGTATGGTGGCCGCTCTTGATTCATCTTTGTGTATGTGAAGTCCGAGCACCCATAGCGTATCAACTTTCCAAATAATTGTCCCATTGAGGGTGACGCAAGGGTCGGGCTCTTCGTATATGGGAGGCCTGCCACTCGTTCTTGCTTTGAGTACAAGGTGCTCAGACTTCTCGGGAGCACAGTTGAGGCCGCAGTTTCGGAGATACCTTTCGATGGTGTTTACGGCATCTTGTAAGCAGCTCTCTTGTCTCCCGATGCTCGAAGCCTTGGTCCAGAGCGTGATGTCGTCAGCGTAGTACATCTAGTATTTCATCCTACATCTGGTATTTTATCGTACATCTGGTATTTTATCGAGAACCTTAGCCAAAATGATCAAGGCCACGTTGAACAGTAGCGGTGACATGACCGAACCCTGCGGCGTACCTCTTTTAGGTAGTTGGAAGCTTTTGCTGAGGATCTTCCAGATGCCCACAGTTGCTGTACGGTCCGTCAGAAAGTTTCGGACATACGTGTAGGTCCTAACGCCGCAGCTGGTTTTTTCGAGGTTCGTGACGATCGCGTCATGGCTTACGTTGTCGAAGGCCCCCTTGACATCGACTCCGAGTATTGAGTACTTGGTTCGGTGACTGAGGTGATCAAGAAGGTCTTCTTTAAGTAGTAGAAGCACGTCCTGCGTTGAGAGGTGCTGTCTGAAGCCGAACATCGTATCTGTTAGGTGCCCAGTATCTTCTAGGTACAGGGTCAAGCGGTCATGTACCATATGCTCAAAAAGCTTTCCCACACACGAGGTGAGGGAAATCGAGCACTAGTTATCAATGCTGATAGGTTTGTTAGGTTTGGGAATCATGGTGATCTCCAAGTGTTTCCAAACCGCAGGCAGCTCTCCTTTCTCCCTGCAACCGTTGTAATATTGGAGAAGAGCTGTGGTGGCCTGGTGCGGTAAGTTGCGCAAGTGTTTGTTGACAATTCGGTCTTTTCCGGAGCTGGTATTTCTTGTCAACTTTGATAGGGCAGCGTAAAATTCTGCTTGCATGAAGGGCCAGTTGGAGTCAGGGTTTAGTGTTCCCGTATATTCCGAAGTCTAAAAAAATACAATCTACGATAAAGCCAGAGATTTTGGTGTAATAGTTCACTGCTTCTGCCAATGTCTGCAACTGCTATTGTGCAGATTAAGAAAAAAATGAAATGAGAAAGAAATATCAACTATTGGATGGGATATAAACCCATGCGCTGTGTGGGAGAGCCATGCCAGTGCTTGAAAACCATCTGTCAGAAAACTCTATAAAGGCGCTATATCGAGCAAAGAATTGCATTAAAGTAACTTGGCAAGAGAGTAAAATAACAACCAGGCATCACACAATGCGAATTGTGCTATGAGTGGGTCATTGAATGCTTCCAACCCATCACAAAGGGTTCAGTTGAAACTCTTCATTGCCATCAGCCACAGCACAACGTACACACGCCTTGCAGATTTATTTATTTATTTATTTGTACTTATACCTACAGCGCCCTCTGGGGGCATTGTTGTAGGGGGGTTTACAAATTCGAAGTATATTTAAATCAGTGGGGACAAGTTGAATTGCACGGCACTCAAAAAATAAAAACAAATAAAAAATACCTAAATCACAGCATACAATATCATTGTGTGACCACATACTCCTTCAAAAGGGAAGGAAACGCTGTGGAAGGGGCAGTCACAATGTTTTTTGGAAGACTGTTCCATTCGTGAATAGTTTTAGGAAAAAAAAGTATTTGCATACGTTGATGTTCGGCACATATATTCACACACTTTCAAAGGATGGTCCCGTCGTAATGAGAAGTATGTTGGTGGTATGATGTATTTGTTTTTATTGATCCCAGTTTTGTTATTTTTGATCCCAGTTTTGTTTGATTAGGTTGTAGAAAAGACATAGCCTGATATATTTACGCCTTGAGGAGAGTAACGGCCAACCAAGTGAACTAACAATTTCGCTAGACCTTCTGGTGAAGTCGTAATCACCCGTCACAAACCGGGCGGCACATTTCTGAATGCACTCCAATGCATCAATATTGAACTTTGTGGCCGGGTCCCAAGCAGTGCAAGCATATTCTAAAATCGGGCGTACATTTGACACGTAAAGAACTTGTTTAAGAACAGAGGCGGCAGTTCTGAAATTGCGGCGTAGGAAGTTCAGCACGCGACTGGCTTTAACTGATACCATGCGAACATGATCATTCCACGATAGTGTGCTGTTGATGACAACGCCAAAATACTTGTATTCATTTACCATGGATAATGGTATCCTTTCCATGAAGTCATTTGTGATAAAAGGCTGCTTTTTCTTGGTAAACCTAACGACGCAGCACTTTGACATGTTAAGCTGCATTTTCCACGTGTAGATGTGTAGCTCCATCCAGATGTGTAGCAGGTAGTACAATTTTCCGCAGGATGACAAGTAATAGTATAGTGCTTGCTTCCCTACTTCACAAAAATAATGATTTATGATGCAGTGGGTATCTTGCGAGTGTGCTGGTATTAGTTGCCCCAAGGCTGCCCTGTGACTGTGCTCTTGTGTTTGGCGGAGGCCTGGCAGATAAACAGAGGCCTGACAATCGTTTTATCAAGGGAGTTCACCGATTTTATTTGATGTCTGGAATGATTTATGTGAAAATGGCAGCGTATGTGGTTGACGCCAGGAAAACAATTTCTCTGTAAAGGAAGTTCCATAAAAGGTAGCATTAGCACCTACTTAATGCCGTGACTTTGAAGATGCAAAGCAAACTCTATAAGGCATGCACATAGAATCATTCCTAATTACACTTTTATTTAGCCGAATGCCAGCATTCTCTTTTATGATGGGCGTAACTTTTATTTTCTTTAAATACAAATAGTATGTGTGTGCACTGAAATTTCGTGCTATGACTGTGTCTGAAAGGTGATCATGTCTTTGTAACACACAAGATATGAAAAATTGATGAACATGGGTTGTCGCTGGAGCCGACGTTTCAACAAGTGAACTTGTCTTCAAGTGTGCAGCTGCTTACCTAAGCTGGAAAAAGCCAGCAAAAGCACAGGACACGAGGAAGAGGCAGACGGAAACACCTCTTTCTCCTGTACCGCGCTAACGCTGGCTTTCTTCAATTATCATGAACCAACTGGCCCAGACTTCAACTCTGCTCTTCCGCTTACCCAAGTGTGTGTATATGTATACATACATATATGCCTCACACCTTCTTTTCCAACCCAAGCAAACAAGGAGAGGGTAACTGTGAAAACAGGGGTGGCAAACAGAGAACGCAGGCATTCTTGTGAAAACATCGGCTACAGTGACACTCTGTGTTCACACACTTTTAATCTCTCAAAGCTCCCATCTTTCCCTGAACTCCTGCCTTTTTTGTAATCTACAATAAAATATAGAGCTACTGAAAAGGTTCTGCAGTTTTGTAGTAAGAAATTGCTTATTAGCAGCAACCCCCAGATGGCAAGAATATAAGGAGGAGTTGTAAAAAGCTAGAGGGCTCGTAAATGCAGCCAGGCTTCCTGGTCTCCTTAAGAATGTAATATAGAATTCGGAAAGTAACACTGGTGTTTACCTTTGCCAGCACAGTGAGTTATTCTACGTGCGAAACCACATGCCTGTGCCTGACGTGGACCCAAAGGACTATGTTCTGGAGATAGAGGACCCGGACGGTAAATGTCACGAGCTCACGTTGGATGACATCAAAGCCAAGTTCCCTAAGGTGTCTATCACTTCAGTTATTCAGTGTGCTGGGAATCGACGCTCTGAGCAAAACAAGGCAAGTCGGCAGTGCATGGTAGCTGTCAGCGAAAGTGTTTTAAGTTAGCCAGCAGTTTTCAAATACTGTCGCAAATCCTTTAATGCACAAGTTATCGATTATAAGAGCAACCATGTCAGTGACAGTGTTTAAGTTTTCAAACATGTCGCAAATTCTTTGATGCACAAGTTATCGATTGTAAGAGCAACCACAAAGAACATGCAAGTGCATGATGGCTACAGTCATAGGAGTGCACAGGGTTCTCTTTCAAAGAGGGGGGAGAAGTTAGGCTCTGAACTCCCTCTTCCAGGCTGACTTTGTGCCCCCTCTCCCTCTTAAGTGATTAGAAGGGATGGCCACCTTCCCTTCACCCCTGCCCCCTTGTGAACATGCCTATGGTTACAGTGATAGATAATATATAATCAAATATGATCTATACAAGTAAGTACTGCACACAAAATTTGTTTTTTCTCTTCCTTTATGGTTACCCAGTAAGAGTGTAATGCCTCAACTCCTCAAGAGTGCACTAGATAAGCCTGACCCATTGTAGCCTTCCTGTAAACTTTTAGCTGTCTGTCTCGGCTTTGCTTCCCTCTTGTCTAGAATCTGTGAACCCTGTGAGTTACACGGGTCTAGAAGCTGTGGTTTTATAAACATTGCTCTCCCTACTACATTTACAGCCAAGCATTAAGTCGCAGAAATGCAGCCTAGCTCGCTTTGCTAGAGAAATCATGACAATAAAAATGTCACAAACGCTGTGCTGATGTGACATAGCAGAGAACGATTGGGTATATAAGGGTTGATAACTTGTGAGCAGCCAATGTGAATTCTACTTGAATATTCTCGCCACCATTCTGAGCATTTTTTGGTTTTACATCTGACAAACTAAATCCATCTTCTAGGACAAGAAATGCTGTGTGAAAGGTACTGCCAAAAGGTAGATTTTATACTAAATTGACTTGTTGAAAGAACGTTAGCTATCCAGTATTTGGAGTACTCGTTATATCACGTTGTCTTGACAGTGACACTCCATTCTGTTAATTTTATTAATATCAATTGTATTCAGCTGTAGGTATCACTTTTGTAAGGTGAGTAGAAATTAAACCCTCTGTGATGACTTGGGCCAGCCAGTGTTTCAGAGTGTGAGAGCCTGTACTTGCATAACCAATGCATGTAAGATCAGAGGAGCTATTGATGACATCTGGGATTGACAATTGCAGATTAAAAAGGTGAAAGGCCTTGACTGGGGTCCTTGTGCGATTGGCAATGCCACCTGGTCAGGGGCAAGACTGGTGGATGTACTGCGCTACCTTGGAGTTGACCTTTCTGATGAGCGCATACAGCACATTGTCATGGAGGGTTTAGACACAGACCCTACAGGAACGCCCTACGGTTCCTCGTTTCCAGCACACAAGGCTTTGGATCCAAAGGTCAGTTATAGGCTCTTGAATTTCTTACAAAGGGTTTAGCTATTTATTCCAGTTATAAATAAATAAATAAATCTAACACAATATCACTAGCAAGCACCCCCCCCACCCTTTTTTTTTTCAGGAGAGTTCAAATATGCTGCCTCTTCTCACCTCCCACTGTTCTTATTTGCTCAATGAGGGCAAATACAAATTGTGAACGCATGCCTATTCAGTAAAATATTTAATTAGAAGCACATGTATGCATTCTTTTCTTAGTTGCTCTTTTGCCGCCATCTTGAATATAGATCCCTGAAGGAGAAAAGGCCCCCTCCACATCTTGATAAGTTATCTTTCATCATAGGGGGAAGGGGGAACTTGCTCGGGATCTTATGGTAGTATTGGCATGGGAACAAAATGCAAACAGCGAAGAGCGTGGCTCAAACATTGACCATATGATGAATTCTGTCCAGCCATTGCCATTGATAGATGTATGCCTCCAGTTTGGCAGTACTGCGCAGTCTCCCTAGAGAGCAATATTTCAGCTTCTGGTCAAGTTCATATATTTGAAAGGAAGCAAATAAAAATAAAATGAAAGTGTAATGACCAGACGAGACTGTTAATGGGCAACTAGCTGTAAAACACAGCCAAATTAGCCACACCATGCATAGCAATTGCGTGTTGATTGAGACGGAGGAAAAAAAGAAAAGAAAAACGAATTAGTTTGGTCTTAGTCTACCATGTGCTGAAAGCATTTCAAGTCTCTTTTGCTGCAGTACATTGGTGTCATGCAAAAAAGCATACTAAGATAAGGAAGGTGCGACAAGCTGTCAGAGGACACAACACATTTTGTCTATGCACTGGATAATAACGTTTACGAGAATGCTTGCTGACCTTTAAGAATCCCTGCTTTGTGAATCTCCCAAACTTCAAAATGCTGAGGTCGGCAGAGGTGCTGTATGTGAATGTTCTAGTGGAACATTCAAACAAAATCCTAGGGTCCCTTTAGATTGAATTGTCAAGAGCATACTATATGTATAAATATGATTGTCATGGGAAATAACTGCATTACTATACTAGTACAATAAATGTTATGTGGTTCATGTCAATATTTTGTAAGAAGTGAAATTTTTGCTAGGCATTTCTATTTAATGGTCTGACTGTAGTGCATGAAGTACAACACATTATTTTGTCGATGTACGAAAATTAAAATACATGTTGGCTTTTAAAAAAAAATTTGATGTCAGGCAGGCTGCCGCTTCAGTGGAGCTTAATTATTGTTATCCAAAGTAGAAGGTAGAAAAAAATGGAGTTAACCATACACGAGATGAATAGGTAGTAAGTATCCTTTGGGCAAAAAGGGAAACATCTCAATTAATTTAAGGAACTTGTGCTAAATAGATAACACTTGTGTTGGTACACTCATGCACTTGTGGCATCATGAGTGGTCAATAGTAAGTAACACTCATTAGCAATAAATATAATCTTATTTATTGCTCAGGAAACCCATATTGTCATCTCCTGATATGAACATGTGAAAAATAAGGGATGACCTCCAAAAAACTATCGCTACGTGTTGGTGGTTTGGCATATGCATAGAGATGGTTTGGAATATGCATTGGTGTGTACCATGAAGTCAAGCTTCCCATTTTATCTGGTTTTTGGGCCACTGTCAAGCCACAGACTGTGGCCTTTTGACCATTCCAAATAGTTTTGGAAAAAAAGGGATCCAATCAAGCTCGAGAGCACTTTTGGTGGTCAGTTTAATGCATTATCCAGTAAAACATCGTCAAATCAGTCACTAGAACTCTGAAAAATATTTGAATTAGATGCGTTTTTGAATTGACAGGACATATGAAAAGTGGAATGCATGAAAGTTTGGATTTATAGAACTCTGAAAAATATTTGAATTAGATGCGTTTTTGAATTGACAGGACATATGAAAAGTGGAATGCATGAAAGTTTGGATTTATAGAGTTTATATTATCTTTATGTATGAATTACTAGAAGTAATCAGGTGTAGTTGTTAGCTGTATATGCTAGCTCCATGTGTTATATTGTTTTTCAGCAATACCCGATCCCGATTGGACCACGAATCCAGGAAAACGGCAGCCCTTTAGAGCAATTAGGCAATGCTATGTAGCAAAGCTGATGATTCAAAGGTGAAGTATGTCAGCCTCATAGCTGCCTATGCACGAAAAAGAAAGGAAGACTGTCTGGTGATCAGCTGAAATGCATGCCTACAGAGATGTTTCTCTGCAACAGAGTGATGACACGCGGGTAGCATGTCACATGCTTTTATAAGCACTAGTGAGTCCTGATGCGGTGATTCGCCCATATTTCTGGGAAAATGAGGAAGGTAATGATGGCCAGTCTGAATTCACAGTGCTCTTTCTAACCGAGTTCTTGATGTAGGTGTGTCAGACAAGAACTTCGCCAGCAGACTGAGTGCACAAATTGCTGGAGGAACCGCCGATCGAAGGGTTGCATGCATCGCAATTTTTACCAGACTGCCCTTTGTTATTTTCTCTATATTCCCAGAAAAAATGGGTCAATCTTGACACATTAATGTTGTACGAAGCATGCGATGTGCTGCCCGCATGTCATTGCTGTGCTGCAATGAAAAGCACATTTCCATAGGTGCTCATTTCAGCTGACCACGAGTTTTTTTTTTCTTTATCTTTTTCCCCAGCTAAGAGCTGTGAGGCTGTGGTACTTCACTTTACATTCATTAGCATTGCCTTGCAACTGCTAAAAGCCATTGTTTCTGTGGATCAGCAGCAAAATTGGAATTTGGAATCGCCATTAGCGTCCCAAAGTTTTTGAATCAAATGTACTATAGCCTACTGCCACTTGAAATTATCTCTTCAAACTTACATTACAAAATATGGGACTGCATAAATCCTTCGAATTATGTGAGATATTGAAATACCAAGTTTGATGAATTAGTAATGTTTTACTGTGCTTCGTTTCTTTCTCCTTTTGTACCAATAGGGAGATGTACTGTTGGCGTACGAGATGAATGGCCAGGAGTTGCCTCGTGACCACGGCTTTCCCCTGAGGGCAATTGTGCCAGGAGTCGTTGGTGCTCGCAATGTGAAATGGCTGGCACGCATCCAACTCAGCCCTACAGAAAGTGAATCGCACTGGCAACAGAATGATTACAAAGGTGGGTATTCACCAGACTCGCTTCAGTCATAGTAGCTACTTATAGGGATGTCCAGTAGGCTGTAGAGAAATGTTATTTTTATGTACAACTTGTAGCAGCAAATGCCAGCAGACCATGGTTCAACTCAATCACTGCATTGATGCTGGAGCCCCAACTTCGTCAGCCATACAACGCTTCGACACGTCTCCGTCTACAGCATAAAATCTTGTCACCTCGCCACAGTTAAAAGAATGACTCAATGTGAAGCACTACCCAATGTGAAGCCAGAGCAGATAACGCTTAGTAAGACAGCTTCAGCTAATACATTTGCGCACACATAATCCAGCAGCACTGACCTACTGTATTTTCTCACAAATAACCTGCACCTCTTATGCCGAACTGCAGAAAAAAAGAAAAGGGGTCCCACGCAAAGCTTACGCAATCACTGTAGAGCTCTGGTGGGAATGCCTTCTAGCATTTTGAAGTAGCCACTGGAGCATGCAAAATCTGCTTTTGGAGCAGCTACCTCTGTGTTTGTAGCATGGACAGGCTTTTAATAATACACTCAGAGGAAGAAAATTTAGTTTAATTTTTCTTCAGTTTACGTAACCATTCATACAGAAGGAGCATGCCCACAAAATAAGGCAAAAGTAGGATTATGTACAGGAGCGGTGACATAAGAGAGTGAATGATGTTGCATCAACAAGCTAGCTAGCATGAAGTTCATAGTAATGCACACACAACCAATTCAAAGCTCGTTATAGTAAAACCTCATTATTATGTACATTCATGCCGAGAGCCTGCTGGGGAATATATGCACCGAACGTAGTGTGTATTAACCACCATGTACAAAAGTGTGCGCAGGGGTCCCCTTTGGGGGGGGGGGGGCAGAGGTTTGTCACAGTGTTTTCCCCTATTATGACAATGTAATAGGGTTGGCTTTGTGCCCCCCCCCCCCCCCTTCTCGAACACCCCCTCATCATGTAAATGTACGAGGCTGACTTTGCACCACCCCTCTTGCCCCCTCCCTATTATGTCTGGAGCTGGCTCCGCCCTCATGCACACGCCTATGACAAAGTACGAATTCGCATTTATTTACATGCCACATCACCGCTAATGAAGAAATAAGTACAGTGGCACAGCAAATATTGCCTAATGTGCCCACCACGAAGCCATTACTTTCTTTTTGCCAATGTTCAGATATGATTGGCATTCTCGCACGACCGTCCGATGGCATGCGTTGGCGACACCAAAGAGCATTTCGAAACTACTGTGGAGTACAGAATACCCAGCCAATGCAGCGACTGACAAAGTGATAAAACGTACATAATCAGCGGTCCACGATAAACGTGTACCGATATCTGCTACTTAGCGAAAACCGACAGTCTTTTTGAGATGCGGTACGGTTGCAGTGAGCCGATTGTCTGCTCGCTAGTTGAGTGCAGCACTTCACTTACTTGGCGTACACACTATGTCGAGCTGCTTGCATCCACTCTGCTTCATAACCGTGTACAGATGCGGTGAGAAGCTTGTTGCGTTAACGCAACGATGCGTGCTTTCTGCAAGCAATGCTCTAGTGATCTAGCAGCGGACGGAGGCGCGTTCGGGCTATATGCTTTATGAAGGCGTGCTGCTCTTGCTGTCTCGGTGGTCCCCACGATCCACAATGCTCAACTTTGCAACAGCGTGCTGCTTTCGTTTCTGTAAAGCAGTGCATGCTGAACACAATACCGTGCATGATAGAGGCGGCAGCGATCAACGCCTTAGCGCTTTTAAGTAGTCGCCAGCTATTAAGGGCATGCAGTAGGCTTCAAGCGATGCTACGCAACACACGTAGGCTTGTTGTAGATAAGTCATGCTGGAGTGCCCTTCAGTAGTTGCCACATAGCCTTTGTTCTTCGCCAATGGTTACCAGAAACGGCACCACCGCAATTTCATGGAAGTCGGAGTAATTTATCTGCCAATTACGTGCTTTTGCAGCAGCACAAGTACAAGGTGGCAACCACCACGTCATGTTCGCTCTCGATGCATGCTGTCAACATTACTTTTGGTTCAATTAAGGGCATGCAGTAGGCTTGAAGCCTACTGCATGCCCTCAATAGCTGACGACTACTTGAGAGCGCTAAGGCGTTAATCGCTGCCGCCTCTATCGTTGCACGGTACTGTGTTCAGCGTGCACTGCTTACAGAATGCATGCTGTCAACATTACTTTTGGTTCCAAAACCACCTTGTGGCGCAGCAATGGCGTAAATTAGACACAGAAAATGATTTTGGAGCAGTGTAGCCCAGTAATTTGCAGTTGGTGGAAGTTTTTCACCACTGGTAAAGTCAACTTGCACACTAAAATTTCCCTACAACTCACATCTTCACTTTAGCGCTAGATTTACTGTATGTTTTTTGCCAGCTACACAAGAAAAATATGGCATGTTACCTATTGGTCACTTTTTGCTGAATGATGCCTCCACATACAGTTGTCCGTGGCCTTGCAAATCAAATTCAGGTTATCAACTGACTTGGTTATGTGCTTTAGAACTGGGTGACTGGTTTTTAGTATCTTAATGGTGCAATTTACCAATACGTGCAGCCTTGATCTCCCAGTTACTCAAGAATTCATAGCATCCTGTGTTTATTGGGCCTAATGATTCAACAATTTAGTGTTTAACATAGACACTTTGATGCCATCAGCATTAACCAAAAATTTACCAACTTAATGGCTCTTCATTCAGCTGTTTTTATGGTACACTTTTGGGTTGCTAGGTATGTGCCACACTCTTGGTCTGAAATAGCTACATTCTCTAAGTAAAGATGTTGTAGCATTGATATATGGCACAGGCAGGAGCACCAGTGAAAGAAGAGAAGGGAGAGTGTTGTTGCTGCTCGCGCTCGCTCCGCTTGACAGCTGGTCGGCTTTACCTCTGCGTTTCCCCCTATAAAAGTGTCTTCGGCTCACTGCTAAAGCGTACTAACAATGTTTTTTTTTTTTCTAGGCTTGGATTCGAATTTAAATCATTGAAAATTTCCAAGTATTCGAAAGAACAAATAGGTGTACATTATCCTACTCCACATGTAACCCCCTGCAAAGATGGTTTCACTGCAGTAGAGTGGTGCAAAGCTGTGAAAGCACATTATTGAGCATATATTAATTCATATTTAAAGTTTTGTAAGGGTGGTTTCACTCACTGCAGTCAAGGGGTGCTAAGCCATGAAAACATCCATCCAGCATAAAGTCCGTACTATTGTGAAGTCTCACTTCAAGGTGAAAGGAACGTATTACCCCATCATTCTTTATAGGCTTATGTGAATATTTGAATGCTTTGAATTTGCTTCAAATCGAATATAAATTGCTTAGACATTTCAAAGTATTTAAATTGAACAAATAAGTGTATTAGTCCGCATGTAACTTTATGTAAAGGTAGTTTCACGGCAATGTCTGGGTGCTAAACTGTGGAATACCCTAGTAATTAAGCATATATTAGCATGTAATCCCCTGCAAAAGTTCCATGAAGTAGGAACTACCCAATAGTCTTCACGGGAGACACACCAAAGAAGCGACACAGACAACGCAGACAAACTCTATCTTGTATGTGTCTCCGTTTAGAATATTTAAAAAATCTTTCAATATATCTCGATTGTTATAAAGAATTGAGCGTGGGTAACATGGGTTGCACATTCACCCAATGCATTCATAGCCAGCTGTGCTACAAGTTCACAGCAGTCACACACACTGGCATGTTGTGCACCTTGAAGGAAATGTTTGACCTTCACAGCTGTGCTTCTAATTAATGCAGCCTGGTTGCTCTACACAGCTTACATGAATAGGCTTGTCATCAGTGCATTGTGAAGCTAGATGTCCAGTCAGTGCTATACATTGCACTCGCTGTTGCTTTAAGCCTTTGCTTTACAGAATGGAAGTGATATCCAAAAGTACAGATCAGAAGGAACAGAGACATTGTCAAGACATTCACAATAAATAGAAGCAATAATTGTGTGGCTTGCCTATCTGTTTCCCTCTTGACAGAAAAATCTTGTTTTTGCTGTAATCAAGGCCTCTGTTGCAAGATTGTACTGAAGAGAGATCAATGTGCTAGTGGTTACCTCGTTCTAACATTGTGTCATCTTTTTCCATATGATGGGGTAATATGTAAATTCAGGTGGGCAAAAATAGTCGGTGCGTATTTGCCTTCCCTGTTCCACATGCCTTCTTGCACAAGCTATGTATTATTAATATCAACTAGCTCACTAGACTTTCTTTTCAACTTAGTACAATCATATCTGAACCAGTGGTATGAATGGCAATGTGCCTGTGCAAATTTCAGCACTCCTACAAGCATGTGTCACTTAGAGTTTTCGAGAGACCTTCTAGCTGAGTTTTGCATAGGTGGCTCCCCTTATGTGCAGGCTTTTGCCCATCAACTGACTGGGACACGGTGGACTTCAAGAGTGCACCAGCTATCCAGGAGCTGCCCATAACATCGGTGGTGTGCAGGCCACTTGAGGGAGATGTGGTGACACCTGTGGATGGCAAAATACAAGTCAAAGGGTACGCTTGGAGTGGGGGAGGTCGCAAGGTAGTTCGTGTGGACGTAAGTGCAGATGGTGGGAAGAACTGGATACCCGCCCAATTGGAGAGCGAGGACACTTCACTGCACAGAGCGTGGGCCTGGACACTCTGGAAGGTAACTCGTAAGCAGCAGCCTTTTTTTTTTTTTTTTTTTTTTTTACAAATCTCCCGAGATGTCCTCGCAGGGATTGAGCATGAAATGACTTGTACACTCACATTATTGGCACTTCGCTCTGATAACATCTGCATTGCCGAAAGTGGGCAAGGCTCTTTAAACATTACAAATCACTGAATTCACTCACAAATGGCAACAACACTAATGATGCTTTTGGAACAGGAGCAACGTATGCTAGACCCTGGCATTCTCACTGTTGCCACATGGACCACACCAAGAGGCGTGATCTCGTGAATGTTCTGTAACAATGTTCGTTTTTGCCACATGCAGCTGCACAAGGAGGAAGTATGTGCGAGCGTATAGGACAAACATTATATAATGGAATGCATACAAAGGAACAAAGAAATAAGCAGAAGAACAGTGACGGTTACAATGCATACAAGATCGCACCCCAAAGAACTGGCATGTTTTATTCAAGCATGTATGCTTGCCAAGTAGTAATAATGGTAGTGAGCTGGCTCATTGACATGACATTTTCACCTCTTAGAAACTGTAAAATGTGAAAACTATTGTGAAAAAGGGCAGCTTTGAGACATAGTGCTTGTGTTGTGTGCGTCTTTTCGCTATCTTTTGTTTTATTTTTATGCCTTTGTAACCTCTTATGATGTCAGTCGGCCCATACTTCATTCAGCCTTCCTATAAACTAGGTTGTGCGAATATTCAAAATTTAGAATATTTTTCGAAGTGGTGTTTGATATTCTATTCGATTCACACCGGACTTTCACTATTCAAACTTCCAAAAAACAAATACAGTCAATGTTCTACTGGCAATGGCCCGTTCGATTGATTGATATGTGGCATTTAACGTCAAAAAATCACCATATAATTATGAGAGATGCTGTAGCGGAGGGCTCTGATAATTTCAACCACCTGGGTTTTTTTAACGTGCACCCAAATCTGAGCACATGGGCCTACAGCATTTTCGCCTCCATCGAAAATGCGGCAATGATCCTTCAGATTTTTAATATGCTTCACCCCGTCACAATGTCGTATTGCTGCAAAGCTGCTTCTGAGCCTCCACTATAGTTGGATATGTATTGACTCAAGAAAACGGTGGTTCCAACATGGAGATGATAGATGTTGCAGAGGTGAGGGCTTAGTTAATGCTGTTTTGGGCCTGAAATTTGGGCAGGAAGTTCACAGCCAAATATTTTTAGCGTCCATAATTTCAGGTGTTCTTATATCAAATATCTATGAGGCAGATATGTAGCTCTGGACTCGAAGGGCGCACACCCTTGTCGCCACATCAGTTTGGCTTCCTCAGAAGTTTAAAGATGAGGAGAACCTAAGGAAATAGCCTCTTTGCTTTTCCCGTGTAAAGTGTTGTTGCAACACTATTAGCAGCATAGCAAAAGTAACGGAAACCACAGCCGCAACAACAACCATTGAAGCTTGCTGCGAGGGACGTTGTCTGTGAATCTGACAACCTATCAACCTGATAGTGTAGAGGGACGGTACTCAGCCCCTTTGAGCGAAGGCGTTGGTTTTGGCTAAAGAGGACAATGCAAGAAAAGGGGGGTTGATTGATTGATATGTGGGGTTTAACGTCCCAAAACCACCGTGTGATTATGAAAGACGCCGTAGTGGAGGGCCCCTGGAAATTTCGACCACCTGGAGTTCTTTAACGTGCACCCAAATCTGAGCACACGGGCTTACAACATTTCCTGCCTCCATCGGAAATGGAGCCGCCGCAGCCGGAATTCGAGCTCGCAACCTGCAGGTCAGCAGCCGAGTACCTCAGCCACTATACCATCCGCGGGGGGCAAGAAAAGGGAGGTGAGAAAAAGCCAAATAAAAGTGAGAAAGGGAACAAAAATTGTCTGCGCATTATAATCACATAAAACCAAAACCACATATGCGGCACTAGCACTCGCATCAGAGGTGTCTGATGCTTTGTCATTGCCGTCACACAATGGCACCCGAGCACATGTTGTGATTAGTTTGCGTTGTTTTGCATAGGATCTGTGTGCGTCGTAGCTGTTCGTAGTGAAATGCAGCAAATTGTGATGTGCCATTTTCATTACGAAAGTGCATGACAAAGGAAGGTTATTTTGCACACTAAATATAGCTGCATTGCGTCTTTTGTGTGCCCAAGGCTTGTGATCGTTAGTAGCGTAAACGGAGATCTTCAGTGCTGCATGTTGTCCAGGAAATGTTACTACGGGCTGTAAATAGAAAATACTGGGACCTCAAAGAAAAACTTGCAGATTGTCATAAACAACTTGGCATTCAAGAAGAACGGCTATTTGAACTAGTTGGTTGGAATTCATGGTAATAAGGGCTGCAGCGCGAGCACGAAGGTGCTAGAAGAAACGTGAAACGAAAGGTGAGGCACGACCTTTCGTGCCTTGCCTTTCGTTTCACGTTTCTTCCAGCACTTTCGTGCTCGCGCTGCAGCCCTTATTACCATCAACCTGGCATATATTAGCTTTGTAAAGGTAGCGGCATGCAATAGAGACGCATCTAAAAGGGATAGCAAAGCCAGTAAAACAGCCTATCAAAAAGTGAGCAGCAAGAAAAATAAATTAAAATTTTCATTCTTTGAACGAAAATAGTGCTTGTTTCTCCCTTTTTATTTTTTTGTAATCGTCAAAATAGGGTCGTGCTACAGTGTTATTGTTAAAAACTCATAGAAATTTATTCATGAGCATATTTACGAACTTTCAAAATCGAGTACTCATTAGATTAGTCTAAATACTGTACTTGAAAGCATAGTTTTTATCAAGCTGAACCAAATCAATGCTCTTTATTGTTTCTTTTCTTCCTATTATAAGTATACTTCATTCAGTTTTTTTCGAGCAAAATATTTGGATGCACTTGGCATGCTAATTTGGTTTTTGGTGTCACTTCTGATAAAACAAACTCCTATAATCTCTTTGGGTTCGTCTTAAAGGGAGTCTACTGTATATAATACAAGAAGAGATTGATGCCTACCTGAAATCAAAATGCTTCAAAAGCACTCTAACCTCATCATTTGACTTAGAATGGTCATTGCCATGTTTACAAGTAGAAGCAAATTAGTTTCGGTAATTCAAGGCACTTATTACCGTATTTACTCGCATAATCCTTGCACCTTTTTTTGCCGGAAAATCCGATGAAAAGTTGGGGGGTGCGAGAATTACTGCGGGGAAAACTTTCTACGAAAACGTACTGAGCGAAAAAAGAAAACGAAAGTGGCCGCAAATCGGGATTTTCACACCAACAACTCACAGCAAGCTTTAAGAAGTACTAATTAAAACTTACCTCAACAATAAAAGCAGAGGTTAAACACTAGACAAGATTTAATTGACACACAAAAAGTGGAAGCAAATCGTCGAGAATTACAATACCATACGCAAAGCTTGCGGACGTTGCGGGCGTAGCGGTAGCGTTCGTCGCTCAACAGGAGCCTTCAAAAAGTAAGCGTGGGACGTCAGTAATGGGATGATGGCTATTTAACAGAATTGTCCGCAGTTTCCTTCTTAAGAAATAAAGTTTACTATCAATCCCAAACGCCTACCGGCGGCCCTGTTGCCGTTCTTTAGTGCATTATCTATCACTTGCAACTTGAAAGCAGCCGTACAGCTTCAGTATCACCTCTTAACTTGACAAGGTTACCGACGCAACATACAAAACACGCCGCAACGCGCACTAGCCACTTCGGCTTGGCTTGAGTTGGATTGAATCTCTGTGCAATAGTACTCTTGATGCTTAAGAGATGGCGCCAGATGACGCTGCACTATCATTCATCAGTGGCTGGAAAGAGCAGACGACATTATTGCAGCAGTTTTCGGGGGAACGATAATTACTCGAGTAAAAAAAGAAATCGTATTTTTGTTGGGCGATGTGGGGGGTGCAAGAATTGTGCGAGTGTGAGGATTACGCGAGTAAATACGGTATGCACTCTACCAGGGCAGTGCAGATTTTTTTACTGCGCACTGGGAACTTGAATAAATGAAGCAGTTGGCCTTTATGCTAGAGTGACATAAACTGCACACCATCCTGATAAAAAAAATGGGGTCTGTTGTGCTGCAACAATGCACTTATTGTAGACATGCTTGTCTACAATAATCTGCTTGTCCACATATATTTTGCGGTCACGGGTAACGCATTGACCAGACTACAAACAGCGCAGTAAAAGAAAAAAATCTGCCTCCACTTTTGTTCTCGACGTAGCACTATTTACGTTTGTTAAAGGGCCACTCACCAGGTTTGACAATTTTGAGCCGACAAGCGCAATGCGTAGACGCCGCAGAAATGGGTCAATTTACAAGATGAATGCTGCTCCCCCTCTCCTCTGCCGGCGCACGCCTAGAGAATGAGGGCATGACGTGGGCGAAGGAATGGCCCTATGTACACGGCAATGCAATGACGTTGGTCTTCTACATAGACGACTCTGCTCTGACGTTATCAACAGAATACCACGTGACATGACAAAAATGATTTAACGCAACATCCGTAGTTTATGTATTTGTTGCTTTAAGAGATTAAAACTTAAAATAAATAATGAGATGCAATAAAAAAATTGTGCGCGTTTTTCTTTCATTTTTTCCCGTGAAATGCTACGAGGTGCGGGGCTAATGTGCCAGCGATTCGCATGCGTTCGTGTCCCCGCGGTCAGCGCATTGAGTAAACAACCGCCGTGGAACGCTCCTACGCGTTCGTGTACTCATTGTGCTCATCTACTCTACCGCGTCTAAGCCAGCGTTTCCAAACAATCCCGCAGAAACAGTCAGAAGACCACAAACAAACACTGGTCAACAAAGCAATGCTGCTCGCGTGCTCGAGGGTTGGACTTGTGTGGGCCCGTCATGCGCACGTCACCTCATGGTCGGATGCTGGAGAGGGTGAGGAAGAGATTGCGCTTGTGAAGACTACGCGGAGGAGCGGCAAGGGTTTCCAGCTCGCCTACTCTCATTCTCGTTTCGCGCCGCTTCAAAAAACCTGTTTTCTCTGCTCAAGATGAACCGATTCGAAAAATGTTTGTGGCAAAATGTTCCTCATTGGACACCCAACAACTTCCACTGTCTAACCAAAATTCGGTATGGGCTGGCCCTTTAAATACGACACTCTAAACTTCCTGTTACGTTTCATGACTGCAGCCCAGTGCATCTTCAAAGCATGTGAAATTTCCCTACATTGACAGCATATATTTAAAACAGAAAGTTTTATTTTCAACGTGTGTAATCTTGTTCTTTATTTCTTTCCTGTTAATGCTACAGCTTTATGCAAACTGAGAATTAAGATGCAAGGCCTTTTTTTATTAGTCCTGCTACGCAGGCTGACACCCTGACTAGGCTGAATATCGGCCATCATTTCATGTGAAGATGCACATGGGCATCCACTGAGATAGCTATCTGGAATGTGTTACAGGTCGATCTTCCAGTGCCCAAGGATACAGACAAGGTGGAGGTTGTGTGCAAAGCCGTTGACTCATCGTACAATTCGCAACCCGAGGGTGTTGACGGTGTCTGGAACCTGCGTGGTGTCCTCAACAATGCTTGGTATCGCGTCCACGTCACAGTGAAACGGTCATAGAAGTGAAGGCTGCTGCAGGTCTATCCCAGTGGCCTCAGGTCAGCTCCAAACAAGCACACGTTCTACAAAATGTCGAGAGACGTATCTCTGGTCAAGCTGTGGAAAGTAGTCTGGGTAAACAGAGGAGCAGTGGAAGCCAAGCACTTCCAGTGGATGACGATTGACCCGGCGCAACCTGCATTAACAGAAATATCGCAGCTTGGCCAAAGCGAACAGCGTGTGCCTTTACGTGCAAATGCTGTCGCACAGTTTGCCCTCATATTGAGAGTTACTATACAGTGCAACGGACTATTTTACGTGTGACTCACATCGTTTAAAAAAATGCTGATGATCATACTTCCAGCCCCCTAATAACGCTGCTTATTAGTGCAATTACTAAACATTTATTTTGTAATATTGTACAATGAGCAATTGTCCAATATACTCAATGTACAGTACTCACAGATTGAAGCGGCACAATTTTCAAGCTAGGCAACGTGCATACTGTCATTTCCACTGCCTTCAGTTTGGGTCATGTGCATGTAATTTCAACTCACTCTTAGACTAGAGCCAACATTATCTTTAGAGGTCAGATTCGTCACGACATAATGTGGTTATTTCGAGCAATGGTGCATGCCAGTCCTTACACCAAAACATTTTATGTCTCATTAAAATTTGTGAGTACTGCACCTTGCAAAGTTTTATATAGTAGTTGGAGCTAACGGCTGATTCTTGTTGTGAAAGTATTATATAGGTGTGTCATAATGTGAAGAAATAAATTGCTGGGTAATGTTGGCACACATAAATATCTCGTCAGCAAACTTGGCTCCACTGCCTTTCAAGACCACTTTTATGTAGAGCGATTTGTCCTAAAGCCAAATAGAAATGAAATGAGAGACACTGTACGCCTAAACAATCACATGTTTAAGGAAAGGTTTTGAAAGAAAATATCATTGATGGTTTTCGATGCAGACATTTTTACCGCACAGTATTGCTCAGTTAATTTTTTCTTATTTTTTGTCCATTTTTAAATGTGCAGCTTCAATAATATCTTTAAACTCCACTTTATGCACTGTTCTTGCAGTCAGTGTGAAAGTATTAGTGACATCTATGGGAAAAAATGTTCGGTTTTGAAACAACATCCTTCACATTCACATAGGTAGCGTTCTTGAATGCGAACTATTTTCCTGTCTGTCTCTTCTGTAAACTGCATTTATACAAACTATGATGTTGCTGACATGCACCAAGATTATTGTTATGGTTCCTGATCGGCATTAAATTAGAGCTTCAAGTATTTTTAGGCCCATTAAGCTGATCCTCCATGGGTTATAACATGACAAAATGGGCAGAGCACTATTTTCTGGCAGTGTTTTGAAATAAAGTTTCACATGAGTTTGAACAATGAAGTTAGCTTTCTACAACGCAAGTGTCGAACACATTTTTGTGCAATGATTTTATGCCTACTAGTGTAGCACAACTATGATATTTTTCCCACTTTGGTCTTATGCAAATCAAGTACTTCCACCATCTTTTAACTACTTAACACATCTCTTTTTTTGAAAATTTCCAGTCAAAATTTACCAATTTTTTTAATTACTGGTCTTTAATCTGATTGCACTAAAAAGCAGCTAGTCAATGTTCAAAAATAGTTTCACAACATACTTAGTCAAATAAATGGAATAAAGTTGATTGTTGAACAATACGTTGAAAACCCACTGCTATTTAATGAAAACGAAAATATTATAAACAAAACAGTTACAGATGCCGCAACCTTTTTTCCTTCTATTGTGTAGGCTAAGCACTCCTGGTTTGTTTCACTCGGGGCTGGGTGTAAGATTTCAAAAAAAAATGAAATAACGCAAAGCGGCTTCAGTGGCGGGCCTTTGCAATGTTTGCGTCATCATCACCAGAGCGCTACTCAATTCACCGTTATCCCCACTTACGAACACAAGATAATTATCTGTGCTCGAATCATCACATCTCAAAGAATATTACGAAAACAAATGGATTGTTTTTTGTCTTCCCAGCCAGTTATGCATGGACTGCCATCACCGCACACAGTTTTTTCATACGAAACTGGGTTTCTGCCACAAGAGAAAACTAAATCCTTGAGCAAATACTGCCATCTTGTGGACGACACACGATGTAAGCTGCAAAAGCATGCTTCTCCTCCTGAACACTAAAGAAAAGTACCTATTTCGCTAGGACGAGTTCTGCTCGTCCAAAAAAGCACTTAAGGGGTTAGAACACTAATGGTCTGCGTGAAGTAAAGTGTGGGACTATGATTTTCCCAAAGTAAATGAGTGTGGTTCTACAGTATACCAGCCAAATACACTCATTTCACTGGAGGTGTGTCGACTCACAGCTAGCTCACAATGAGAGTATCAAGCAAGCTAGAAATAATAGTATATAGGAACACTGTACAACATTTGCACTGAGAGAAGTTCATCATGTTTGCGCCATGCTTTAAGGTTCTGCTTTGATTAGTCATCGTCGCTTGTTAGGGCCCTCTAAGTTGGGCGCTTGTTAGGGACCGACTATTATTTTAACTGTAAACAGGATTTGCATCTAGGTAAAGAAAATCAAGACTGACTTACCGATCACCTGTCATGTCGTTGAGGAATTTCGCATATGATGGACGCATGTTGTGTGGCTCCACCACAGCCTGAAAGACAAAGAGGAAACATAGCAATTACTATAACAGCCACACTCCTACTGGAGAACATGAATTTGTGAAAAGACTGCTCCCACTCTCGGGCAATTGCATTTACATACCAGCAGTCAGCCTCGTTGTCACTCACTAAAGATCTACATGTCGCACCTGACAGTGAATGGGAGTAAGCATGCCAATTTATGATTCCTGGCATATATTTACGACAAAGTGCACTTGCATGAAATGTCAATGATATGACACTTGTCTGTTGCAAGCAAGTAACATGAAAATGGCAGAGCAGTGCTTTGTGTAGTCCACTTGCACTGTTTCAGCATAAACTCTTCAAATGCATAAACACAAGTTTTGAAGCCACAACTCCCACAAAACAACCAAGGAGCCATCATCCTGGGATTGGCTCAAGCATGGCAAAGCTGTGAACTTACTTTTGTTGCACCACAGAGCACTTTTTTTTTTCATTATGGTTTTGCTGGGCACATACAGCACTTGGTAAGCGCACTATATGCAACCTATGTAGAATTTAGTGCCTAGCTCCATTTACACGAAACATTGCCTCAAAATGTGCTTTGAAATAAATGCATTAGTGCTACAGTTGGCAGTTTTCAACACTGTGGTTTTTTTACAGTGAGGAAACATAGTTGAATCAGCAATGGATATGGCCACGCATGTTTCTTATTCTCGCTTTTCTTTGATTCAGTTTTTGCCCACAAAGCTTGCATCAGGAATGCTCAGCACAAAGCGCACCTCATTGTTTGAAAAGGTTTGAAATCATTGTAGATCGTTCTGTTAATATTACCCACAAGAGGCGAACACTTGAGATTATTCCAGAGCTTGCGCAAAGACCAGTGATAAGGCTGGAATAAATGCAAATGAAAAAGTTGATGGACGGCGGATGATCTGTTCACCGCTATCAGTTCTAGTGTCTCGCTGACTTTCCTTTTACGTGGCCACAAGTTCGACCCAATAAACAGTTTATACGAACACCCAGTCTGCTCCCTTCGCCTGCGTCACGACCCCGTTACAATATTGAGTGCTTATTTAGAGAGTGTCCAGCTTAACAGATTACACTGTATAGCTTCGAGTGAATGCTCTAGTACAGTGGTTCTCAAATGGAGGTCCGCGAAGCCATTTTTTATGATCTGCAAAACCCTCACCCATTTTTTTTTACATTTTCGATAGCAATAAAATGCGCCTGTTTCACACTGTAGTTGTGTTAATTTACCTACATACGCCCCCTCCCTACCCTCCGCTGCAAGGGGTACCCCGTCACTTCCACCAGTCTACAAGGGGTCCCCAACACATCCATGGTTGAGAACCACTGCTCTAGTCTATTCTGTACTGCAATGCACGCGTGGCATTGAGCAAGGCTGTAACTTACACAGAACATCATGACTCCACATCCAAGAGCAAACAGCAGTTCAGGACCCCATGCTAATGTGGGTGCGTAGCCTTTCGTTGCTGCTTGGCAGTAGAGCACCTAGAAAATGAAGGCATCAGAACTGGTGTAACATAAAACCCAGGAAACAGCATAAAAAAACAAACTATACACTATACGCTGAGTTTAAACTATACACTATACGCTGAGTACAGTGATTAACTTCTGTCCGAACAATTGTTAAGCTACGTCCCATATCAATGTCTAAAAAAATGTGAAGTCATAACTGAAGCTGCATGTTCCTGTGGCTTAGAAAACAGAATTTATGCAAGATTTCACGAGGCAAAGTATTACATTCTTGCTATTAAGTTCGTTGGTGCATCTTCGGTAGAAGTAGCACAACTAGGTAACGCCTTGTCAGGTGCTACAGTATTATTTTTTTGTCTAATTTGTGGCATTGCTGCGCCACAAGGTGGTTTCGGAACCGAAAATACTGGTGACAGCACGCATCCCGAGTGGATGTTACGTGATGGTCGCCATCTTGTGCACTTGCGCTTCTGCAAAACCACAGAATCGACCCATCGATTATTCCGGCTTCTGCGCAATTGTGGCAGTGGCAACCAGTGGCAAAGAACGAAGGGGATGTGGCGACCACCGAAGAGCACTCCAGTACGACTTATTACCGACAAAAATCGACGTGTCTAGCGTGTGCCGAGGCATCGATCGGTGCCGCCTTAATCTTTGTGCAGTGCCGCCTAAGTGCACGGTCTGAAGCGAAGCGGGTGCAAGCAGCTCGGCACAGTGTGTAAGCCAAGTAGGCGGAGCGCTGCATGCAACTAGCGAGTAGAAGATTGGCTCAGTGCAATCGTACCACGTCTAAAAAAAACTGTAGGATTTCGCTGAGTAGCAGATATCTGTACACACTTATCGTGGACCGCCGATTATGCCCGTTTCATGGATATGTCAGTCTGCATTGGCTGCGTATCCCGGACTTTGCAGCAGTTTTAAAATGCTCTTTGGTGTCGCCACCGCGTGCCATCGGACGGTAGTACGAGAATGCCAATCATATATGAACATTTTAGGCAATATTTGCTGTGGCACTGTATTTATTCCTTTTTGAGCGGTGATGGCGAATGTAAAGAAATGCAAATTGGTACTTGCTCATAGGTGTGTGCACGAGAAGGAGGGGGGAGAGACAGTGGGGGCGAGGAGCGGTAAAGCCAGCCGCATACATTGACATAATAGGGAGGAGGCACTGCCACAAAACTTTGCTTCCCCCCCTCCCCTCTTCCTGAACACGCTTATATACTTGGTGGTAAATGCATACTATATGTTTAGTGCGTAGTTAGGTGCGTTCTCGAAATATATGTACGTTTCAACGAGGTTTCACTGTAACAAGCTCTGAATTAATTTAACCCTAAAGTGTATGATCTCGTGTTTGTGTGAAGTTTATAGCATTAACATGCTATAAACTTCATGTTGCAGCTAGCTTGGTGCAATATCCTTCACTATCTTATGTCACCGCTTCTGTACATAATCCTACTTTTGTTTATTTTCGTGCTTATTTTGTGGGCTTCCTGCTTTTGTATGGATGATCAGGTAAACTGAGAGAACAATAAAGAATATAAAGCTAAATTTTCTTCCTCTGTGTGTGCCATGGAAATCCCATGCGCGCTCTAAACACAGAATGAGGAGCGCCGTGAGTGTGGAGCTGTCGTGTGGCGCTCCACACTCTAAACGCAGAGTGTGGAGTGCCGTTGTTGTGAGTGGGGAGCTGTCGTGCGTTCCTTGCTGATAGTCGCGGGTGATATCGAGTCGAACCCAGGGCCCGATAATACGGCGATTCTCGCCGAGCTGCGTAAGCTAACTGTTGGTCAAGCAACTGTCATTACGGAAATTAAAGACATTAAGGCACAACTTGTTGCCACGAATAACACTATCGCCGAGCTCGCTAAGCGTGTGGCTTCTGTGGAAGCGAGTTGTGAACACATCGAGCACTTGCGGCAGAAGCTTGGAACCGTACAGACTGACAACACCAAAACTGTGTATCGTGTTTTTCTTTCAGAAAGCCGTTTTGATGATGCCGAAAATAGGTCCCGCTGCAACAACCTGATCTTTCATGGTATCCCCAATTCTTCATCTGAATCGCGTGCACACGCTGAAGAAGCGTTCATTCAACTTTGCTCCGAACAACTGAATTTAACAATTAACACACAAGAAATAGAAAGAGCGCATCGCTTGGGTCGCCATACCTCTGGCCGTAATCGTCCCATAATTGTCAGATTTTCTGCCTTTAAGACGAAAGAGGCGATCCTTACTAACGCTCGCAAGTTGAAAGGTACCACATACGGCATTGGGGAGGACTTTTTCCAACGGGTACAAAATGCACGTAAACACCTTGTCGCCTTTGCGAAAAACAAGTCTGTGCCTTACTCACTTCGATATAAAACGCTACACATCGGCCTACGACGCTTCTTCTTTGATGAAGCATCACAAAGCGTGCAAGAACAACTATAGCTAACTCGTCACGCCCGTCAACCGCGCAGCCACCGTTTCACTCTCGGTTATCTTCGCTAACATTCACAGCTTCCTTCCAAAACGTGAAGTAGTGTCAAATCTGGTGTCATCATTCGATAGTAATGTAATTGTACTAACCGAAACATGGCTTTCCAGTGAAATCGCTGATGCTGAAATTTTGAACAACTTTCCCAACTGTGATATTTTTCGAAAAGACAGGCACGGTGGCAGAGGGGGGTGGGGTATTAATCGCTGTTCATACTGAACTATCCTGTTGCCCTGTCAATATATCAAGTGACCTCAAAATTCTGTGGCTGATCTGCCGTACCGAACCTTCATCTATTGTTCTTGGTGTGTGCTATAGGCCCCCTACTCATCATTCAGATTTTCCCAGCAAACTTAACAATATTTTGAGTGATTTAGCCAAGCGGCACCCTAATCCATGCATCTTGCTTTTCGGTGAATTTAATTACCCCAGTATTGATTGGTCTTCAATGCAATTAGCTACAGGTAACTCGGAGGCTGCTGAATTTCTGGACTTCTGCCTTAACCATAATCTGAGCCAACTGATAAAAGAACCAACTCGTGTCACGGTAGATTGTGCCAACACGCTTGACCTTATTCTGACATCGCATTCCGAATTCATGTCATCAATTAGTTACCTTAAAGAAATAAGCGACCATAAAGTAATTCATGCCACATTTTCCCTCAAACCACTTTTTCACCATTCCCCAGCAAAAATATTCGCCTTTACAATAAAGGTAACTACTCGGCCATAAACGACGAACTGCATGAATTTTATCGGTCCTACGAGTCGACATTTCACAATCGCTCTGTGCAACAGAACTGGTCAGATTTTCAGGGCAAGATGAATGTTTTAGCGGACAAATATATTCCAGTCACCACTATTCCTTCTAATTGTCATAAGCCGTGGTATACCAAAAACCTTAAAACACTTGAGAACAAAAAGAAGCGGCTCTTTCGTAACGCGAAGTTTAAACCAAATGCCGACTCGTGGGACAGATACTATCAAGCTGAACGCGCATACCTCGCAGAAGCTCGTCAACGTAAACATTCCTTTTTTCACACAGACCTCCCCCGCATGATAACTGATAACCCCCATAAATTCTGGCAGATCATTAACCCTCAGCCCAACCGCTCTATCCGTATCTATACAGATCAGGGTGATATCCTTTCAGATTCTGAGTGCGCTAATACATTCAACGCAACTTTTTCATCCGTTTTCACAGCCGAACCAGACACCCCCTTACCTGAGTGCCCTACCCCTATCATGTCAATAATGCCGGCTATAAATTTCTTGGCCGAAGGCGTCGCATCACTGATTAAAAAGCTAAAGGTTTCTTTGTCCGCAGGTGTTGATGACATCACTTCTAAACTTCTAAAAAACACTAAACATATTTCTGCCGCAGTCTTAACCTTGTTGTTCTCGCAGTCTCTATCATCAGGCACTCTACCGAACGAATGAAAAGTGGGGAAGGTCGTTCCCGTCTACAAGTCAGGTAACAGAGTTTCATTATTAAATTACCGGCCCATTTCCATAACCAGCATACCATGTAAAATCATGGAACATATCATCTACACTAACATCATGAACTTCCTCGATTCCAACAGCTTTTTCCATTCATCACAGCATGGTTTTCGCAAAGGTCTGTCCTGTGAAACACAGCTCGCTCTTTTTATTCATGATCTGCATTCCAACATGAACTCTAATATACGGGTAGACGCAATATTCCTTGACTACGCTAAAGCCTTCGACAAGGTACCACATCCACGCTTGCTGTTAAAACTTTCCCACTTAGGTTTGCATTCAGATGTCATACAATGAGTTAAAGAATTTCTTACTAATCGGTCTCAGTGTGTGTGTATCAATAACATAGCCTCTAACCCCGTCCCTGTATCCTCCGGCGTCCCCCAAGGTTCCGTGCTGGGTCCCCTATTGTTCCTGATATATATATCAATGATCTGCCATTGGAAGTTACTTGCTCTATTCGTATGTTCGCAGATGACTGCGTTATTTACCAGTCAATAAGAAATACCTCCGACCAGGCTGTGTTGCAGAGCAGTTTATCGAAAATCCTGAATTGGTGCGATCGCTGGCTGATGGTCATGAATCCCAGTAAATGTAAATTAATGTCCGTCACCCGCTCGCGAAGCACTTTCCTCTATTCGTACAAAATTGCTAGCACTCCTATTGAATCTGTTAGTACCTCTTCGAATATCTCGGTGTAACTATCTCCAAAGATCTCAATTGGTTTCCGCATGTGTCTAACGTCATCTCATCCAGTAACAAAACCCTAGGCTTTCTCAGGCGTCATTTACGCAGCTCTCCTCCTCACGTTAAACTCATCGCATACAAATCTTTAATTCGACCAAAACTTGAGTACGCGTCCGCAATCTGGAGTCCTCATCAATCTTATCTCATAGACGCATTAGAAATGGTGCAGAACCGCACCATCAGGTTCATTCACTCATCACATTCGTATAACGTTAGTGTGTCCTCATTAAAGGCGGCAACTGGCCTGCCCACCCTTTCTTGTCGCCGTCGCACTGCCACCCTATCCCTGTTTCACAAAATTTATTACAGTTCACTCAATCAGCCACCTTACATCTCACCGCCTGCTCGCATATCCCTTCGTACAGGCCATTCCCCGTCCTCAAACTTGTACTCTCACCTACTCGTCTTCTTTTTTCCCACGCACTATTGTACACTAGAATGGCCTTCCCTACGCCATCGTCGCCACCACCAACCCAGATGCTTTCATTGATGCTGTAAAAGTGCACCTCTCATCCTGAATGGTCATGTATCATGTATCCTTACTGTACACCCACCCCTATTTAATGCCCCCACTCGGGGGCCTTTAAGGAAATAAAGTGAAAGTGAAAGAGGAAGCTGCTCCATACACAGATTTTGCCTGTTTCAATGGCTGCTTCAAAATGCTGGAAGGCATTCCCACCACTAAATACTGTGTAACGAGGGCAGTGGGCATGGAGCTCGAGGATAGAAAAAGAAAAAGACTTGCCGTGATCGCAGGCTTGCGTTCAGTTAGCCCTTGCGCTAAATAAAGCTCTCCTTCGCCGAGTCAACCCCTGCTTGTTCAACAACCCGTTACAAGTGGTGGAGGTGCTGGGTATTGATCCCCGTACCTTCCCGCTCGCTGACCGTCCCGTCTCCGGCTGTATATGAAACAGGTCAGAACGTTTATATGACGCCGCCGCCTGCACGACCATTTACGGTACCTTATTCAGCGAACAGTGCCCCTATCGTCAGCCAATGGCGCACTCCAGATAATCGGCCGATATGTTTTTCATGTGGCATCCCAGGCCACGTAGCTCATCACTGCCGTCGTCGCAGCTTCCCTTCTCACGACATTGCAGGGGCCTCACATTACATGCCCACCATGCCCACTCAGCCGCGATATCCCGTTCCTGCCAATCCGCCTCTAGACGTACGTCCCGGTCGTCGACCATCCGGCGCAAGCCGTTCACCTTCTCCTCGTCGTCGATCTATTTCTCCGATGTTACGTCGCAACAGCCCATTGCGAGAGGAAAACTGACGGGCGCAGTTCCGGAGGCAAGAACTGCGTTGGCAGCGAAAATTTCAAGACCTAACTGCTGTTCCCCGAACGAAATCGAACTCTATATTGATGGCATTAAGGTGCACGAACTTGTTGACACTGGAGCTGCCGTATCTGTAATTAGCGAGAAACTGTGCCGAAACTTGAAGAAAGCGACCACACAACTTACCGACCTATCTTTGCAGACAGCTACGTCCCATCATATTCAGCCTTCAGCTTTGTGCACTGCACGATTCGTCATTCAAGGTGCGATGTACGTCGTCACATTTGTAGTTTTATTCCGTTCTTCGCATGACGTTATCCTTGGGTGGGACTTTCTTTCGTCAAATTCTGCTTTGGTCGACTGTGCTCGGTCTGAACTCGCGTTATCTGTGCCGTGCTATGACCTCGACGATGGTGCTTCGTGTAGAGTGTTTGCTGCTTCTGACATTGACATTGCGCCTTTCTCAGCTGTTGTTGTCTTGGTGTCGTGTGCCTCCCCTCCGAAATCGCCTGTGTTGTTTATGCCATCGGTCCCATCTGCGTGCCGTCGAAATATCATGCTTCCGTTTGCCGTCGTCATTTTTCGCAATGGTCACGCTGCCATTTATGTGTGCAATCCGTCGGACAGCCCGTCATCCCTACTACGTGGAGAATGCCTGGGAAGCTACGAACCTTACGAGTGCATTCTTCTGGCTACTATACCCGATTCTGCAGTTTCGCTCCCAATTGGTGCTGTCACTCCTACCAACGCGCCTAATGATGCTCTGGACGTATTCTCGGATGCCATCGACTCTGAGCTCGCACCAACTCAGCGCGAAGAGATTATAAATCTTCTTCTCCGCTTTCGTTCTTCATTCGATCGTGACCAGTCAGGCTTAAGCCGAACCTCTGCGGTCGTTCACCGTATTGACACCGGTCAACAAGCCCCGCTAAGGCAGCGTCCGTACCGTGTGTCATCTGCTGAACGTCGTGTCATCAACGAACAAGTGGACGACATGTTGAAATGTGGCATCATCGAGCCCTCCAACAGTCCCTGGGCTTCACCGGTTGTTCTCGTCAGGAAAAAAGACGGATCCATCCGGTTCTGCGTTGACTACCGCCGACTCAACAAGATAACGCGCAAAGACGTATACCCTCTGCCGCGCATCGATGATGCTTTGGACTGCCTACAAGGAGCAGAGTTCTTTTCTTCGTTAGATTTACGCTCTGGCTACTGGCAGGTGCCCATGGCAGAGGGTGACCGCCCGAAGACAGCCTTTGTAACACCGGATGGACTATATGAATTCACCGTTATGCCCTTTGGCCTCTGCAATGCGCCTGCCACTTTCGGAAGGATGATGGATACCGTCTTGCGAGGTCTGAAATGGAAAACGTGCCTCTGTTATTTGGATGACATTGTGGTATTTTCAAGCGACTTTGCGACCCACCTCAGCCGCCTCGAGCAAGTTCTTACGTGCCTTTCCACGGCGAGACTTCAACTTAACTTGAAGAAATGCCACTTCGGCGCTCGCAAGCTTGTAATTCTCGGCCATGTGGTTTCTAAGGACGGCATTCTCCCGGACCCTACGAAACTTAATGCAGTCGCGGCGTTCCCAAAGCCAACCACCATCAAAGAGCTTCGAAGCTTCATTGGCCTATGTTCTTACTTCCGGCGCTACGTCCGCAATTTCGCCTCCATTATTGCCCCCTTGACCAATCTTCTTGCCGGAAGTTCTGACTTGTCAGCGTGGTCGCAGGTGTGTGATAATGCATTTCAGGAACTCCGACGGCTCCTCACCACGCCTCCCATACTCCGACATTTCGATCCGTCTGCTCCAACGGAGCTTCTTACGGACGCTAGTGGTGTCGGGCTAGGGGCCATACTGGCCCAACGCAAGGAGGGCTTTGACGAGTACGTCGTTGCCTATGCCAGCCGCACCCTCAGTGAAACCGAGAAGAATTACAGTGTAACTGAAAAGGAGTGCCTCGCCATTATTTGGGCAATCGGGAAATTTCGGCCTTATTTATATGGACGTCCGTTTGATATTGTAACAGACCACCATGCGCTTTGCTGGTTATCTTCACTAAAAGATCCTAATGGTCGGCTCGCCCATTGGGCATCGCAGTTACAGGAGTTCGATATCCGTGTTATCTACCGTTCTGGCCGGAAGCATTCCGACGCCGATGCCCTGTCACGTTCGCCATTGGCTTCAGAGCCTGTCAACTCGCCTATCTCCACTAGTGCTGCCTTGGCCATCAGCATCTCGGACATGCCTTCTGAGCAACGCAAAGATGCTTGGATTTCTTCTCTTTTGGACCTTCTCTCAAACCGGACGCCCGCTCCAGTTTCCAGGACGCTTCGCCGTCAAGCAGGACACTTCGCTATTCGGGATAACCTGCTTTACCGCCGAAACTACAGCTCGATCGGCCGTAAGTGGTTGCTCGTCATCCCCCGACATCTGCGCTCTGACATCTGTGCCACGTTCCACGATGATCCGCAATGTGGCCACGCTGGTGTGTTAAAAACATACACCCGCTTGCAGCTGCGGTACTACTGGCGCGGTATGTACCGTTTCGTTCGCCGTTACGTAAGGTCTTGCCTTACGTGCCAGCGACGCAAAATGCCCACTCAACATGCCACAGGTCCCTTGCAGCCGTTGCCATGTCCAGCACGAGCTTTCGATCGTATCGGAATCGACCTTTACGGTCCGCTTCCCTATACTTCGAGTAGCAACCGCTGGGTCATTGTCGCTATCGACCACCTAACGCGGTACGCTGAAACAGCTGCGTTACCTTCTGCTACCGCAAAAGACGTTGCGTGTTTTATACTGCAAAACCTGGTTTTAAGGCATGGAGCACCTCGGGAGTTACTAAGCGACCGTAGCCGCGTTTTTCTCTCCGATGCCATTAAAGCGTTGTTGAGCGAGTGTCGCATCATACACCGCACTACCACAGCCTATCACCCGCAAACTAATGGGATGACAGAGCGTTTTAATCGTACACTTGGGGATATGCTGGCCAAGTACGCTTCATCCGACCAGTCAAATTGGGATAGCATACTCCCTTTTGTGACATATGCTTACAACACTGCAACGCAAAGCACCACTGGATTTTCACCTTTCTTCCTTCTTTATGGACGCGAGCCATCATCAACAATGGATACCATTCTTCCTTATCGACCGGACCCTTCAGAGATGACTACCGTTTCTCGAGCAGCAGCACATGCTGAAGAATGTCGGAAGCTTGCTCGTACGTTCACGTCACATGACCAGACGCGCCAAAAACATCGCCACAACGCATCAACCACGCATATGAGCTTTGCTCCGAACTCACTGGTGTGGCTATGGATTCCTTCTACTACTCCAGGACTCTCCCACAAGCTTTCGTCCAGGTACCATGGCCCTTATCGAGTTGTATGCCAAACATCCCCTGTCAACTACCTTGTCGAGCCGCTGGATGCATCTCCGGACAAGCGCCGTCGGGGAAAAGAAATCGTACACATCTCTCGGCTCAAGCCATACCATGACCCTTCTGTCTACACCTGTCCTTAGGTCGCCAGGATGGCTCCCTCATCGGCCGGGGGTGATTGTAACGAGGGCAGTGGGCATGGAGCTCGAGGATAGAAAAAGAAGAAGACTTGCTGTGATCGCAGGCTTGCATTCAGTTAGCCCTTGCGCTAAATAAAGCTCTCCTTCGCCGAGTCAACCCCTGCTTGTTCAACAACCCGTTACAACTGCATTATTCGTTCAATTATTTGAAGGATTCGAATATTTGCACAAGCTTATCATATATCGTACATCATGGTCCTGGATTAATAATACTGGTAAGCCTAGCATACCTGATTTGTAAAGTAATCGTGAATTGAATAACAGCAAGCAGTTTCTGTAGCTTCTCCTAGCTGTTATGGCACGCTACGTGATACAGCCAGAGTTTCCAGGCTTAGCAGTGCTGCTCCTTCACACACCTCGATAAGCTTCCAGGTGAGGTAGAGTGAAAGGGTTGTGTTGGGGCTGACAGCCATGCTGAGCCCAGCCACAAGGCCAGAGGCAAACACCTGCCAGGGTCTCTCATAGCCACAGTAGTAGCGCAGGAGGCAGCGACAGCCCTGAAATAAGAAAAAGTGGGAGAAGGTTGTGCCACAGGTCTGCAACAACAAAACACTAGGCGTGGGAACAGAACAGACAAGAAAAACGACCCTTTTTGTCCACTACCCTTTGTATGCCTCCAATTTTGAAACTTGAAACACACAAAATCTGAAACAATTTTGAACCTCTGAAACACAAGAAAACATTGAATGTAGAACAGAGTAAGGTATGCATAATGCACTTGGAAACAAGTGAGAACAACCAACAAAATGCTTAATTCTCTCAGTTTCTAAACAAATAGCATGTCACACTGTACAGTCGCTAATGCAACTTTCTCCAGTAATCCTGAGTTAGAGCTAAGATGTAAGAGTACTTAATTTCATGTTCAAAGCAAATAGTGATTTGATCAAATAATTTCAAATCAAATAGCTTGGATAGTGTGTATCACATGTTATAAAATAACAATAAGCATATTTTTCATGACCCGACTGACCTGCTATGTTTTTTTTTAATAGGAAGAAAGCATGCACGAATGTCATTCTTCTAAGTTCATTCAAAGTGAAGTGGAAGCAATTTTGAATAGTAAATTTCAGTAGGATGCAAGTAATAGCTGGTAAAGTATATTGCGCTTTGAAGTTTACTACAGTTAGAGCATATAAGCCCATACAACAAGCTTTTAAACTTCAAAAATGATTAATTGATATGAAGGTAAATAGTGAGGGTAATATATTCATCTAACCCTAAAGTGGAAATTAGCGGCACTGCTGATATTTCCTAGATAGGTATTGTCATGGCATCACACTCTTAAACTGCAGTAAAACCAGCTGTAAAGAAGTTTACATGAGGTCTAATACCGTATTTACTCGCGTAATTCTCGCACCCCCCACATCACCCAACAAAAATACGATTTTTTTTCCCTCTAGTAATGATCGCACCCCCGAAAATTGCCGCAATAATGTCCTCTGCTCGTTCCAGCCGTAGATGATGATAGCCTGCGCCGTCTGACGCCATCTCTTAAGCATCAGGCGCACTATTATTGCACGGAGATTCAATCCAATTCAAGACAAGCCAAAGCGGCAGGTGCGCGTTGAGGAGTGTTTTGTATGTTGTGTCGATCATCTTGTCATGTTATGGGGCGATACTGAAGCTACACGGCTGCTTTAAAATTGAAAGTGATTGATCATGCACTAAACAACGGCAACAGGGCCGCCGGTAGGCCCTTTGGAGTTGTGAATTTTGTGTTCACTACTGGTGATGGCAGCTGAAAGCTGATGATGATGATATATGGTGTTTTTTGGCGCAAGGGCCATTTGATGGCCAAAGAGTGCCAGTTCATGCGACAGGAATGTGGACAATGATTGTGATTAGTGGCTGTATAAGGGCCATAAAATTCCTCGCAGTAAAGCGGGTAAAAACATACAATTAATAAAATCATGACCATGCCGTGAAAGGTGTGTGTGGTGCAAATAGATGGCAAAAGTTAATGATAATAAAAACGGTGGTGGGCATGTATGGCACTAGCACAAGTGCCTCACTCGTTCATACCCTTGCGTCCAAGGGCCGTGAGGCAAGTGCTTTATTGTGTAGCCACTGCAGCGAAAACCTCTCTGGAGAGGTCGTGCTACGGTATGCCCGGGTATATGACATGAAAGCTATGAATTTCTTTTAAAAACGCTAACAATCATTTGTGACTAAAAAGCGGTTCCCTATTGACGAACATTGCAGGGTGTAAAGGTATATGTTGTCGGTAGGGTGAAGGAAAGTGTTGTTTTCTTAGAGTGTCCAATTGTTTGCACTGAATTAAAATGTGAAGAACTGTTAGTGCTTCACCACATTTGTCACACAATGGTGGATCGCCACCGGAGAAAAGATATGAGTGTGTCGTGTATGTGTGTCCTATCCTGAGCCTCGTTAATGTTACCTCTGTGTGACGTGATTTTGATACTGGTGGCCAATGGCCAAGGTGTGGCTTGATAACGTGTAGTTTGTTTTGTGTGTGTGTATCCCACTTGCTCTGCCAGTAGTCCCTGAGTTTTCGTTTGAGAGACGGCTTAAGATCAAGGGCCGGGATTGATGTGGGTGTAATGGCGGTGCTTTCGTGGGCGGATGCAGCAAGCTGATCCGCCATCATGTTGCCTTGAATCTCATGGTGCCCTGGCACCCAGCACACAACAACATGTCGGTTGAGTGTGTAGAGTGTGCATAAAATGGAGTAAAGTGAAACGAGGACAGGGTTTTTTTGTTTTTTAAGACTGTGCAGAGCCGTTACCACACTGAGGGAGTCTGTATAAATTACTGCTTTTTGTATTTGTGATTGTTTGATGTGTTTAGCTGCCACAAGTATCGCGCAAGCTTCCGCTGTGAAGATACTTGTGCCTGGATGTAGAGGGCCAGCATCCGAAAAGGAAGGGCCAACAGCAGCGTAGGACACAGAGGAGTTAGACTTAGAGGCATCTGTAAAAAACTCAGGACGTGTGTATTTGTGTTGAAGTTCCAAGAAGTATGTTCGAATATGGGCAATAGGCGCATGTTTAGTAACTTCTAGGAAAGACACATCGCAATCTATAGCCTGCCACTGCCACGGTGGCGGGTATGCTACAGGAGCCATTAAACTGTGTTCGAGTGACACTCCAGTGTCCTCAGCTAGACCCTTCAGGCGAACTGAGAAGGGCTGCCTCATTGAAGGCCTGTTTTGAAAAAGAATGGAGCTCGACAAGTCATTAATAGTAGAGTATGAGGGGTGCCTCTTGTCTGCTTTCACCTTAAGGAAGTATACAAAGGACCTGTAGGTTCTTTGCAGATGAAGCGACCACTCATTTGACTCAACGTAAAGGCTTTCTACGGGGCTGGTGCGAAAAGCACCCGTAGAAAGGCGGATGCCCGAATGGTGCACGGGATCCAGCATCTTCAAAGCACTTTGAGTCGCAGACTGATAAACAATGGCCCCATAATCTAAGCGGGTGCGAATAAGGCTTCTATACAGGTTCATGAGGCATTTCCTGTCACTACCCCACGTAGTACGTGACAACACTTTTATAACATTCATGGCTTTTAAACATTTTGTTTTTAAATACTTTATGTGGGGTACGAAGGTCAACTTGTCCAAGATTAAGCCTAAGAATTTATGCTCGGCTTTGACGGACAGACGTTGCCCGTTCAGTCGAATGTCAGGTTCCGAGTGCATGCCTTTCTTTCGAGAGAACAAGACACACGTGCTTTTTTGTGGGTTAAGTCGAAATCCGTTTTCATCTGCCCATTTGGAGACCTTATTTAAACCCAGCTGAACCTGCCGCTCACACATGGCCAAGTTGCATGACTTAAAGCCAAGCTGAACTTCGTCGACATATGTACAATAGAACATATTGCGAGGAATGGACAAGTGCAAAGAATTCATTTTAATAATAAAAAGTGTGCAACTAAGCACACCACCTTGTGGCACGCCTGTTTCCTGGACAAATGTTTGGGAGAGCACACTGCCCAGACGGACACGGAATGTCCGGTTTGACAGGTAACTTTCGATTATATGAAACATTCTTCCGCGCACACCAAGGTGGGACAGGTCTCTTAGAATTCCGAAACGCCATGTTGTATCATAAGCCTTTTCGATATCGAGGAACACAGAGAGAAAATATTGTTTATGGACGAAGGCGTCTCTGATCTGTGCCTCGATACGAACAAGGTGGTCTGTGGTGGATCTACTTTCTCGAAACCCGCACTGAAATGGGTCCAGCGAATTATTTGTTTCAAGAAAATGTACAAGTCGGCAGTTTATCATTTTTTCGAAGACTTTGCACAAGCAGCTTGTAAGTGCTATAGGCCTATAACTCGAGGGTAAAGAAGGGTCCTTGCCCTCTTTCAAAATGGGAATAACAATAGCCTCTTTCCAGGAGGTAGGAATAGTGCCAGAAGACCAAATAGCATTGTACAAACTAAGTAAGGTTTTTCGGGTTTCGTTTGGTAGGTTTTTTAACATTTCATTCATCACACGGTCAGAACCTGGGGCAGAAGTACTGCAGGAGTTTAGAGATGTTCGGAGCTCAGCTAGACTGAAAGCTTGGTTATATGCCTCGTATCTAGTGGATTTGTGTTCGAGTTTCTGCTTTTCTATTCTTGTTCTGTATTTTTGGAAAGTGTCAGTATAGTGGGACGAGCTGGATACCTGTTCGAAGTGTGCACCGAGGAAGTTTGCCTGATCTTCCAAGGTATCACCCTGAGTGTTTACGAGTGGAAGTGTGTGTACTTGTTTTCCTGCTATCCTACCGACCATGTTCCAGACTTTAGCCTCCTGTGTGTATGAATTAACCCCTGATAAAAACTTCTGCCAGCTTTCTCTTCTGGCCTGCCGACGCGTTCTCCTGCCTTGAGACTTTATTTTCTTGAAGGTTTCAAGATTTTCGGCTGTCGGTGAGTTCCGAAGCAGCCTCCAAGCTCTGTTTTGCTGTTTGCGCGCGTTTCGGCATTCAGAGTTCCACCATGGCACACACCGTTTTCCAGGGTGTCCATTTGTTTGTGGGATGCATTTTGTTGCAGCATCAATCTAAAATGCTGTGAAGAAGTTGACAGCAACATCAATGTTCAAAGTACATATGTCATTCCAACCTAGACGAGCGATGGTACAAAACTGTTCCCAGTCGGCTCTGTTTATGAGCCACTTAGGAACACGTGGTGGACACTCAGTTACTGTACTTGTGCTCAAAACTATGGGGAAGTGGTCACTTCCGTACAGACTACTGACGACTTTCCACTGGAGTAGAGACACAAGGGATGGAGATACTATGCTTAGGTCTATGGAGGAGTAGGTGTTATTGGCGAGATTATAATAGGTTGGTTCTTTTCGATTTAGGAGACACGCGCTCGACGAGAGAAGGAACTGTTCGATCAGTCGACCTCACGCGTCATACCGAGAGTCACACCATAGCCTGCTATGCGCATTAAAGTCTCCAAGGAGAACATAAGGTTCCGGAAGTTCATCAATTAAAGAGTGTAAATCACGTTTTTGCAGCTGATAGCTACGAGGAATGTAAATAGTGCAGATTGTGATCAGTTTATCAAAAAGAACTGCTCGAACAGCCACTGCCTCAAGGGATGTTTGGAGTTGTAAGTGTGTGCATGCAATTCCTTGATTCACTATGATGGCAACACCTCCGGATGATGTCATGGCATCATCACGGTCCTTTCGAAAAATAACGTATTTACGAAGAAAATTTGTGTGTTTTGAATTAAGGTGTGTTTCTTGTACACACAGCACTTTTGGTGAGTGTTCGTGTAAGAGTTCTTGGATGTCGTCAAGGTTTCTGAGAAGGCCCCCGACGTTCCATTGTATAATTTGAGTGTTCATGGTGAATGTAAAATAATGCTGTGTGTACGAAAAGCGAGTGGCTGTTTAGATGGGGAGTTTGAGTTCACTTAACAGGGCCATCACCAGGCCCTGTTATTTGCTTTTTTGTTTTCTTGGCGCGCTCCAAGGAGCCACGCCGCTCTTTCGGCACCAAGGGTGCCGACGTATCCATTGCCTCCTCGGAGGCACTGGATGCCCGCACGTGCGGGCTGTTAGTTCGGATTTTGGGCCTCGCCTGGTGAGGGGAGGCCTTGAGACCCGAAGACTCTGGAGTCTCCTGTCTCTGTTTGGGAGTAGGCGGTGTAGCCTGGGCTACAGCCGCCTTGGGGGCAGGTGCCACAACCGCCGGCTCGGTATGCGCGGGCTGAAGGGGTGGCGAGGGCTGGTGTGGCGGTGCCCCCTGACGCGTTGCATCAGCATATGTTGTGCCGTAAAATGGCGACACTCTTCGTCTTGCTTCTTTGAATGTGATGTTTTCTTTGACTTTAATAGTGATTATTTCTTTTTCTTTCTTCCAGTTAGGACACGAACGCGAATACGCGGCGTGTTCCCCATCACAATTCACGCAGTGAGGCGTAGTAACACAGTTATCAGATGGGTGGCCGTGGCTACCACATCTTGCACAAGTTTCCTGACCCCGGCAGTTCTGCGAGCCATGACCAAATCGTTGACGTTTATAACACCGTCTTGGATTGGGAATGTAGGGACGGACAGAGAGTTTGATGTAGCCTGTGTCTATAGATAAAGGCAGTGTGCTAGATGCAAAAGTGAGTATTAAATGTTTGGTAGGCATTTCTTTGTTGTCGCGTCTGATGACGATTCGTTTCACATCCGTGACATTTCGCTCTTTCCACCCTTCAAGCAGTTCCTGTTCAGACATTTCAAGAAGGTCTGCTTCTGAAACAACTCCGCGTGAGGTGTTCATTGATCTATGAGGTAAAACAGATACTGGGATATTACCAAATGCTACGTGACTGCCAAGTTTTTCATAGTGGTGTTTTTCAGGCAGCTCAAGGAGAAGGTCTCCGCTAGCCATCTTTGTAACCTTGTATCCTGGGCCAAAGAGCTCAGTCAGAGATCTAGCAACAAGAAATGGAGATATGGCTCTGGCTTGTTTTGCTGGCTTTTCGCTGTGCACTACATGGAATTTTGGAAAGCATTGTCTGGGTTGGCTGAAAATTGATATTTCATCGGTGCGTCCCCTCTTAAGCGGAAGACGATCTAGGAGATGGGGAAATGCAGGTGTTCCCATAGTAGTGTACTTTTTTTTCGGCAGCAATGGCGACCACCCACCATGGAGTCCAACCAGGGGACGCTGAAGCACTTAAGAGCATAAGGCTGCAGACGCCAGCCGTACATTGCCACTATAACCAAATATAACTACTCAAGGTTGAGTAATTACACAAGGTTAACCCTTGCCGCCAGGAAAAAACGGAAGTAAATGGATGAGAGAAGAAGACAGGACAGATTTAAAGACGAGAAAAGACTAAGATGTAGGAAGAGAGAGATAGGAAAAGGCAACTGCCGATTTCCCCTGGGTGGGTCAGCCCAGGGGTGGCGTCTACGTGAAGCCGGGGCCAAGGGGGTGTGTTGCCTCTGCCGGGGGGCCTTAAAGGTCCAATCACCCAGCATTGGCTCAACCCCCAGGATCCCCTTTTCCCCGGACACGGCAAAGCCACGCACGGCTAGGCGTGGGAGGGAGCCGAAACTCCCCCGATAGCTCGGGTCCGTGGTGTCGCTACACACCAAACGCCTACTTGCGCAGGCGCCCCTGCGGGGTGGCAGCTAAAAGCCACCAAGACGCGTTGGACCTGCCGTGTGCCTAAGACTGGGACCGATGGTAAACTTTATTTCTTCAGAAGGAAACTGCGGATGATTCTTTTAAATAGCCATCAGCCCAATACTGACATCCTATGCTTACCCTTTGACGGCTCTGGTTGAGTGACGAACGCTACCGCAACGCCCACAAGCTTCGCGTATGGTATTCTAATTCTCGACTATTTGCTTGCACTTTTTCTGTCTTAAATAAATCTTGCCTTGTGTTGAACCTCTGCTTTTATTGTTGAGGTAAATTTTAATTAGTACTTTTCAAAGCTCGCTGTTAGTTGCTCGTGTGAGAATCCCGATTTGCGGCCACTTCGTTTTCTTTTTCGCTCTGTACATTTTCGTGGAAAGATTTCCCCTAGTAATTCTCGCACCCCCCAACTTTACATCGGTATTCCGCCGAAAAAAGTGCGAGGATTATGCGAGTAAATACGGTATATGCTTATTCATTCATTTCGAATACTTCGAAATATCGTGTGACTGAAATCCGCCTCAATGCACATTCGAATACTGTAATATTCATTGGAATATTTTAAATGCTCGAACATGCAAAAAAGTCATGCCATAACACATACACACAGAACACAGAAGGGGGGACAGTTATTTACTATTAACAGTGGCATGAACTGCTGAGTCGCAGGGCATTAACAGATGCATGGGTGGTTGTTATAATCATTATTTAATGAGACCAATGCAATTGTGTTTGTACCTGTTAATACAAATATGAGCAACTCCAGATCTTTAGCAGTTCATTGATCGCCAGAATTGTGCTAATGATACTCAATTCAGTACTGTTGTATATGTTTATTTCACCATATTTGCCCTGTGATAACAGCCTTTAAACCATAAATCACATTTTTAATGTACATTCTCATGCATATTTTGGTATTCTACAATGATATGCACAATTGTCTGCAACATTTCACATGCTGCACAAAGGCCATCTTCTCAGGTAAGCATCTGTTTTTCCTTTAACTTCACATTATTTAGCTTTTTTTTTTGTTTTCCTGTCGTTATATACACACATGACAGCCTGTTTTCTTAATTGTGTATGGGTGCAGGCACTGTTCTCTTTTTATCACTTATTGTACCATCTTGAAAGAACATACACACCAAAAGGGTATGATAAGCTGAGTCCAGCATGAGCTTTATATGCTTGCAAGAAATTCTGTGATGAACTTTGATAAGGAACAAATGGCTTGAAGGTAATTTATATTAATTTCAAAGGCTATAAACCAGATGTGGTGCCTTCTTCAGACTTGCACAATAATCATCGGCTAAAACTTCAAGCTGCCTACCATTTAACCTTTTGCCTCTGTGTTGCTTCATCCATTGAAAATGGCTTTTGAAGATTGTGTTTTACATGCCGCAAAGTGGAGACGCATGTGTGAAACATAGATGCACCTTGGATTGCTGGCATCACTTCTTTGGTGCTCCACGTCAAGTTACTATTACGTGATACGGCACTGTACAAAACGCTTCATTGAAAGCATACTGAGAAGTTCTGACGAGCAGGTCAATACACACAATAGGCACATGTGTTAATTGTGTAATATTAAACTATCGGGGACACTACCATGCACTTTCTGGTCAGTATTGGGTCCCCAATCAACGGCCTCCCACATAAAATAATAAAATTTTCATAGAAGACTTTGGTGCTTATACTTTTTTAAACCTGCTGTAGCAGGCTGAATTTCTTGCCAGCGTGAACGTACCGGTTATTACACATTCTATCATGCAAGTCATTTTGGACAAGCTGGTTGATGCATACATTTTTGTCTTAATGATTGAGTACCGAGGTTCTGTGTACGATGAGTAGAGCACAGAGATCAAATAACAGAGAAGGAATCATTAAAGAAGCTGTTTTTTATAGCACGCTAGCGTACCTGGCATAATGAATCTGATTTTCTGTGAAAACTAGCTCAAAAAACACACAATGCTAAATACTTAATTAATAATACTGTTACTCTGACGAGACCATGGCAGCAGAGACGTGCCATTAAAGTTGTAAAAAAGATATTGTGCCTACTGGTCAAGAACTGTATGTCTCCAATGGCCACTCGATTAAAAATGTTCACTTTTAATAGATATCAAAAATAATAATGCACTTTTGCTATGGTTTCGGGTATGAGTCCATAAAGTTAACGGTGTGAGATATACAAAAGCATTAAAAAAATAAGTGAATCTGCAAATTTATAGAATAAGACAGTAATAAATTATATCGTTGAAACTCTATTAAAAAATTATGAACAGTCAAAGTATTTAGTTAAATTGAGAAGTTTACAGTATTAAAAAAGCAGTTTGTCAGACCTTTGAAATCCGAAATTGAAATACAATGTCACCCAAAAGCTACTGCCGCTTTGTTTTTACCAGTAATTTGCACCTGCACATGTGAGAATTCGCAAGAGTGGCCTAGTCATGGGATGCTTCACGTATGGGTGATGCAGTCCAGTTAGAGTCACAGGCAGCTATGTTTGGCTGCCAACATGCAGTAATGATAATTGCTGGAGTTTTATGTGCCAGAACCGTGATATGACTATGAGGCACGCTGCAGTGGATGACTTCGTATCATTTACACAATAGTTCATTAACATGCACTGACCTCACACGGCATAAAAGCCTCCAACATTTCACCTGGACATGTGAAACGGGAAAGGGAGCTGAGAGACCCACCCGAAACAGGCCCACTGCACTGGCGAGAAATGTCCCCTGTGCGATAGGTGCCCATCGGCTAAATATCTGCCAAGGTCTGCGACGCAGACGTGGTGATGCTAGAGACAGCAGGGCTTGCAGACCATAGCCTGTCAGAAATGGTGCAGGCACGCCCTGCGCAGGAGAAAGAAGGGTGTTAAAGGAAGCAAGGAGTGCAGAAATGTGACAAGGTTCGTCGTCCAGTGTTTGAGATGTCACAGTGTGCAAATGTCGACTTCTAATTGTGGAGTGGAGATAAAGGTTCAAGCATCCACTGGTTTCTGCTATACCATAAAACATAAAAAAGTTAAACTCTCCGAGTAAGATTACCACCTGTCCAGTTTTTTAAATCCACAGTTGGCCGATGTTTTTTTTTGTTGTTGTCATGACATCATGTTTATTTCCTGAAGTCATTGTTGGCTCTGATATAATCCAAGCAGAAATTACACTGACGGTACACGAACTGGAACCGAATGGTACACAAACTTTGGAAACAAATGTATGTGTATTGTTTAGCCCTAAATTTTCACATTTAAATCAATGAATACTGTAACTGTGATATCTTATCTCATACCATCTCTGGCTTGATCAAGTGACTTTGCTGTATCCATCCCCAGCTTGCAATGGGACAGTAAAGGCAACAGGGATGCCCTAGCACAGGCAAGCAAGCTTTCCTGACAACAACTGTCCACCTGTGAGTGAGGGCATGGAAAAGCCGCTAGGCAGGTCGCCAAGGGAGGCTAGTAAATTTCACAAAATGAAAATAATTATGGGCTGAGGGCAAGGTTTCATGACTGAGGGACATGAAGGTAGTTCAGCTCCATTCCGCCGCACTAACCTCGGCAGCATGCCGCCAGCAGCTTCCCGAGTGCCAACATGGCTGTCCTGTGTCAGCCGCAACTGCGGGAACTGCGAATTCCTCTGCACCCATGAGGCGCCTGCATTGTGGATAATGTGCCTCATTATACACAAAATTCGCAAGCGGAATATGTTAAGCAAACTACATTTTAAAGGACCTCTAACACCAAAATTCGAAGCTCCAAAGTGTTTGTTATTCAATTCTACTACATATATACCTCTGATCACATATTAGTGATGAAAGAAGCCTTGAGCATAGGTTAACAGAGTTTTAAAGTAAGTGCGAATGCCTAGGTAAGTTGGCGAACCTTGTGACATTGCCTTAAGTGTGGTGTTTATTGGCTGCTCAAGCTCCCTGTAATGTCTTGCTTGTTCCACAAATACTGTCATCATCACAGACAGATGAGATTGTGGGGCACACACTGCCTAGACTAGCTTGTCCACTATTGATTACTTCTAATCAATTATGTACGAATCTCGTTATCTATCATATTAAGGATTACCTTTTTGCTTTGTGTATTCACTTTTTACTTTTCAAGGTTTTCTTTTTGTTGGAAAGAGAATCAGCCACCTGTTGTCACATGAATAATTGCATGCTTGGATGCATTTTTTCACAATTTATCTTTTTATTTCATTTTTTAAGGAATTCGTAAGGTTATAATTTAATGCATGCCACTTTCTTTTTGTCATAGCAGTTTCAACGAGTGCATCAAGATCTATATCAGTGCAAGGCTTCTAGGTAAGTTATGCCACGCTGCAGAGCCAAGAGAAACTGACTGCAAATGGTAATAAATGCTACACTGTCCTGAAGAATAATTTATGCAAATGTGCCATCAATTGAACAAGATTAGAGGAATATATCTCATTACTCCATATACATGTAAAAAATGTGGATTCGTACTTTGATACATTATAAAAACTGTCTTTTTTAAATACTTTTTTGGCCAGGCAGCGTAATATACGGCAAGGACCTTTTCAAAAGAGTACCACCGACTTGTTTGCTGATGTCCAGCAAATAAGAAAGCATGCAAAGGTGCTGCAAACAGAGGTAAGTGCAGCCCAAGCTGTAGAAAAATCTGGTGGCAGCTTGTTGATAAGGCAGACTGCTTTGTGGCCTAGCAATTGTAAAGAACACATTATAGAAAGACCTTCCCAAAAAAGAAACTTTCCTACCAGTGCAGCACGGATCACTGCTGCATGCACATCAAAGAGAGTTATGCACAGGAGTGGAAGATGCATATGGTTGTATGAGTATGTGCTTCATTCATACCTTAAAGCTTTGCACACAGGGTCCTTTAGATTGTTGTTGTTCCTGCATGAGATAAATATGCAAATAGCTGTGATGGCTACCATAACAGTATGCAAAATCACAAAAACCTTTGCTCTGATCACTGCTGACATGAATCCTGGAAGTTGTGTTTGTGCCCATCTTGTGGGAGCGAAAAAACATTATGGCTCTTTGCAATAATTACAGTGTAGCAGTACTTTCACTCACTAACATTAATAAAAATCTGTAGATTACCCAGTGATCCTTTAACAAGGCATTTCTCTTCAATTATCACAGCAGAACAGAATTAAGGTGCTTCATGTACCTGCTGATAAGATTACTTGTCTAGATGCCCCCTCTGGAAGTGGTTAACTCTATTGTCTTTGCAAGGGTACACAAAAACACTGGATATTGCGTTTCGGTTGACCTGTATGCTTGTCATCCTTGACTTTCTCCCACAACAAACTAAACTGCACAAAAAATGATGCCGGGTAATTTCAAGTGCCCACTGCTCGTGTGAATGGTTTACTGGGGCAGCATTCACAGCCAGGCACCAGACACGACTGAGTACCAAATATGGTACAGAGTGACAGCAAAATAGCGCCGAAAACAGGTTTGCTTTGCCACCTCCCTTCTGCATCACTTTTTTCACTTATAGCGCTTTGATAATATACATCAGCAGACTATGGTCACAATACTGCTGACAATACCATTTATAGACAGCTATACCGAAGTATTTTCTTCACTGAATCAGAAATTACACCAGCATAAATACAATAGGGCAGATGATATACCCCTGGTGAGTGCATCAGCACATACAGAGACTTGAAATTTCTCCACGAAGCTGTGTCCATGCCTTAGTGGCATCAGGCACTGAATTATAGCCTCAAGGGAGCTAAGTTCAAATCACAGAATAAACAATCAGTCCATGCAGTAATAAGCCTACAGACTAGAACAGCGACTTTCCATGCTCAGCTACTGCCTATTAAATGTGCAAGAGTGAGATATACTCCTGTGTGAGGCACACCTTTCTGTAAATTCAAGTGTGCCGTCACACTCATTAGAATGCTTACCTAATGCAATATAGGAAGCCCGCCAAACTCGCAGCAAACATGAACACCTGAAAATATCAAGTTGCAGATGTGTAATACAAGTTTACAATGTTTTTCTAGTCTGATAGTCTGATCAAACTGGAAATTGTAACAACAGCACGAAAGATGGGACAGCTACATACAATATATTAAGTACCTGTGTAATCTTGCTTGCTTTGTCTCAATTTTTACACTGTTATTACTGTATTGCAAGGCACATTTGATGCGTTAGATTGCCAGCTAAATGATATGCCACCAAAATAGTCCACACAATGTCAGAAAATGTGGCGGCATTAGGCAGTTTTGCAGCTTCATGCTAGCAATGCAATGCAGTAGCCAGTTAGCCACCAAACTTGCGACTTGCATTATGATGGCAACCACAAGGTACAAGCATTGTTCGTCGAGGTGCCATTACAAAGTTTCTCACAAATGCCATAGCATTACTGGCCCTGTGACATTGCCAAGACTGTTTCAGCTCTCAGAACATGCATAACAGTGCACATTTGCATTTGAGGTCACCATATGAGCCCTAATAATGAAAGCTTTGATGCACTAGCAAAATGCAAGTACCAGTGATCTGTGACCAGTGATCACAGGGAAATTCTAACTTGTACGTTCTTCGAGATGGCCCCCATTCTAAGTTTAATTGCGGTTTGCATGATCACACATGCCAGGCAGTGAGTACTGGCACAAACCGGCTTCCCGATGTGCAGCAGCGTATAGCGTTTGAGGAGACAATGGGTTGGAGGCATGGGAAAAAATGCTAAAGATTACCCTTTGACTACCCGCTAGCGATAGCAACCAACCAGTGGTCTTCACATCTAGGATTAACATTTCTCCATTCCATACAGCCTTGCGTGCGTAATCATGCCAACCGCAATTGATCGATATGCAGTGAGATAACTCGGAGCAATGCTAGAACGATTCTTCCAAGTCGAACTGCATATAAGCGTTGCTGTTTCCAATTGTTCAATAAACCATGACCACATGTGGTAGTCGATTGGGCAGATGACAGCAATAATTATTGTCTCATGTCGCGTTCATCTGGATACATAAATCTTCTACAGAAGTTATTTTGATGTTCTTCCCAGTACGGCTTACAGTGACAGACAGGAGCTTTGCAGTACGCTTAATAAACTAGATGATTGAACTTTTTCAGGAGAACGAATCCTGCGCCATCAACCGCACATAACGTCTCAAAAGAAGGCTGCCCGAGCGCTGCTGCGCTTCCTAAGCTCAAGTGGCCTCTGAGCACGACGTTGATCTGAACGTCCTACGGGTGTGTACAAATGTGTGTGTTTTGTTTTTGTTCTTCCAGTTATTTATTTCTTTCTCTGTCTTCTACACAAATTCTATTTCTTCACCCCTACTGAGGGTAGCAAACCGGTTACTTTTACGGGGTGAAACTCCAAGCGTTTTCTTTTCATCTATTTTTCTCTCCCTGCAGTTTCAATATATGAAGTATAAAAGAAGCAAAAAAACAGGGGATCTAAAATAATTTATCATGGGTGCATGGCTTACAGTCACTGACAATGATGATACAAGTTTAATTATAGTTTATCCATGTAAAAGACTGCACTTACTAGAATTATTGCTCTGACTGACAATCACGACAATGTCTTTGGGAGAAACATGCAAGACGATTGACTTACCTCCCCATGAGGAACATCACGTACAAGGTTTCGGCTACGCAGGCAGTTGAACACGATCTCAGAGCACTGTGGAGAAGCAAACGTTTCCAAATTTACTTCTTAACGATGAGTGAATGTCATCCCACATAGAACCACAAATTCCAGCTTACCTGATTAAGCATGTACACCGACAAAACTCGACGCCTGAAATTGACAGGAAAGAAAACCAAATTTCGAGCAGTTCATGCACTGCTGCAAAAGACAGTACAGGACTCCAGCGTTGGCAAGTGAAATGTAAAATAGGTATCACTACATTTTTTCAGGAACCCTAATATAGTGACCAACACAAGCTCTCATGAAAATGAATTAGGCAACAGGCTAGTCTTGCTTTTCATATTCAGGCAACAAAGGTGAGTGACTTTAATAAATGATCAGACTGCCATAGTAAAAATGGCTGATCACTGACAAGCACATGATTGAGAGGGCATCAGTTATTGGCAAATGGGGCATGGAAATGTGCAATTTTTCTCTAAGAGCGAACAATCTAGGGACGAAAAAATTCAGCAGATCCTACGTAAAATGAGAATCGATGTCATGCGAAGCATGCAAAGGGAAGCTGACTATGGTGTAATTTTTTCTTGAGCGAAATGTTATAAAATGACAGTGTACATATGTACATATGTTCTACACATAGACATGTATGTTGAACAGTCGCATATGTTTTATATAGCGAGTTATTTACAGTTGCAAAACGATGAAAAGAGCAACATGGGTATTACCAACACCAGAAGCAGTAAGCTGGGATGTAGCATTTGAGCTTGCGAGGATGGTAGCCCTGAATAGTCCTACAAAGACCAAACTTCAGTGGATGGCACTTAACTATAATTGACGCTGACCCCACATGACGCCTGTATCATTGGAGTACATATATAATATTTATAAAATAAGATCGGCAGCAGTGCAACCACAAATGGCGTTTCACCAACATTAAGCCTACATAGGGTCTTATTCGAAAGCAGTTCCAAGACCTGGCGTGGCCCTGTGATAGAATACCTACTCGATTGCTAACGTAGCTTAGGGCGCGAAAAAACCACAAGAGAAGGAATGCTTAGGTTTGATTTCTGCTGGGACCATAACATTTATTTTTTGCATTAGTCAAGCCAACGGTGTTGACGTCAATTTTTTTTATACTCTAGCATTTAAATTGCCAATGTCTGTTCTCACCACTCCTCGTTAGATATAAACTGCGAAACAGCTATACCGCGGCCCTTCGTATATGAGCATGTGCCACACGTGTCTGGAGAAAAGGATTTGACATCATATGCTAGCAGATTTTCACATTATTCATGTCATGACTAGACAGTAATAATTGTCAAACACTCTTACCCTTCCATGCTAAGTTTGGTCTACCCCAATTTAAGGAGGTGATCACGAGAGCACCAAGACGGAGGTGGCTAGATAGATATATAGACACAAACGAAGGTAGAAAGGCTGAATGTGTCTGCAGCACACAAAAGCACTTAAAACTAAGCTCATTTCCACTGGAACATTAGACGCATGCAAGTGTGTTTCACATTCAAAATGTTTGTAATCAAAATGGAACCATTATACTGATTGTAACATGAACTCAAAAAAGCAGTTTGCAATCAGAGATGAGCCAAATCCAACACCTGATTGAATCAAACTGAGCCATTGAATCACCATTGTGTTAACCATCGTGACAAAAACGACCAATATACCCCATTCAATCAGTTTCATTTCTGACCAAGTTGCTTTGTTATCGTGCTTTTGCTCCATAACTGATTTTTCTTGGGTGAGTTGGTACTCACTGAACGACACAATACAGTATTGTAACGCTCGAATGATCCGACCTTTCTACTCCTGCCTACCTGCCGGTCAGAATTTTTAAATACGGTACTATATCCTTCTTTCACTCCAAGAAGGTATATGTGAAATCAAAGACAACAGAAATGAAGTTCTATTCCTTGAGGAGGAAGAATTGATCCCAAACTATGTCACATGAAACCTGCTAAGAAGAAGGAGAGCTGAAGCATTTTGCAAAGGCCTTGACAGGATGCTCAGAACAAGCAAACGCTCCCGATAGACGAGGACCATGTGGCTGTTTACAAGAAAAATCACTCAATGCTCAAGTCTAGTGGTTTTCATTACACCCTCAAAACAAAAAACGGTACCGACTAAAGTATGATACAGTGCTAATTTTGTCACAAAATATTGCTATATCATTCATTTACTGCCAATTAAACTACATTTACATAACCAATTGAAGCCCAATTGAAAAGTTCAAATCTGTAAGAGCCAAATCAAAGTTTACTCCTGAATACCAATAATAGTGGACAATATAGATTTTAGCTACAATATAGGTTTGAGGTGTTTGGCGAAAGGAGCACATGGCAAAAAGTTGCTGAACCAGGCCCGGCCATATTTTCAGTATCACACAACTGCATTTTTATCAGCTTCACTTAAAGTGGACTTGTCTATTTAAGAAAAAAAAATGCGACAAATACGCTTGTGACTGGCACACTTTCGAGTGCCAAATGCAGTGCTGGATTTTTGCGTACAACACCAGCACCACCAAAACCTGTGACTCATAACAAGCTTTGCTTGAAAAGGCATAACTATAACGACGAATAGAGCGGAAGTGATGCTTTAAATGAACTATCAGGAAAATGTCTACAGCATGGTAGCAGTAAAAAAAAAAACAGTAGTGTTTGTTGTTGCTTGATTTTACAATATGAATGCAGTAGCACTATATGTAACCACATGGCTGGGCAGTGTCAAAGCAATGAAACAGTCCAGATACCGACAAATTGTTCGTGGCAAACAGCTGGATGCTGGCCGTAGTGGAGTGTGGCATAGATGGCAACAAAGAAAGGGTGCTTACAAATTTAGGAATTCAACTAACAATTAGTCGCTAAGGTTGCTAGCGACACTTTCAATTCATCGAATGCTCACATTATGGAGGTGGTGTTGTGTTAATGCTGTTACCTGCTGGTAGAAACTCAAAATCGACTGTTATTGGAGAAACACTAAAAAACTATATGCAACATTACAGCCCCTATGAACCAAGGTTTTGCATGACTTTTGGAAGTTACCTATGCGTGACGAAATTTAAGTGCATTAAAACAGTTTTTTTGTCTGAGCTTTGACTATTTCAGATCACGCATGCCTGTGTGGCTACTGCCTCACTTAGCATAACCTGCACACTGTCCCTCAACTTCTCATCGCAGCTGCCACATAAACCAAGTCAATAGAATTGCAACAGCCGCCAACATGCATAGTGAGTTTCAACATATCATCTTTGCGTGTTCCACAAAATCAAGCATTAAGCTGAAGGGAAATTCTGCTCAATCCTGTACCAATATTTTCTGCATTGAAGAGGACTAGTATAATGCGGCAAACAGCACACGTTTTCCTGAGATAACAACACAAGTTGGTCTTTTTTTGAAGTTCTACCAAAAACCACAAAGGTGCATCTGTCACAAAATATTGACCAGACGGGTGAAGAGAAGCCATCCTGGCATCTGGGGAACAGACGAGGCGAGGGCATTGTAATATGGCTTTAGGCGGCTAGCATGTAACGTTTCCATGACCATGACAGTGAAAAGTTCTCACGATCACATGGTGGGCTCAATGATATAGCTTATGGGTGCAGAGCCATCAAAAATACAGCATAAACCTTGATATTAAGCAAGTATTTGGCCAGATAAATGGAAAGCAAAAAGCCTCTGTTACCAGAAACCTTTCCATTTAGCACATGCAAAAGACTGCCCAACGGCTAGTAGTGCGAGTTCACCAGTTTCCCAAACCAAGATAACTAGGCTGCAGTACCAACATGAGCCATTTCTGCACAACGCTCTTTCCAATGCATCGATTCACCAAAATATCGACAGTACAGTGATCACTTCTCAAACCCAGCATCAAAACTTTTAGTTTTGATGTCTACTGGATACGCTGTTTTTTTAATATAACCATGTCACATTGCTACGATTCTGCCCGCTAGAAGTACTGTTGGCATTGATGCAAGTCCTTCGAGTTGAAATTGATTTAACAAAATAAGAAGTGAAGATGTTGCAAATGAAAATATGTACATTACTTAGCTCTAAATTGTTTCATTTCAGTTCACAAGGGGTACTCAGCAACTCACAAGGGTAGTCAACAGCTGAAATCTTGCTATTGATCCACATTATGTTCAAAAGAAACCCAATCAGGCCACACGCGCACACGTATACACACACACACACACACACACACACACACACACACACACACACACACACACACACACACACACACACACATATATGAAAAAATATATAAGAATAATGCTTGCCAACATTTCATATATGTTTAATGGCTTTAAGTTTTAAATTAAGGATACACAAAAGAGCTGTGTGTCACCTGCTTGGATGCTCGACGAAAATGGCCAGAAAGCCGGATGCCAGCCCGGCCACAAAGGTGGAATTCTGCAAATAAAGGCGGCCAAAGCCCCACCTGATGATGGAGGCGAGCGTGCGTCGTTGTTGTTGCCCTCACTCACCTCAGAGCACAGATGACAAACATGAAGAGCATCACATTGTAGCCGAGGAAGGATGCTGATCGCACGCTACTCAGCAGTGTCTCTGCGAATGCCCGTCTGGAGGTCCGACGGCTTACAAGCTGTGCTACCTGCATAAACCTTGCAGCTGCCCCATAGTCTGCCATAGTAGTGTGGCTAAGCTTTATTATTTTTTCTTTATTTTTCTTTGCCCGCAGAAAAGTGAGAGAAGGCAAATGTGAACTCTACTTTTTGAAGTAAGCTGTAAGGCTTTTACATGCAAGGAGCATGATATGATCCCGAGGCATATGGTATTGGCGGACTGCAAATTAATATCGACCACCTGATGTTCTTTAACATGCACCAAGATTTTATCACACGGCACTTGTCTTCTCAGCATTAAGACCTCATCGAAATACACCTACCGTGGCCAGTAATTGAACCCATGGGCTTGATCTCAGCAGCACGACACCTTATGTGTGCTGAGCTACTCCTTGAAGTGGAGGCACAGAGAGCAAAATGTGAAGTGCATTTGCCAGGGGGTATCAAACTAGATTATGGATGATTTTCAAGGCCAACAGAAAGCTGCAGCAACTGTACCAAATTACGAGCCATTCTTACTGGGTATTGATGTTGCACGTAATGCGCCACGCTTTTCAGAGATGAAAATTGTTCGTGAAAAAAAAAAAAAAGCGAAGCAGACAGAAATTGTGCCGGACTTGCAGCTTATAGAAGTCTGCTAAAGCAATGCTGGTGTAAACAAAAATGACATGGCAAAAACTAACCTTAGTTGAAAAGTAGTTGACCGAAACCTCAATGCCAAAGATAATGCTTCTTTTCCTTGATAAACACTTGAAAAAATACCGACCGACTTCCTCATCGTATGTGAAAATTGTTGTATCTCTCTTCTGCTTTCATTTGGCCAATTCTTTCCTGCCCGCAGAAGCTTAGGCAAGCCTTAGCTGAAAGTAAACCAACCTTCTTTGGCTGCCTTACTTTTTCGGGAAAGCTTATTTACTTTTACTACTTGGTCTATAAAACAGACAATTTTAGGGCTTCGTGCACGGCAGAAATACCAATTCCCTTATTGTGAAAATTTAGACCAGCCAAAATTCGTGGCAGTTTCAAGGTCACGAACTGCATCAAACAAACATCAAACAGCTAACATACCAGCATTTCAGTGATGTGTACCGGGGGGGAAAGAACTTTATTGTTGCACATATATATACAAAATCAGCTTAGTTATGTGCAATACAGAGAAACACCACTACATACTGCAAAATGTTAGCTTTCGTGGTATTTGCATTTTCAGTTCTGATCACGTGGTTGATCAGCTGGTTTGCACAGGCACATCACAAAAAAAAAAACTTCAAAAAAGCGACGAAAATGTGTGTCCAGCTTGCCAATCCTTTCTTTTCTTCGTCCTATTGTGTTTCTGAAGTCTATCCGTGCCCATGTTGTAGTTACACAAATGAACAGTTAGTTTTTTTTTTTTTTTTTTTTTTTTAATGCGAAGCATTTCTTAGCGAACTTCCGCGACTTTGAGCGCATCTCTATCTAGCCCCTTACGTTTGGGTGCTCTCGTGGTCACCCCCTTAACTTGGCTTGAACCAAAATTGGTAAGATGGTTTGACGAATATGACGCGCTGGTCATATCATGAATAATGTCACAATCCCGTCGCGTACGTCATCAAACACTTCCCGTCAGACAGTGGCACATATACTCACGGGCGGGTATGTGCCGCTAGTAAGCGGTTATGTGCCACAGCTGATGGACTCTTAGTACTACGAGAACACACATGGGCAATTCGAACGCGTGAGCGTTTAGCAATCCCGACATCGGTAGTGTCGACCCAACGAAGGTATGTCAGTGAGAAAAACCTGACATCCGACCAAAGCAAATAATAAATTTCAGGGTCGCAGCAGGAATCGAACCCAGGCATTTTGTGTGCTACGCCAAGTAGACGCTGATCTTCGTGAAACGTCAATAGTGGTTGCAGTGCTGCCTACCCAATTTTATAAACATTACATGTGTGCTCCTTTCATACAGCCGTCACGTCCGGCTAACGTCAATTGTGCTGAGGTGCCATGCGCCGTAATTTATTTATGTAGCAGTTTCAAGGGTCAGCATGTTCGCGAGCATCAGCGCTTCATATCAGCTTTTGGTGTTGCTAAAACACATTTCCAGCTGACACCGTTGTGCAAGTGGAAAACTGGTTATATAAACATCTGCAACTGTTCAATATATGTCTCTGCGTTCAACAATAGTACATATATTAAGCGTCGTTCCATGGCGTGTCGCTCAATAAAAAAAAAATGCAACACGGCCACCTTCCCTTCACGTGCTTCGCATAAAGTTGATTCCCAGATACGCGGGATCTGCCGAATTCTTTCCTTCGGGCCCACTAAACAGATTGGCGCACACTCCACTAGTTGCAGAGTTGAGCACAAACGTGGACACAAAGAAGGCAATCCTACAGCTATGTCACGCCAAATGCACCTATCGAACAGAATTCGCGGTGCTCGTTTGGTGAACACGACTGAAACTCGCCCCTTCCAAATCAATGGGGACAACGCCTCGGACTGCCGCTCCGGCGCTCCAGTCGTGCTACGAACCTAATTTCGAACCCCGAGGCGCCTAAAAGCGGTCAAGGGTAGCGGCGCGGAGTGCATGCATAAAATGGCTTCGAAGCTGCGTTAGTTTTTCCCAATGAGAGCCCAGCAAAATATCCTTTATCTGACCGCGATAACATCACACTTTTTTGGGGGGGCAACAGTTACGACACTTTCACAAATGCGTGAACTATGTGGCTCATGCGTGAACTATGTGGCTCATCTGCGCGGTCAGCTGTCGCGCGCATACGCCGTAACAACGCAGCATGTGAGGGAAAAAACGCGCAGAAAACGCGTACCGAGCAAGCACATCTACTCGGATATACTATCAGTGCTCGCGAACACGTCAGCTCGCTCAAGTTATGGACCTGTCTTACGCTTCTTGCTCTACCTATGCAACGTATACACCGCCAAAAAAATAACGCACTGACCAAGTAAAGCACGCCGTACAGCTTGATCGAGTTGCTGAACGTGTCGAAAAACAGCGCCACCCAGCTAGCAGTACACGATGGCTCCCACGGGTGGGCGATCTCGTAGCAACGAAACGGCAGGCTAGTCTCCAGCAACTTGCTCAAAACCGCCATTGCGAGGCAGCCACACGTTCAAAGGACACACGAGGAAAAACTCGTCTCGAAAGTACTTTCACCTGTGGAAAACAAGTCGCACGTCCACGCCACCTACATTTCACTACAGCGCGCCGCCCGTAAGCCGGCCTTCGGCCGTTCGGCGCTTTTCATTGGACCGGTCGGCTTTCTTTCAAACAGCTGTTCGGTTCGCGCGGCATTCGACGAGTATTACGCGAAGAGTGGAAACGTACAAACCTGTCACTGTGCACATCCTCGGGGTCTCAGCGGCAGCAGGGAAGGAGAATGCGGTTTTTAAAACGGCCACTTTTATTTTTCACACACGTCGCCTGTCCATCACAGTCCGGACCCCCCCACGCGAGAAGGAGGAGTGCTTGGCGGCGGGAAGACACACACACGAGCTCAGCCCCAGGTCTCTTTGAAGGAGTCCTGGTACCACTGCTGCCCGTCGTCCTGCTGCTGGCTGTTGTTGAAGCGGCGCTTGGAGTCGCCCTGATTCTGGTGGCCCCCGTCGAACTTGCGCTTACCGGCCAGGCTTCCCCGGGGGGGGGCGCCCCCACGGCCCCCACGGCTGGCAGGGCCCGCCCCCCGGCCAGCGCGAGCGCGGGGGGCCCGCCCACGGCCGCGCCCCCCACGCGTCACCCCACGCTGGCCACCACGAGCCTGAAAGACCAACACCAGCAGCACTCTAATCAGGGCCCACCAACTTAGGGGCTTGCTCTCCCGGCGGCCACGGGCAGTGCGCAAGGCCGGGCTACCATATCCGAGAACGAGCACCTCAACCCCCGCGGGGGCGCCCGCTTTCCCGGCCGCTCGGATATGCTAACCGTCGGCAAGATGAGGAGGAGAGAAGGAAGGAAAACCACCCACCCGCTCTGGAGCAGGCCGGCCACGGGGGGGTGCCGCAGCTTGGTAGCCGCCGTAGTCATAATAGTCATCATAGCGGCCGTAATAGTCCTCATAGTACGGATCCGCATAGCCGCCCCGGTAGTCGCTATACCCATAGTAGTCATAGTCGTAATCTAGGCACAGAGACCAACAAGGATCAGAGCCAGCCGGGAAAACGCACACCCCCGTGCCCCCAGGTGTTCCCACACTCACCGTAGCTCCTAGGACCCACGGGGGGGCCCCGGCCGCCCCCGCCGCCCCGGGGCCCCCGAAGGGGCGGCGGCGGGGGCATGCAGCCCATCATGCGGTAGTCCGACACGTCCCTGCAACAAAACAGACATGCGCATATCACGAGAGGATATTGTCTTGAGTGCGCTTAAAATGGAGCTTCGTGCACCGACAAGAAGCCGCCGAGGCATGCAAATTTATATGCGATAACATGCAACATTTTGAGTGTGCACATGATACATCCCATGCAATGGGAGCCTGTAACAAGGTGGCACAATGGAATCCATTCTGCAGTGGTTGGCAGTGTGTGGTTATTAAGTCATGCTTTACTATTCCAGCACTGGTGTGAGAGGATAGAGTGCTCACACTATGCGTTGCTGCATCATCTGCATCATGCGACGTTCCCGGTTTCGCAACACCTCCTCCTTCTTCTTCTTGTCTGATGGGGGCTTGGCCAGCGAGACCTCCATGGGGGCCCCGCACAAGTCCTTGCCCTGAAGCTGTTCCATGGCACGCACCGCATGGTCCCGCTCCTCGAAGTGCACAAATGCGTAGTCCTTGATCTTCTTGACTCGCTCCACTCGGCCATGTGCTTCAAACAGCTCCTTGAGCTTGTCTTCCGTCACGTCCGTTGTAAGGTTGCGAACGTACAGAACCTTCACCTTGGCCATTGTCTCCTCATCAGGCTCCTCCTGTGGGTCTGCCCAGTCCACTATGATGTCACAGCTCCACACCTTGATGCGGCCAGTGCTCAGGCGGCGCTTGGCAAGCGAGGCTGCCTTGTGTGACTCGTACTCCAAGAAGCAAAAGCCTCGATTTTTTTTCTTGTCGTCAGGTGAACTGTAAATGATCACCTCCGTCAGGCCCGCTGCCAAAAGAAGCACGAGTAAATCATGGGATAAACACTTCGATGCAAACCATAAAACAGCAAGTAATGCATTTTTACAAAGGACAAATTGGCTAGTGTGACAACCGCTTATGGTACTGCTTATCAGGAACACAGCCGGGCACAGGTTCTGTGTGATACAGCATGTTAATCTGCTAGACCTCGGCTGCCACTTCAGTATAATGGCCTCCTCTTTTTTCCATGCTAGTAACACATCAGACTAACCTCTTTTAATGCTGCACACCCATCACAATCAGTCAATGACAGGTGAATTCGGATTTTTTAAAAAATTGTAGTAGTAGTAACACATCAGACTAACATCCCTAATGCTGCACACCGATCACAATCAGTCAATGACAGGTGAATTCGGATTTTTAAAAAATTGTAGAAGCTAAGTAATCATTCCACCCTAAGTTGATTGCAACCAGCCATAGCTGCAGTACAAAGATATTTGTTGAATGTCAACAGCAAATCTCGAAAGCCAAGGGGTTGATTACTTATGGTTGCAAAAGTATTGACACGCATATATGTGATGTTAGTGCTCATTAACATTCGTAATCGGTGGTATTGCTTGCTATACATACCGTATTTACTCGCATAGCCCTCACAGTTTTTTTTTTTAGTGGAAAACCGATGCAAAGTTGGGGGGGTGGGAGAATTACGCAGGAAAACCTTCCATCAAAACGTACAGAGCGAAAAAGAAAACAAAGTGTCTGCACATCGGGATTCTCACACCAGCAACTAACAGCAAGCTTTAAGAAGTACTAATTAAAATTTACCTCAACAATAAAAGCACAGGCTCAACACAAGGCAATATTTATTTGAGACACAAAAAGTGCAAGCAATATAGTCGAGAATTAGAATGCTTGGGGGCGTAGCGGTAGCATTCGTCACTCAACAGGAGCCCTCAAAAGGTAAGCTTAGGACGTCAGTATCGGGCTGATGACTATTCAACAGAATCATCCGCGATTTCCTTCTGTGAAGAAATAAAGTTTACCATCAATCCCAGTCTTAGGCACATGGCAGTCCCAACAGCTACAGTCACCAGTAACCAACACAAAACTCGTAGACTCCGAAGGGCCTACCAGCGGCCCTGTTGCCGTTGTTTAGCGCATGATCAATAATTTTCAACTTGAAAGCAGCCTGTAGCTTCAGTATCGCCCCATAACATGACAGGATTACTGACACAACATACAAAACGCCGCAACGCGCCATGGCCGCTTTGGCTTGGCTTGAATCTGCATGCAATAATAGTATGCTTGAAGCTTAAGAGATGGCGCGCGCTATCATCACCAACGGCTGGAATGAGCAGACGACATTATTGCGGCAATTTTAGAGAGTGCGATAATTACTCGAGGAAAAAAAAATTGTATTTTTGTTGGGCGATGTGGGGCATGTGAGGCTTATGCGAGTAAATACCGTACAAGTTGCTTTTTATTCATGCACTTAATTATGCGAGATTTGCTGTTGACCTTCCAGTACAGCAAGCAACACCACTGATTCACAGGATACTCAACGACCACCTGAGCTTTTGTATGCTGTTTGCCCTCGAAATAAAATAACTTCCAGGTGACTGATGTCATTTAAGTTTGCTCAAAAATACTATTGGACACCTTGAATGGACACATCTGGTATGAAATTTTATACCAATGCCCCTGTGTGTTGCTGCAAGTTTTTTTTTTTTTTACTGCACTCATGATGAGGCTGCATGCATAGAAGCACTATCCACATTTCAAACAACAATACATTGTAGGCTCAAAAGCCTAAAACACAAAAATCTACAGAAATGAAGGGACTAAATTTCCTTTAACATAGAAAACATTACTCCCTCAGCCACTTGTATGCAAGACGTTGGCCAAGAGTTGCAGATATCTTGTGTCTCTAATCATTACAAATTTATTTACATCCTTGTAAATGCATCAAAGCAATCAATTATCAACCTCACAACTGACACCACCCAAGACCTAAAATCTCTCAATCAACTCATCCAGGTGATTGTTTCCTCATAATTCCTGCCGAGGCCATGTGAACAGGCATGGTATAGAGAGCAGCTCCTTCTTTTATGCCGAAACACTCAATTTCACACCTACAGTGATGGATTCAACATTCTGCTTTTTGGAGCAGATTCTGGAGCAGAAAAAATGGTGCTTTGGAACAGGCTCAAGTGTTTGGGGAGCAAAAAAAAAAAAAAAAATGCTATAGCTAAGAGTTGCTACTGGTGTTTTCGGTGCTAATGCATGTTCCTAACGACTCCTGAAGTCTAAAACATCAGTTAAGCATCCCATTAATATTCATAGTTATTATTAAACATGCCGTCTGCTAGTATGCAGCTAGTATACAAGCAGTATAGTTGGCGTAAATCATTGGCGGGGGGTCGAGAGTCTAGACATTTTGGGTGCTGAGGCTGTGGAGGACACCCCTTGCAAGTGTTCCACTTGAGATTTAGCTTTATCACATGATATAATTGAGTTAACAGTTAAGCATAGCACAATCAACTGTATAAAAGGCTTATCTTTTACTGCGTACCTGTGTTAAATGCCCCCCAGCTGTGTGAACTACGGAACTAAAAAAAAAAGTGCAAAAGAATAGACTGAATGGAACAATGCAATTTCTCGAGCTCAGACCCCATGCTCGTTTTTTTTATTTTATTTGAAAGCATTATTTAATTTCTATTTAAATAAAAATACAACCCACTAAATATACACCAAATATGTGCCACCCCTTGGGATTTTTCTGGATTTACGCCACTGAGTAGCATACTGGAATGAAAGTCTATACAGCGAGCTTTCAGTTTCGCTTATGCTTACGGATGGTCCCATGGTTAAAATTCATTTTTTTAAGTTAGCCAACAGCATTTTGAAGCAGATTTGGAGCAGTTACTATCAGATATTGCACCTCCATCACTGCACTGGTCGACTGAAATAACGCAAACCATCTAACTTGGTACAATGACAGAGGAGGAGGAGGAATAAATGAGGAAGGACAGGGAGGTTACATTACCAAATGAATTGGCACGTGAACGGAAGGCTGTTTAGGAGCAGTTACAAGCATTCAGTTGGATTCACGAGGATAACACAGAGCCA